GCACTCGAAAAGCACGAAGGTAAGTTTACCGCTTTGAAGGTTGAGAATGTTTTATTTGTGTTGACGTTTTCCTCACTCAACCATACAGAGGCGATCGAGTGCGATTGCCGGGAGATGACGCAGACATTTTTGCCTATTGTTTGGCTACTCTCATGCGTCGCGTATTTTTCCGCAAACGAGTCTTACATGACGTCACGAGCGCATTACCGTATACGTGACTGTCAGTACCACGAGCTAATGTCCGGAGCTACCGGAGGTAGGATGTCGCATCGGGAAGCTAGGACGAAGGATACAGGACGTGAGCAACAATATGTCATATGTTTAGCGAGTATGTTCGACGAATTTAGACAGATGGATTAACTGAGAAAATTTACTGAGGAAAAGAAATATTCAAAATCTCGGCACTTATGATCTATGATCATTTGATCATAGATCAACTATTGTAATTTTGTGATTGCTCATCACTTATTTTATCCAACGGGGAATAATAATTTTCCAATTTCAAACCGAGTAACAGAATAAATATAAATGTATAACTAATTACATCCTCAATCGTAAATGATAAATAATTTACAACTATAAATATTGAATTTGTACATCGAATTTAGTGCAAGTCATACAAATGCTTATTTCTGCGTCTGATATAATACTAATATTTCTTTCCAAATCGATTCCAAATCAAATTCAAATTTAAATACGTATATTGATATTCCTTATTATTAATATTATGATATTATATATAGACATATGATTATTTTATATTTATTATTACTGCTCTTTCCTTCTGCTTTGAATTTACAAATCTCATTAGAAATTCAATGATGAGAAAAAAAAAAACAAACAAATGACGAAAGGAAAATGGTAATTTTACTTGGCCATTAATCTAGTTGGAACACGCCTGCAGTTTACAATGTGAAACCCCGTTACGTGATATTAGAGTTGCTATCTTTAGCAAAGCCCAAGGCGAATTACCTCACAAGTCGACCTTCTGAACCGGCCCTACCGCCGTGTAAAAGCTAAATTTCACGAGAGGGGAAAGGGAGATGTCTGCGGGAGAGTTTGCTCCCTGTAAACTCGTCGTAGAAATGTCAAACAGCGGCGCGAGCAGCAGGCGGTTTATCGGACGCTCCGCGGCTTCTTCTTCGTTTACATGCCGCGCATGAATTCTCTATAAATATATGCGTCCCGTCATTGTAAGAGAAAGTATCGTTGCGGCAATGATAAGCCCGTCGTCGTGGACGAATAGTTTTCGCGTGCGCGATCTCGTCGCGGTCAACGCGCCCGCCGTTTCCGAAATCGTTGTCGCAAGCGTGGACAGGCGCGCGTCAAGTCACGCTGGAGAAATGCGGGCGATTAGCTGCGAAATCTCAAGAATTTTATTAGCCGGAGAGATGCTGCGACGGTTCAAGATGCCTGGGACGCGAGTAAAGACGTTAGAATTTCGGCTTGAGATCCTCCGGTATCCGAAATATTCCGGGCCCAACTGCAGTCGCGCGATAGCATATAACGCGTGCGAGCGAGAAATTCATATAATTAATTATAATTATAATTGTGACCATGCAACACACAAGCACTGTTCTCGAACCTTTGAGAAATTTCACTAATTATCAATTACTCATGTGTCATCTTTCGCGTTCGTCATCACGATAACAAAGACGTGAGATACGTAAATTCATCTTATGTTCATCAGTTCGTCATCCGCGCGATTAGGTCAACTCGATGCAGATGAATAATTGGATTCGAAGGATAGGTCAAAAGCGGCAACAATGATTCGCGCGAGTACTCATCGGTACTCACCGACGAGTCTCGTTGCCGTGAGTGTGGATGGATGGGTAAAAGCGCGCGGTTACGATTCCCATAATGACAAAGTACAAAACAGCGCCGGTGACGACGACGACGAGCGGACGAGCTCTCTTATGCAGACGAATGATTTTTCTGATACATTGTCAGCGGAGAATGCCGAATGAATTAATGATCTCGTTATATCTCGTATTCTAATTAATCGCATGATGCGCGCACGTTCCTGGTACACAGCCGACGTATCTCCGCCGGTATTTTGCCGTCTTAATGATCAATTATGCAGGCAAAGAGAGGCGTCTCACGTGTTCCGCTCGCGGAACCGGATCTTACTTCTACTCCGCGCCCGGCGAGAACGACAATGCTACTGAGAAGTTAATCATTCGAGAAGTGGTAAGAGTGGGCGAAGGATGGATGGATGGATGGATGGATGGATGGATGGATGGATGGATGGATGGTGCTGTAAGCGCCACGACGCGTATGAAAGTACGAATATAATACTTATCGCAATCATTTGTGCGACCGCACGAGTGAACGTGCGTGTGTGACAAATTTGTTTAATTGAATTCATTTAAATCAAGTCCTTTAATCGATCTCTTTTGAGCGAGCGCCTACAGTCGTACGCGAATGTAACGAGATGCAGCGGGAGAATTTCCAAACGGAGCATTTCTATCGGATTTTTTAATCGTTTGCCTACAAAAATAAAAAAGCTCGGATTCCTTTTCAAAGGGACATAAACAACACGCGAATAACACGCGTTACGTTAAAACTCGATAAAATACATATATGCATCTCGATGAGAATATCCCGTGACGTGTAAAAGATTGCAAGAAGCTACGAAATTACATGCATGAGATATTTATATTCCACGGCGAATTTACCGTCCGAGTTAAAGAGACAAGACGGATCAAAACCAGCGATATCGCGATTCTCATTCAACATTCTTCGTCTTCGCTCGCGGTCACGCCTGCTCGCGATAATTCGCGCTCCAAGTCGCCGATTCCAGCCGAAAGACGAGTGTCGTCGCGTCGCGGGTCCTTTCTAAATCGATCAGAATATCGAATCGCTCGGAGCGGTGTTAACGAGCGCGACCGCTCTCGCGCGCCTTCTGCGTATCTGCATAGATCGCGGATACGACTCGCAACCATAATGCATACACGGCCGGAGCGCGCACGTTCCATCGGGCTGCGATCACGCGCCAAATTGTGCAATCTAGTATCTTTTTCTTCCCAGCTCTCTCGCGCGCGCGCGCGCGCGCGAAGGACCGACGTTCGCGGAGTGTCTGTGCTGTTCCAGCATGACGACAATAACGGCGCGACGACGATGACGATGACGACGATAACAACGGCGACATCCCGTTATCTAACGGCGCGCGGGCGATCTTACGCAGCCGATGCGCGCCTGCAGCCGTTACGTCAGCCGCGGAATTAAGATCCGATATATTATGTAAAAGCGCGTGCGTGTACGCGCGCGCGAGCGCTCGGCTACACGTGTAACACGTTCCGCTAAATTAATTGAGAAGCGCGAGAGCGCGCGCCGCTCTCCCTCGCAAATACAACGTCCGCGCGTCCGCGAACGAATGTCATCGGCGATGGCAATTACGACACGCGATCTCCGGGCGATTTCGCAAAATTTCGTCGGATCTTTACATCGTCGGGCTGCGGCAACTAGCGCGCCGCCCCGACGCTCGCAGCGTCGGCGGCAGCGCGCGCATGCTGTTCCGTGAACCAGCCGATTTGCATAAATAAAATATGTCGATTCAAATGCCATTATCAAGACGGGGCTTCTTCTCAGTGTCCCTCGCCGCGATTACGCTTTTATTAACCCACTCGCATCCACGGCCGTAACTGCTGAGCCGCCTCCTTAGAAACTGCTAATTTCTCTCTTCTCGTTTTAAGTTTGAGATCTCAGACGGAGCGACAGACAGATGTGTGTAATTCTCTCACTAATCATTTCTCTCGCCGACGTTTTTGCGAAACGCGCTGCGATATGTGTATAATTTCAGACGAGTATCTTGAGACGAAACGATGTCTCAAACGATGTCTGTCGCGATTACATTTTAAATATAAATAGGCCACTTATATCTGTATTCATCTCTACATTATCTTTATACGCCAATTAAATTGTCACTTCAATATATATTATGAATATTATTATAAAAAACGAAATAAATTATTAAATACATCCTCATATGTTATTTGTAATTCATTGTTATTTGTGTGTATGAGATCCGAAATCGTTTTAATAATATATATAAACTATAATATAATAATATAAAAAGTATATATATATATATATATAAACTTGATAAAAAGTATAAAACCTAACCTAAATTCCCGAGCGCGTATCGTCACGCTGTGGATGCGAGTGAGTTAATATGCCTGGGAATGCCCATTTTCCTCTTTGATCATGTTAGAATTTACAAAAGACAACTCGCCAGAATCGGCTACGCAAGACGTCATAACTCACTGTCGTCGTTAACCTCCGATGTAGTCGGGCGAGGATGTTCAGATTGTGACCGTGTTCCAAGCGGGACGGGACATCGCAAGGAGTCTGCCGACGAGTCCCGAGTTTCACGCTCGATGGATCGTGGAAAGCAAGCCGCGCCAAGCGGCGAATGATCGTTGATGGTTTTCGCCTGCGGAGCATTAACCCGTAAAGCGTTAGCCTTGTCACAGTATTTCGCCGGGAAAAAACACAGTCGCGTCGCAGAGTTCCGTGTCCTTGCGGCGGGATCGCTCGTCGGTTATTACCGTGATTTTCAGAATGTGCTCGGTGCCGCAATCCGCGGACGCTTGCAAAACTGCGATTGCGCCAATACTTGAAGCTTACACACAACAATGGGCCCGCTAAAGGTCTTGGCGCGACCGCGAAGCAATGGCGGACTGGCGGTTCGATTAACGAAACGAGACGACGCTCGATCCAGCCGGCGAAAAGCAGTACGCGAAAAGAGAAATGCCGACGAGGAGGACAACTTTCTCCAGCGAAATATAATTGTCGCAAGATGCATCACGTTGTTATTTGGGGACGCGCGAGATTCAGACGGCCTCGGAATTCCGTATTACCTTGCGATTACTTTCGAACCTCCTGACGAGCGTCCACATCGAGCGAGTATCGCGGCGACATCTTCCGAATTTGAAAATTCGAGAAATGTCGAATGCGCGCCTCGACGGTCGATTCTCGAACTACGATGGCGACTCGCGAGAGAGTGTGGTTAGGGTTAGGTTAGGTTACGATATAACCATACACTTTCCCCGAGTGTTTTGGTTCGAAAAATTCGAGTAACGAGGGTGAACGAGGATCAAGATGAATTTTGTCGGACGACAATGTCTGAGAGTTTTACAAAACAACGTGAAACATCAAAGCTTGTCGTACAATTTCGACAGAGTGTTCAGTTTTAAGAGTGCCTTGTCGTTGGAGAATTTGTACCCGGAAAGCAGACAGAAGCTCTACACCCCGAGTTTTGTCAGTGTACATTAATTTAAATTTAAAAATATTTCTATAATAAATATATACGTTTTACCTTGCTCTGAGTCACGATGCTTTGAATCCCGTTGATGTATCGCCCAGAGCAACATAACCTCTACGATGATGGAATGATACGACGATACCGCTTCTTTGCTCTTCAGGTGCCAGATCCTAACTTGAAATTCGATGGTTTCATACCCATGAACAAGCTGGATATCAAGTACAGTGCTAGCAGTGGGCCAGGAGGGCAGCATGTCAATCGTGTTAACACCAAAGTCGATCTGAGGTTCCAACTGAGTACTGCTACCTGGCTGTCAGAGGAAATTAGAACAAAGTTAGCAGAACAAGTAAGTAATGTTGCAGAAATGTTGATTTCATGAATGAAATTTTCTAAAAGCATTGGTTAAGTTACATTTATAGTATATGCATCTAATTGATGTGGTATATCTGCAGACAGTAACAAAAGACACTAACAGTTGTTTACGATGCTACAAAATCACCAAATTTGTTTCAGTATAAAAACAAGGTAAACAAGGATGGTTACTTGGTAATCCAGTCGGACCTAACAAGATCCCAACACTTGAACCTAGCCGATGCCTTAGAAAAGCTAAGGGAAATGATTAGGTCTACTCTGGTGGAACCGCCAAAACCAACACCCGAATCAGAGGAGAAGAAGAGGAAGAATCTATTGAGAGCCGCCAGGGAGAGACTGCATGAAAAGAGAATTCGTTCGCAAATCAAGCAAAGCAGACGAGTCCCGCACACTGAATTCTAAAATAATCTAGTTCGATTAATTTACCCATCTAATCACTCTGTACAGCATATATATATATATATAGATATATAAAATAACTGACAAAATAAAGAAAGAATACCTTAAGTCGCGTGATTTCACATAATTCTATATTGTATGCTCTTCAGAAACACGAATTTATACGAGAAATATCGATCGCCCGGGCGCATCGAACGCTCCTTCTTATTTATCGCCAGTACAGGTGGCTCGTCTCTATGGCAACGTCGAGGCGCCAATAAGAAAACACATGGCCTGTGGAAGCGTGTCTCAATCACAGTGTGATTCAGTCTTTCGGCGTATTTCCTCGTGCAGAAATGTCCTATCGCGATTTACGTAGTATGTAACTCAATATTTTATTACTTCTGACGTGTAATCAACGCGTAAGTCGAGCGAGCGAATCGCGAGCCACATCACTCATGTGTCTGCTTGCGTAGATTTCACGGAGATGATGAGGGTGCTGGGCTACCCGAGGCTGATTTCCATCGCAAACTTTCGCGTACCGAACTTCCCTCTAGTCGCGGAGATTTTGATCTGGCTGGTGAAACGCTTTGACCCGGACGTCGATATTTCTAACGATCACGATATCGAAGATCAGCGCGTCGCATTGATACGCACCGTCGCAGAGTTTATGGTAACGACACGCGTTTATGCAACGCGTACATCCTCGAATAAGTTTATAAACTCCCCCTTTGTGTACTTCAATTATCGACTTTCGACTGACACATATTTCCATCCCCTGTCGTCGACATCTCCAAAGAGCTTCCAAACGCGAAAGGTGTCCCAAACCAAAACCACTGAGCGACCTTTTTGTTATGATAATAAAAAATATCGATTCTACATTAGCGACAAAGAAGTCGCGCGATTCAAAGCCACGCCGTATACATTACGACTCGCGCGTCACTTTGACACGTGGATACTTTGTAATCGCAAATGTTTGCAGGCGTTAAAGACGAGCGTCAAATTAAACACGAAAAAGCTGTATCAAGCGGACGGTTACGCGGTGAAGGAAATGTTGAAAATGACCGTGCTGCTGTACGAAGCGCAAAATAGCAGCGGCGACGTCGAGCAAGGTCGACCCGCCAGCAATCAGACCGCGGTGAATTTCGACATCTCCGACAAGATCAACGAGCTGAAAACGACGCGGCAGCTCGCCAGTCAACTGACCATCAATGGAGCGACTCTCTTCGACCTGCTCGGCCGAGAAGTGGAGCTCCGTGAGATTCGCAATACCAAAGTCGCCCGGCAGTTTGACACCTCGGAGATCGAGGTGGCTTTAAAAGACGTCCTCGACAGCACGCGCAAGGAGATGGACGATACCAGAAAGCAGATCGACAATGTCAAGGTGTAGATTCCGTCGTATTCTAAACTTACCCGCGAGACCTCCATACATCTCCTTCCTCGCTAAAACGTTCAGGTATTTCTTTTTTTTTCCCCTCAACGACGATGATTTCAATCACTCGTCATCTGTTCGCAAGGACACGGAGCAAAACTTGGACGCGAGGATCGAAAGACGGCGGACGGAGCTCGACAGAAACCAAAAGAGACTTCAAACGTTAAAGAAAGTCCGTCCAGCCTTCATGGAGGAATTCGAGAAACTCGAGGTCGAGCTGAGGTCTTTGTACGACGATTACTTGCAGAAATTCCGCTATCTAGCGTATCTGGAACACTTGTACGAAGACGCGGCTAAGGCGGAGCAGGAAAGATTCGAAAGACGGTAGGTGTACAAACAGAAAGCATACAAATACGGTGATGTCATTAACGCACGCTGCTCGATCGCAGGCAAGCCGCGACCAGGAAGCAACTGGAGCAAATGAGAGCCGAGGACACGAGCTTCGAGAGCATGATGGAAGGGAATGACTCGATCTTCGCGACGAATCTCCAGGAGCCCCTGGTCGCTTCCCTGACAAATCCGAAAGCAACGGCGGCGGAAAAGTCCGTCGAGTCCGCCCACGTGAAACCAGGTACCGATATTTTTATTCCACAATATAACGCGATATCAAACAGAGTCACTCATTTCTTCCCTGAGAAGAAGCTCAATCCCCACAGAGGGGGTGTACGAAATATTTATTGCTCGGCGCGTTACCTTGGAAACTAAACGGAAACTTCTCATCACAGCCACAGCCGGCAGGGCCTCGAAGATGCAGTACGGCCAACGGCGCATCTACGGCAGCATGTCCGGCCGGCAGAGAGGCACGATCCAGGAGTCGAACGACAGCGACGGCTCGTTGGACAGCGACAGCGATCTGCTGATCGACGGGGACCTCGACGACGACGACGACGACGACTTGTTAAATTCCGTCGGGACGACCGATATCGGCGGTTTTAATCTCAAGGCCGGCCAAGAGAAGCGGGCCGTCAGTAAGATCGACCACTCGGACGAGGACTTTTAATCGCGAATCGGAAGCCGCGAAAAAGTCCGCCGTCACGCTCGTTTTCCATCACATTTCTTTTCTGTGGACATTTGCGGGGTAAACAGGGGAAAACGTGTATTCGGGTTGGTGAGAAAAATATACAACGTATGGAAACGATACCGCTGAGTATGTATATATAAATCGTACCGTACAAACACGGTAGCGTATTTACGAGAACGAGCAAACAAACAAGCCGGATGGAGGAGAATCGAGAGGTGCATATTGTCCTAGTATTATATTTATTAACTTCGTCAACGCAATCCACGGCCGACGTTCCGACCGGTAGCGTCGACTTCAGCACCGATCACACGTTACTTAGGTCTACCTTATATGCCGTGTACGCGTCCGCGTACGCTCGCATGCGTGTATACACATATATACATAAAATGTGCGCGTAAGAAACATGATTCTTCGTATCAATAAAGAAATAGAAAGACTCTTGCGCTATACTCGCCGTCGTCGGCGAGTCTTATCGCCGCCGCCGTAGCGACATCCGGCTCTCGTCTGCTAAAGTATCGATTCGGCTGCTGGTGTTGTGATCCTCCTCCTCCTCCTTGTCGTCCTCCTTCTCCTCTTCCTCCTCCACCTCCACCTCCACTTCCTCCTCCTCCACCTCCACCTCCACCTATTGCCACCTCGCAAGTGTATCTACTCGAAACATCTTATCCGTCTAAGTTCATCCGCGCGACCTCATCGTCGCAAATACGCGACGCGACTCGCTCGTGCGCGGAAAAAAAAAAGAAAACCAAACAGAAACCCTTTCTGTCCGTTCGTCGAACAATTGCAGAACGACAACGACGGACCGGGCGATATAATCGTAGAACCTCGCGATATTCCGCGTCCCTCTTTTTTCCGCTCGCAGAGAAAGAGAGGACTTCTCTCCTGCTGTATAAAAAAGTTCGTTCGGCATTAATTTACGATGTATCTTTTGTTTTCCCTTTACCTTCTCGTCTTTCTTTGTCCGGACAGGAGACTGACGATCTTGCAATTCAATCCGCCACCGATCTCGCGAACGCTACAAACGACATTGCACGATAAATTTATCATATCACAAAAGCGCGACCGTGCAGTTCGTGCTCGACTGCGCGGCGGTGACGGGGCACAATATCGTTACGCGAAGTAAAACAAACGAATTACACGCTAATTCCAAGTTCTTTGTAAGCCCTTGGAGAAGATCTTGGGAAAGACTTCGGCTAATGCCTCTCTGTTGAAATAAATTCACAGTCTCGGCGACGTTGCGTCTCCCCCGTCTCCGCGGCGAAGACAACGCACGTCGGGGGGGAGGGGGAGACAATCCTAGCTTTTTTCTTCATTTCTTCCGAGATCGTCGCGCGCGTCCTACGGCGCCTCCTCGAAATTCAAATGCCTAACATTCCTAGGTACATATTATACATACATGTCACTATGCTAATTATATATCGATTCTATGGATATGCGTAAGATTTGTTTAATATGTTGTGCGGATTTACAAGTATTCTCGAGAGATAGAGAAAGAGAAAAAGAAAGGAAGAGAGAGAGAGAGAGAGAGAGAGAGAGAGAGAGAGAGAGAGAGAGAGAGAGAGAGAGAGAGAGAGAGAGAGAGAGAGAGAGAGAGAGAGAGAGAGAGAGAGAGAGAGAGAGGAGAGAGAGAGAGAGAGAGAGAGAGAGAGAGAGAGAGAGAGAGAGAGAGAGAGAGAGAGAGAGAGAGAGAGAGAGAGGAGAAATAAAACAAAAGAGGAGAGAAAGTTCACTCGTACGGTATAATTACAGGTTAATCTAAGTCGCGTTTATGCATACTCGCTTTTATCGCCAGCTGCTCTTTTGCATTAGCCCGTATAATTTAGGCCATCCGTAAGAAATCTTCGTTAGCAGACGGCACGATTTGCCGGAGGACGATCGCGCGGTCGCCGCGCGCGCGAGAGAGCTCGTATAAAATCGTAAGAGAGAAAGCACCATGTATGTCGCAGCGCCAAGTCGCGTCGAGAGAGAGAGAGAGAGAGAGAGAGAGAGAGAGAGAGAGAAAGAGAGAAAAAGAGAGAGAGAGAGAGAGAAAGAGAGAAAAAGAGAGAGAGAGAGAGAGACAAACTCGATTCACTGACTCGGCGGCAGCTTGTCTTTCGGACATCGCCGACCTCGCTCGAGGAATCCGTCACGTAGAAAAATATGATTAATCCGCGTCTCGACGAGCGTGTGTTGCGCCCATTCTTTAGGTAATTTCGCGACAGCCTCCGTCAATTCTCGTTTCCCTCGTTTGATTCCCTCTTGCCTCTCCTGCTTCCCTGCGAATTCGAAAACGCGGTCACGCTCCCCGCGCCGATCGGAGATAGAAGAAGAAAAGAGAAGAGAAAAGAAAAGAAAAAAAGAAAAGAGGAAGAGAAAACGCGTTCGGCTGTCGCGAGAGAACGAACGAACGAACGAACGATCGAACGAACGAACGAACGAACGAACGAACGAACGAACGAGCGAGCGAGCGAGCGAGCGAGCGAGTGAGGGAGTGAAAGACAATCTCGACGTTCGCGACGATAATGTTCCGTAAAAAAAGACAACGGGAGGCAGGAGGCCACCCTGTCCCCGCAGCCTCGCGGTGGTCGCGCGAGGGTGTAATCAATCAAGGCGCGCCGTAATTGTAGAAATAGGTCTTCGCGACTTTCGGTGTACCGGTGAAATTGCCAATGTCCCAGAGGATCTCGACGATGGTCTTTCGCTACCTCACCGACTTGCCCAACGGGCTGACTTTGATTCGCGGCGTCAACACCGGGACCGGGTCGAGCTCCGGCAGCGAGCACTCGGCGCGCAGCTCCGTCCACGTCCTGTCCACGCTCGCGGCCAGCCGGTCCTTATACTTGTAGGCCGTACGATCGACGGTGGACTGCGTCTTGATGCAATCGTCGCCGCCGAACTCGCAGACGCGATAATGGTGGAGGATCGCGGCGTCCGACGGCACGTTCAGGGTGCCGTGGCCCGGGATGAACTCCCAGACGAAATGGTTGCCCGCCTCGACCACGTCCTGCGGCTTGCAGATGTACTTGGAGCGTTGCTTGTGCGGATGCAGCTTGGTGCGGCGGCGCGTCTTCCTCAGGGTGATGAGGCCGGCCTCGGTGGGTGTACGACTAGTCACCACAAACGGGTCGTCGGCCCATTGCAGGTAGAAGAAGGCGTTTTGGAAGGAGAACGCGCCCGTGGACTTGATATTGATCCGATTTCCCATCCACCTGGCAAAAGCAATTCGCCGCGAGATTAACGCGCCCCGCCAACGTCGCACGCGAGTCCGAATTGGGTGCTCGAGAAACGGACGCAAGAAAGGGACGCCTAACGAGCGTCACCCGGTGATTCCGAGTTACGATGAGTTACGTTTCGATTTCGGGAGGAACGGGACGGGAGGCGTCGCAAGAAACGCAAATCCCGCGCGACGCCGCGGCGGCACGAGCGAAAATGCCGGACTTTCGCCTTAATACGCGCGGCTGACGCGCGACCGAGCGCGATGAGCGCAAGGTCTGCGCCAAGCTCGGGAAAAGCCTTACCGCAGCAGGTCGATTATGGTGTCGTTGTGCCTCGGTATAATGTACTCGTCGAGGTCCACGAGCGCCACGTACTCGTACTTGTACATGGATCGGTACAGGCAGTCGTTAAGCGCCGCGAAGAGGCCCTCGGTGCGAATTTCCCGCTGGGAAATCATGTCCAGATGATGCCACGGCAGCACCGTAACCAGATCCTTGCTCTCGTAATATTTAAGCGCGCAGCCGGCCGCCGCGCCTACGGTGTCATTGTACAGAGTGACGTGGGTGGCGCCCAGGAGCCTATGCAACTCGATGAATTCCACCAGTTGCAAAACCTGAGAACGTCACAAGGTGAAGCGTGCGCGACGACGACGACGACGACGACGATGACGATAATCGGCCTCGTCGCGATCTCACGACGGACAAACCGCCTCTCGAACAAACAATTTCCCCTCTTTTTCCCCACATAGCTCGTTCAAACAAACAATCGACCCACGCGGACAGACAAAACCCGAAAGGATCTCCCAGCGGGACTATTTTCAAACCGGAGAACAAGAATGTCCCACACCTCGTGAGACGCTTGAGAATTGCCGCTCGAGGCGCAAAGGTCAGCCGCTCGACGACGACGTCGTACAGTTAGTCGATCGACGTACCCTGTTGTAATAATAATGCAAAGGCTTCACGCAAACGGCTAGAGCCTCCTTGTCGTTTGTTCTGCTCTCGAGACGATTCTGCACGAGGATGCGGTTCGTCGGGGCAGCCCGCAGCCTCGCCACGACGCTGACCGCCTCCGGCACCTTGTCCGCCGTCGGGGATTCTTTAGGCAACGGACATATCACGAAGCAGGCACTGTACTTCAGATTCCAATTCTCCCTGATCACCTGAAAGTCAACGCGGAGGCGTTCGCCACGAGCCACCTCGCCGACACCTCGACAGCGACAGGGACACGGCGACGGTGAGGGGGAGATATGTGTCGAGTAAACAATAATTAGCCGCCGGTGAAACGAACAAACGAACTGAACAACGATTCGTCATGCTTTCCTCCTCTCTCTCTCTCTCTCTCTCTCTCTCTCTCTCTCTCTCTCTCTCGCTGGCCTTTTCTCTAGAATTTTCGGTGGCTCGGATACCGCGAAGAGAGACGACTCGCGATCGATCGCACGGTTAAATACATCCACTTAATAAGGAAACAAATGGTTGCCTCACAAATAGAACAGAAGAGTCGAAGGATTCTTACAGAGACACAATAGCCCGGCGTCTCTCGGACTCGTACACGTCGATAACATTCGCGGGGAAACTTATCTCGGCGGGCGCGGGCGCGGGCGCGGGCGCGGGCGCGCGAGCATGCGAGACGAGGAAAATAATAAATTTTAGAGGAGCGGCTGGAAATTCGATAAGCCGGCGGAAAGGTAGCGAGGGGGCGGCAGAGAGGGGGGAAAATGCGCGCGCGCGCGACTCTGTTCCGACGACGCGTCTCGAGACGGGATCGTTTTTCAAGCCTGACACGACACACACAGCGCGCGTACCTTAACTTTGGCAGCTACCGTTACCGAGGCAGTGACATTCGCGCCGTTCTGCTGTCGATACCAAAGCCTGCACCAGACCCGCTCCGGACCCCTGGTCTTGGTAGCGCTGATCACACGCACCACACCCAGACTCTTGGCCGCCGCCGGGCTGCCGGCGCCGCTGACTCTGTCGTCGAAGTACGCCGAGTAAACGAAGAATTTGAACCTGAAAGGGCGAGGCAGAAACGCGACCGTTCAACCCCCGCATCCGCGCGATGCATAATTCATTTCGCACCTTGTCTAAAAGTATAATACGACCGGGAATGCTAATGCGCAAACCCGTCTACGTGTGTTGCTCGCGCGCAACACCGACACGCGGCGAATAGCGCCGCGTGCGCGCGCACCTGTGAGCGAGGGGGTGAGAGATCGAATTTTCGATAGATTGATATTTCAAAAATCCCTCGTGTGCGCGATGCGAAGCGTCGAGTGAAATGGGATTTTCGATAAATCGACGCTTTCAAGATCCCCCGCGCGATAACGGAATTACACCCGCCGAGCAGAAGCGGCTCGCGCGCTTCCCCCGCTGCGTGTGGACATTGTTTCACGACGAAACAATTAGTAACGAAATTAATTTACAAAGCGCGCACTGCTGACCGAGTCGCGCTCGCTCACCCGATCCGCGCTTTGTTTCCCACGCGGAAGGATCGAACGACTTCACAATTAAATGTGCTCGCGCGCGCGCGAGGCATGGAGGCGCGCATTTTGACTCCCACGGCGCGGCAAGGCCGAATTTAATAATAACGCCGCGAGAATAATCCAGCGCGCGAAATGGCACGACCTTTGTTTCATCGCGTGGCTAGCGCGAATTTGACAGGCCGAGCTTGCCGTGCGGGGCGGAAAGACACCGGAGAGCTCGGCTCCCACTCGATGCCGCTAATTGCAGGGTTAGCTCGTTCGCGCGAAGCTACATGTGTGTGTGTGTGTGTGTGTGTACGTACCTAGTGTTGGTGACCGGCAACCACTCGGCATGCGTGACCTTCAGGTTCTGATCCAACTGCGGCAGACGAGCCTCCAAGCTGGGCGGTAAGCTCGGTAAGCCACGCGGATCCGGGTGTATCGCCGTCTTCTGGCCGCCGTCCTCGCCGCGAACCAATAACCCGACGTGCTCGTCGAAGCTACCCTTCAAACCGGCATAATCTTCGGCCTGAAGACAGCAAGATCCCCCGAGGGTAGAGTGACTCGTGGCATGTATCTCCTCGCGGGAATTATCGCGCGCGTCACGCTGGTAGATCGCGCGGAAGTGCTCGCCCAGTTGCTTCACCCCCCCCCCCCGCGATCCAACCCCAATTCCATTACTCGCGATGACACAAGGGACACACGCGTTGTTGCAGAACGCGAGAAGCGGAACGAAGTAAGTAAGTTTGAGAGGTCGTTCTTCCGCAGCGGTGGTCTATGACGATCCGAGGAAAGTCTGACTTACTCTCTCTCTCTCTCTCTCTCTCCCTCTCTCTCTCTCTCTCCCTCTCTCTCTCTCTCTCTCTCTCTGTCTTTCTTTCATCTCCCCTGCCGCTCCTCTCTTTTTCACTCTAATCGTTCCTGCAATCAAAGAGCGCCTCGGGCGATTTATAATTCGCGAGAGAATTCTAGTCATCCGAGGAATTCGAGTTCACAGATAAATCCTCCCGCACTTTTCTGCACGTCGCGCGGCGTGCTTTAAAAATCGCGAATGAGAGTTCTCGAGTTCCGTCGCGGACTGCTTCGAGTGTGATTCGAGAGGGGACGCGCGACGGTGCGAATATCCCGGAAGCTGACAATTTCGCGTTTGCTTCCTTCCGCCGCGCCGTGCGCCGGGCGCAAACGTTTTAATTTGCGCTGAGCTCGGCTGAAAATGATCGCCGACAAACAGAGGATATTCTAATGGTTATCGAGCATACTTGCACGCGGTCTCGTGGCGTGTCATTCAATTAAATATAACAAAGGCTGTTAATATTACAATCAAAATATTAGTCGCTGTCGTTGTGCGCTGTGTTCTCTCAGTGATTATAGGGATCATTCGTGTAATTATTGACATGGACTACGCTCGTTGAATATACATTATGGTATCGAAAATGCATCCCGCTACACACGAGTGACGAGAGTTGTTTATCTCGGATCAGCAACCGTTATCGATAACTACAATTAACGTTGACGCTTTAATTGCCGTTAACCACCCGCGTTAGCCTGATTGCGGTCGATTCGAGTGAGCCGAGCAAAGAAAAAAACAGCGAGCGAGAGAGAGAGAGAGAGGGGGGGGAGAGCAAGAGCTCATAAATATGGCTCGACGAGGAGGAGGATGATGGTGACCGAGACGTTAAACTTCGAAATTCCGGGATCGTCGACTCTTCCAGGGCGAATTTTACAGGGATACCTCGGGACTCGCGCGCGCGTGCGCAACTCCGCTATGAGAAACTGAGAGGGGAAGGGAGGGCGAGATGTAAACGGATGAAGAAAGTTCCACGGGATTGAGCAAACTAATTTGTCAGTCGGGCGCTCGGTCGTATCCGGTTAAACTTTTCCACGGCGGTCGTGTGTCTTTCCCAGGCCGCGTCGCTGACTCCTTCTGGCTTTTCGCGCAACCACCCGCCTGGCCTGCTTGATGGCCGTGTTTCTTCTCCTTCGAGTTCCGGATTCGCGTGAATCATTGTCCGGCGCGGGCGCGAGGGTGCATAAACTATGTCGGCTACGTTGCAACAGGCATTGCAAGCGCGACGACTGAAAGGCTGCACTACCACGACGACGACGACGACGACGACGACGACGACAATGGTATGCGTGTGCGGCGCAGGAAAAATCGATGCTCTTTCACCTGTAACGTACACGACGGAGTTTTCGGCCGCCGTGGTGCGCTCGCTTTGTTCGTGTCCTACGTGGACAAAGAGCCACATTGCGCAAAAGGTCGCGACCTTAGTCCGCCGTAGTCGCCGTCGAGCGCTTCCGAAGGCTCGTGTTCTTTAGCTCGCGGCGGGAAGTACTTGCGAGGATTACCGAGGGAGCAATAATGGACGCATAAAGAGACGCTAGGGTATGCAGTACACTCGCGTATTTGCGATAAAATGCCGCGAGAGCGAACGCGCGTAGCATAAAAATAAGATTCCCGCGATAGGGACGCGGGACGCGAGAACTGACAGATGCAGGGGCGGCTTTCGAATTCGAAGTGGTCTACTCCCTCCCCCCACCCCGCCCCGCGATAGTGCGCGCGCGGCTACGCGCGAAAGATAAATAAAAAGCCGGTTAACCGTCGCCGCGGGGCGAAGTAGTACTTCGTTTCCACGCTCGCGGCTATTTTCATCCGGCGCCGAGCGAAGAAGCATACAAACTAGCACTTTTCTCGGCGGCCGCGTTTTTATTTCGCCGGAAGTTTGATTATGAGCATTAAGTGTAACTTAGTTTCGGGACGGGTTTTATACGTGAGGTAATTCGCCCGCGACTCACGACCACCACGAGCGAGAAGGCTCTCGCGTGCAACCGGGGAATTTTCAAGTTCCAAGTTTTCTGGATATCTATGTTTTCTCCTCTCTTCCTTTCCGGCCGGGACACGACCCTGCGCGCTCGATTATTACCAGTACCAGAGGCAAGGAGAAAGACGTTTCCGGAGAGTTACTTCGACATTAAGAATCGCGCCGCGGGCTGGAAAGATTCTGAGAGAGAGAGAGAGAGAGAGAGAGAGAGAGAGAGAGAGAGAGAGAGTCTCCTCTTTCTCTCTGTCTCTATCGAGTCCTCGAATCAGTTCCGTAACCGCGCCGGTCATTGGCATAAATTCCAAAGTTCGAACGTTCGAAAGAGATCGCGGCGGCAAACACGCGGTAGCGAACGCGTGCGTTGTGAAACACTGCACGAAGCGAGATAAATACGCGAGATTATCGGATTTATTAATCGCTTTGTAGCCCGGCTGCCGCCCGGGCTTTACCGCGGCTTTCGCACCTGTCAGAAACATATCGGTTTTGTAGGTCGCACGAACAAAAAAAAAAAGAAGAGAGAAAAACGAAATACAGGAAGCTGGCGGAAATCTCGTAGCGTCGGTGTCTTTTTCCGATTCCTGCGTTTTCTCTCGTGCTCCCTCAACTCGGCGAATGCCGCTTTTCCGCGTAATCTCGCGACGTCGCGCCCACATGCACGGTGAATTAAGTTTGAATTGATTTATGCTAATTAAATTGACGATGAAACATTAAATGTCGCCTCACGCTCAGTCAATTTAAAAACGACACCAAGTGAAGGCGACACGAGACAGAGACGGCAGAGACGGAAAGACGTGTATTATCCGAGATTCCGAGATACCGAGGATAGATTGTTACGCTCGGAGAGAGTATAATACAATTCAAAGTTCCGGAAACAATTTAACAACAAATTAGTTACCATTCGTGCGCGACTGCGAGACGCGACCGCCTTCTCGCGAAGGGCGCGACGAGTAACGTTGGCACGCAGAAAAATATTCTGTTGCGACAACTAGAAATTTTCTGTTACATGAGGTTCAGTTGTAAGCAGTAACAGAATAGTTCTGTGTTCTTCGCCAACCGAAGAACCATTCACATCAACAATCGCTTTCGATCGAAGGGACAGAAATTTTCGGTCGCGAAAATATAGTGACCGCAGCAGAGTATGCAGCTAAGTACTCTTACAGAAGGCGTGGAACTATATCGTACATGTAAAGAAAAACGAAATCTCTCAGTTACCGCGACCGAAAAGATTCCGTTTGAAAAAGTTGAATAACGTTCAGAGAGACGCTTTGTTTTATCCGTGTGAAGACAGTCGTCAAGCGAAAGCATAGAGCGAAAAATCTGCAACACTATCTGCAAGATAGTAGTGTATATTTATATTCTGGATTCTCTTTCATCAGTAAAAGTGACTCTAAAAGTAGTTCACAGCCGATCAGAAGGCTTATACAAACCACTCTTAATGATAAAACAGAGTTCAGGATATGAGCCTGTATCATTAGCCGCATTATTGCGTCAAAAAGATACATTAACTATAAACAAGAAAAAATTCGCTACATTAGCAAATTTTTTAGCTCGCGAAACGTTACATTAATTGCAAAAACGACAGCGAACCTGCTTCTTGCCATAACCAATAAATATCCGATAATGCATCAACTGAACTATAATAGATTGTAACGAATGAGACTTGTATTCCTGACAATTTGATGTTCGTCTGAGGTGACCGGCCGAGGTATATTTTCAGGACAACAGAAAGCGTCCAACGGGATTTTTCTGCTGTTGCAACCGAATTTTCAGTTGATTCCCGAGGAACCGAAGGTTTCGGTTGTCCTAACTGAAATTCAATTGTATCAACTGAATAGTTTTCTACGTGTGATAAGATGAAACTGGAAACCGACACCGAAGACGGTGCATCGTCACAAAAGGGTGTCACAAGAAGCGCGCGCGCACGTGTCCGCACACGTGTGCGAGCGAGAGGAACAGGGACGAAGCAGCTTCCTCGAGATGGGAATCAATTTCTTTGGCGAGGGTAGAGCGATTAAAGTGACGTCGCCGGGGCAGGATCAGCTGGGACGAAGTTATATAAATCGCCGAGCGGAGGGAATAGCCTCCTTGCTACTTACTCCTACTTCGCCGTAATCCGGACGATCGGGCGCAGCTGGCAATCGATGACCGCTTCTGTGACCCCCGAGTACGCCGGTGCCGCCTACGCTTACGCCGCGCCTCTCGTCGATCAGGAATATCTCCGTGAGGACGATCAGGCCGAACACAGCGAAGAACATGACGACCAGCATGAACGACATGTTGGCACGTTCCTTGAGGACACCGGCGTTCGCCCGGCTCCCGCCGGAGCCGGCTCTTCGGCCGCCCATGCTCTGGCAGGCTCTGCAAGTGACAAGCAAGGAGGAAAAGGAGCGAGCGAGCGAGCAAGCGAGCGCGAGGTCGCCTAGTCGAAATAAAAGCCGAGCCAAGAACGTGACTCGCTGTTGCCGCTGCTCGTCTTTTTCCTATCCTTCCTCTCTTTTTCTGCCACGGGGTTAGGAGTGGATCACACACACACACGTCGGTGATCATTAGTATCTTCTCTCGTGTCTCGATCGCGCGTTTCACTGCGCACCGAGTGCCAGCGTCGACGGGAAATAACGGTGAATATAAAGTGGCCCGAAATCGCGCTTCGCTGAATCGCGCCGCTCGTGATTCGACAGACTGTCAAACGTGCCATTAACGCTCGATGCTGTCGCGGGATTGGCGTCACTCACGATCTCATCTCCCGAGAAATCGCGAGTCGAGAACCCTCCTCCCCCTCCCCCTCCCGCCGTATATTCGATCGTCGATCGTCCCCCGTCGGGCGTCTCTGTTTCTCATTGTCAAACGGATACGTCGGGAGAACAGTCTCTACTATTGGATTAAATTGAATTTACATAATTAACGTGCCGCGGAAAGGCGATATTCTATTACTCACTTGGCACCCGTCGCTCCTCATGCACGCCGCCAGCTCGATTCGTCAGGGAGGCCCGTGACGTGAACACCGCGACGCGCATTAATTAACCCTCCCCTCCTCCCCGTTGATCTCACCGCGCGATTCTATAATATTAAAAATTACGACCTCTCCGCCCGCGTTCTCCCTCATTTCAGGCCGGCCTCCGATACATCGATAACCCGGTCGGATTACGCTGCTACACTCAGTATATTCAGCGGCGAGATATCGGCGGATACATTCGACACATTCGGTTTTTCCGATAGCGCGAGCCTCCGGAGTTTCTGACCTGGCGATGTTCGGCCGACACGACAAGCGCACGCGTCCTAAAATCGACGGGGAACTGAACGGAACGGGATAACGGAATAGCGCGTGAGCGCACACACGTATACACCCGATACAGGGAACAAACTTCTCTCAATCGTCGAATTCAGACGAGATGGAGCGCGCCGCGCCGTTTCGGCGGTCCTGCTCCTAAAACGCGGCCGCCGCGCTGGGGGCAAACTTTGTTCACGTGCCGCGGGACGGCGAATAAAACTGCCACTCGATAGCGTCGACGTGAATAAGCAAATCCTACCGTCGCGAATAAACACCGGTGATACCTTTCACGAGTGAGACACGAGTCGTATGCTTCGCGCACGATTCTACGCCGAGCGAAACGCAATTTCGCCTTCTTAGTGACTCATGTATACATGTACGAAGTCGTTACAATTTTTACGGTTTTGCTATCAAGTCGTATATTTAAATTTCCGCGAGCCTTTTACGTTTGCGTTTCTCCTTGCGCGCCGCACATATCCCACGTAATCTCGAAGAGGAAAAACAAAAATGTAATGACAAGAGAGATACATACGATTAACGCGCGACGCGAATCACGCGCACAATTGCGACGGGAATATATTTATAATTACGCACGTACAGCGTCAATGTAAACTTTCAGCTTATTTATGCGCGAAATGTCACGGAGGGTAAAGTGTGCAAATGTATGCGAGAGGAAGGGGAAGGGGGAGAGAAATTTAATTCGGTTCGCAGTCCTTGCGTTTAATTCTGTTATCGGATATGGCTCGGTCTCGTCTGTGCGATATCGCGCATGCGCGTGCGCGTTGCGAGATAACTCCGCGGCACAAAGGAATTTAATTGAGAAAATTTTAATTACGCTATCGGTCGACTTACTTAAAGTTGGTCCGGGAAAACCGCTGCCAAGCATGGGGACGGTAGCTCCTTCTGAAAATAATTACGGATATCATTAATTCGGTCTTTTTTTCCCCCCCCCCCCCCGCCAGCCGGCGATAGCAAACGTTTCGCAATTTTGCGCGCTCGCAGCGCAATTTCAGCTCGCGCGCATTAACTTCCCCTTTCCACTGACCGAACGTAAACGCTCCTCTTCGACGACGTCGACGGTTTACCATTTTATCGCTCGCGACGTGTGAGTGAGAGAGAAAAAGTCATGTTTTATCGGCATATAATTGAAATTACATGGGATGTAAAATATTACGATATTAATGATAAAATCAAATGTCACAAATGGAGAGGTAATCGCTGTTTATTTAGCAATCACCGAGAGAAAGAGAGGGAGGGAGAGAGGGGAAAAAGAGAAAATGACGATTATCGGTTTTATGGCCGTTGCGATAACACAGTCTTCGTCCACCTGTCGCGTAATTGTGACTTACATCTTATTTACTATCGAATCCCATTAACGCGACGTGAATACGTCCGCTCGGCAGAATCCTGACAGCGCGGAATAATTCGGATCAATGTCGTCTGAGACGACGCTGGATGTAGATTCGCGCTCGATAATGGGAGCTTTACGACGACGACTGCTCACCTCCGTCTCCAATATGCATTAACGCAGAAAGGTGCCCACATTGAGAATATTTTATGATACATATCTAATTAGACGCTCAAAGTCGCGACGCTAACGCAGCCGCGCGTCCGACCGGCTCACCCGGCATAAATTACGCGAGCTTACGACAGTCGACGCTTTTAATGACCGGCTCGCGTGCAACGGCGAAAAATGCTTTTATTGATAAAGAAAAACGAAGGAAGGAAGGAAAATCTCACGTGCGCTCGATCAACTTGAAAAACACATAATAAAAATCCGATTGTACACCCACGGTAAACGATTCTGTCCCTTGGAAATTTTCACAAACTGAGAAGTGACTACGTTTCTACACTACTCACAGTCCATGCACGATTAATAGATGTTGTAAACTGTAAGCCGTAAGAACTGGCTAATTATAGCCGACTATTTTTATAATAATTGACTGTGATTCGCCAATTCTTACGGCTTACAACTTACGACACGTATTGTAGACCAGGCCTCAATCCTCCATAAGCGAGCGTAAGTTTTAGTTATTTTATTAATCGTGCATGGACTGTGAGTAATGTAGAAACGTAGCCACTTCTCAGTTTGTGAAAATTTCCAAGGGACAGAATCGATTACCGTGGGTGTACAGTCACTCGCGTAATATTGTCTCGCGACATCTTGTCTCTCGCGCGCAGTATCGAGAAAATTATCAAACCGAGTAATTTACTCGGAGAAATTGCTCGATTGCTGGATTGGTGGTGGTTAGATGAAGGACACTGATGTTGACGCATATAAAATATTGGTACAGTCTATACGAAAGAGAAATAAAAGGGAGAAACGAACGGATGGCAGTGGTGTGTATAAATGTATTTAGATCTCGCGGATTTATGCCGGGCTTCCTCGGCGAAATATCGAGACGACCGCGTCGCCAAAGTGAGGCGTCGCAAATCCTACCTACGGAGCATTAATGAATTCCCCGCATTAACCTTCTTCGTATATTTACACAATTAAATCGTTATCATTTGCGGAACTATTGTCTCTTCAGGAAGAGCCGCAGAGCGCCTTAAATAAATAAATACGCTCCCGTTCGCGTTCGCGAGCGTCTTGCTACCAAAGATTTACGTTGCAATTTATCTTCCGGTGACGGGTTTCGTCGTTTACAGAAAGCACTTCGCAAAAAGGGCAATGTAGTCGTAGCCGGCGCTATATACGGGGTGTCACAGATTTAAGGAGAGATATTTTAGAAAGACAGTTTGCCTGGCAATTTATATGCGGGATAGAGATATACACCGTAATCGCGACTCGAAATATTTTCGGACATATGTGTGTGATTCACGACACGACAAATTAATACGATCTCCGGCGTATGTATTTTTCATTTTCATATAATTGGCTGGTCCACTTATCACACGTCCTAATTCATCACGCGTTAATTGCGACTCGTACGTAAATTAATGAGATGCATCAGTTCATCGCAACTGTCGGCCATCGACGTCGCCCGTCGAGACAATGAAATTTCAACTACCAGTATCTGACATATATATGCGCCATATTTTCTAAGTATTTCTCGTAACATAATTTACCGGATATATCAGATATACTAGATGTCCGTTGTGTGTACACAATAGGCAGCACATTGTGCTAATCAGATGCGCGATGCTGAGGCAGAATAATTCGTCGGCAGGGAGAGCCGCAGTGAATAAATCCTCGCATGGTCAGCCAGACCGGCCGGCTGGCTGGCTGACCGCCTGTCTCTACTTAGGCTCGAGTTTGCTTTTCGCCGTCACGGCTTCGTCCGCATTCCCTTTTTATACGAGCCAAAGGAGCAGTCGGGTGCTCGTTTCAACCGTATTACGTTGGCTTCACATGAATAGAGAACACGACCCAAAGCCGTGCCGAGACACGCCGCGAGTATCGCAATAAATTAGCGACGACGCTTAACGCTTCCACCGACGGGTAATATTACACCGCGGGATAAATGAACGACGAACCGTCTGTGCCGTGCAGTTAATCACGCGCTACGTCAAAGGTGAGGCGGAAATTACGGCGGTCTCGAAGGTGGCGGGAATTAAACTCGAGAAAAAGTCGCCGCGCTGAGAACGCTGAGAGCGCGTTTTTCGGATGTCTTGCCGAGTTATCGTCGGGCAGCACTATTTCTCATACCTGTTAACGACCTGCGATTACGAGGGATCAGTGGTTTGATTTATCCACCGCTCGAGGGAAGAGAGAGGGGGGGGAGAGAGAGAGAGAGAGAGAGCCGAATATGGAATCACCGAGCTTTTCGCGATTCAAACAAGTCCGTACGAATTTCAGAGCTACGAGAGTCGCGAGCAGCAATTTCGTAAGATAAATAAAACACGTACGAGATATTCGCGTCTTAAATTGCGTCATCATGAACGACCTCGTGACCGAGGACCGTCGTCGTGGTCCGTCTCCCGAGGTGTATTTCTTGGACGGTTATATCGGGCGGAAATGAACGTAGGAGGCCTCAAAAGGCAATCTGGCTAGTTTGACCGCAACGGATATTATTTCCTTCCGCCTGTTGCGCCGAATCGATTTCCTCGGCTCGGCCATAATATGTTCGAACATCGGAAGATTTCCTCCGCTTTCTGACCTGCGTCGTGACCTGCGGGTAGTACGACGCCGCCAGATCGTCCTCTACCTCGTCGTCGTCGACGACGACGACGACGACGACGACGCTGGCAATCTCAAAAGGATCTTTCGGTAGCAGTTATCTTCCTTGTAGAAATCACGGAACGGTAACCCTGAAAGCGCAGGGAAATTCGTACACCATTTCACCGGCAGTAGGTACAGCGGGATACTACGTGACGTTTTTCGATATACTATTTGGCCCCTATGGGCCGCGCGTCTCGCAGATTCTATTTCAAGAATTTACATGGCAAAGCGATGTAATTCCGATGACATAATATCGATATTTCGAGTCGCGCAGGCAGCCAATAGCGGTCTGTAACTTGAAAGTGGCACGGGAGAATGTTCCATCGAAATCTAAATCGATATTTGCCGAAACGTTTTCGCGGTGCATACAAGAAGAAATATAATATTACTGTGGAATTGAAGAAATAAATACAAGATCGAGCAAAAATGAACTTTTCTCCGGCGCAAAAGAGGTTCATAATACTGAAAGAAGTTTTGCAAGAAATAGAAAGAGAACGAGAGAGAGAGAGAGAGAGAGAGAGAGGAAGGAGAGTTTCTACCTAAATGGCTGCGGAATATTCCATCTTTTTATCTGTACAAAAACGGGGTTATTTTGCCAAACTATTTCACACCCGCAATAACGGCAAGCACACGATTATTTTTGAGCTCCTAAACATGCGATGGATCGATCAGTATGATGTTTAACGTGCAAAAAGTTCTACTACAGATATTACGCGTAACATAAAATGCACCATACGCGATATATACCCATGAATATTACATCGTACATTACAATTCAAAGAAAAAAGGCAGGATCTTCCCGGACCGATAGACGACGCGATAAGGAGCGCGTATAATTATTATTCGCGTACGTGGTTCATCTGTGCTTGATCTACTCTGGAATTTGTTCAATACCCGATATCCTTAATACAGGTACGATTTATCGAGGATTTTTATTGCACGGGTCGCCAGAGATGGGCTCTCTCCCTCTCTCTCTCTCTCTCTCTCTCTCTCACACACACACACATACATCCCTGACATTTAGCGAGCTGGGAACGAACGATTCATTAAGGCAAGCACGCCGGCGAGTGATTTATTTTGCGCGGTGGAAACAATAAAAGCCGCCGCTGCGTGCAACGACGATGAAATCGTCGTCGCTAATTGCGGCGTGATGTTAAGTTCTTCGTCAACGACGAGTGACAGTTTAATTGCGGGTTCGAGTAACAACGCGCGAGAGGGGTAGGGAGTTTTTTTTTTTTCATAATCATCGGGAGAAACAAGTGCGAGTCCGCGGATGATGATCCGTGTGGCTATAATTAGAGGATTATACGAGGAGGAGAACCCGCGAGAAAAACGGGAGCGATGATCGCGCGATACTCCCGATGAGAAATCGCGTATCGATTCCTGGCCGAAGCAAAAGGAGGATAAGCCCGGCGAAGAACGCGGCCGTCGCGCTCGAAAGTTTTCGCAGTATAACTCGCGGAGAATGGCGAATTAATCTTAAACTTCACAAGGTAATCTAAAGAGGGTAAATTGAGAGGTAAGTAAATTTCGCGGCATTGTATCGGGAGATTTCGTAATTTTACAGCAAGATTTGCACGCGCGAGAACGAATACGAATAACCGTCCGGCGATAATTCCGAGCGTCGCGTAGTACATCCCAATGATACATCGCGATACAATGCGCTCGTTGCGCATTTTCGCGTCTCGCATAAATCGTCCGAGCGTTTCTTTAATTTAACTCGCACTTTTCAGGGGCCGGACGGATTTGTGTAAAAAGTCGGATAGCTATCGGATAAAGCTCCCGGCTCCCGATGATAATTTTTCCTACAGCTTATCGGAATTTTACGGCACGTCCGCGATGCAAATTTTTATTAGTTCATCCGCCACTTCCTTCGCAAATTCAATCTAACGGGTGTCCTCGAGCGCTCTGATTGCTCATCGATCGCCAGGAAAAAGCCTATTATGCCGCTCTCTCGGGCACGTGTCTGTATTAATAAAAGAATCAATAACCTCCAATAACTTCTGGCCGCGTGCTCGCTTTAAAATTGAACGTGATTATTCGATGAGCCCCCGTTCTTTCCCTCTCTGTCTATCTTCGTACGTAACGCTCAGACAATCATTGGGCAGAATCCACGGCTAGTCGATAAAACTCACGAAGCGCCCGATAACGATAACAGACCATTGCGCGGAAATTTCAAGATAGACAATTCATTAACGGCCCATGCAAATTGCGAAACGAGCTCCGACCGATCACGGCCGGCTAACTAAGCCTCGACGTTTCCGTAATATTCGCGCCGGCGACATTCAGGTAATCACGATCTCGGATCTCTCCCGCGAAATCGCGTAGATGCTATCGCGACGTCGACAGACGAATGGACGTGATTTTTCATAAGTGACGCGCGGACGAAGGCGTAAAAAGAGAAAAAAAACGCACGATTTCATTTCTCCTTCCTTCCTCCTCCTCCTGCCCTCCCCTCTCTCTCTCTCTCTCTCTCTCTCTCTCCCTCCCTCATTCCAACTATACTTCCTATTTTCGTCGCGCACGCTGCGCGTATAGACGACATTTAATCCTCTTATCTCGAGGTCGCTTTATCTAGTGTCCGTTCGTCGCGCAAGCATTCACCCACCGGGATTACGTAAAACAGGCCACGAGAAAATCGGTCACTAAACCGTCCCTGCTGGATATCGACGGCGACGTTAGCGGCGGCGGCGGCTGCGGCTGCGGCCGCGGCTGCGGCCGCGCCGACGACGAATGATTTATTTTTCGCCGTGCGTCTCCGCGATCTATCGAACGCGTCTACGGAGGGAAGTCGTTGACAAAAGAGATTTCACCCTTAATACCGGCTGATGTAATACGTCAGCCGTCTGAGAGGGCCGATGTACAGCTCGGCGGCTCGATAGAAAATTACTCGATTCCGTCGACCGTAATAAGCTCCTCTGTCTTCTACCCTTGTACACGACGATGCATTGACGATATTAAAAAAGGGCGACTGAAGAATGAAAGAGGAGGCGGGTATATGTACCGAAGAGAGAGAAATCCTCGAGAGAACTTGATTCTCAGTGCTGCGAGCGGAGCGGCGCATCGGAAGTATATACACGCACGGAGAGCGGTTGGAAGACGCCGCTGTTTGATAACAATGTTGTTCGACTATTACATAGTTGCGATATCGTAACGACGTTCGACGTGATTGCATTGAGAATTAGTCCAAGTGTGGTTAACTTAATCGCCCGCGTCTGTAATTACCGCGTCTGCGACGTTTCGATGCGCCGCCCACGGTCGCTGTCGCCCCTCAATCTTCTTAGTTTCTTAGCTTCTCAGTTGCTCTTCTCCTCACACGCATATTCGCCTCTACTTTGCGCTCTTTCCCCGATCTACATTTTCCCCTTCACTTTATTTAATAACGTGCGTGTAACGGGCGTCGCGCAAACGATCGGAGCGGAGGACAAAGTGACTCTCTGATTGCAAGTCGACGACAATTAATGTGGGGTGCATCCCGTGTGCGTGATTTTTATTTACTTTCATCGATTGTCGCGCGTGCGATAGGAAATCGCGAGATCGGATAAAAACGATCATAATACGGTCGGGAGATAATCGTGATACAACGAGAGTTACATAGACAGCGTATTAGTGATAACGCGAAAATCAATTTCGCGATAACGCGAACGTCAGCCTCGTCGACTAGGTGACTCCGAATGTGCTTCAAACACACGGGTGTATTCGCGAGTGTATTCACGTTAAACGATTTATCAGTGACAACACTAATGATAGCATCTAGTAATAACGCTACCGCAATTTTTGCTGTTTTCGATACTTCAAAATTTTACTGTTGCGTTTGCGATGAAGACCGAAATACATGTGCGTTATTGCGAGGACATGTTTACGGGGACGAGATATTTTCAGCTCGCGCTAAAAGCGATGATTTATTGCCGAGTTTTTGGAGGGGGCGGGGGCGGGGGCGGGGGTGTAGCTATATATTTAATAAAGATCCATTATGCAATAATTTAGGTGCTCTCGCGTGTATCCCCGTCGCGCGACGATAAAACGGAATAAATGATATTTTCTTTTAATACGTCGTCAATACGGATAATTACGCGGGCAAAAGGTTAATTACCGCGCGATTTAATTGGCCATATCGCGAGCGTAACGAAGCTTGCCCTGCAAACTAACCGTGCGAAGACTAATCTAGGTCCGGAAAAGGCATAACTGCCGATGGCAGAAGGTAGGGGATTAATTATAGACTCGAAACAAGCAAAAACTACGTCAGAGTCCGGTTGATGCCGTTGAACAAAACGAAGGGATCTCTTTGTTCGTATACTGTTGGCAATCGAACATACGTTTGCGATTGACAATTGCGAGAATAGAAAGGATCTGATTAATAGTGTAGGCAACAAGTTCCAGCATTTTCAATCTTCTCCCGATTAAAAGTTTATTAGGAACCCTCTCTCGCAGACGGATATTCTGTGCGATTGAGCGAAGTTGGAGAATTAAGAATCGAGAAGATCAAGAATGCAGGAAGCGCGACCTTGATTCACACAGGAGGATATAATATTTTTCGAACATTCTTAGCTGAAGCAGTGCGCCGTTTCACACACTGACGTACGGAATTAAAAATTCACGAGAGAACGCGTATAACGTCTCTACAATGGAACGATCAACTTTGTAAGTAAGGTGGACGGCTGTACACATGATCGCGGACTGTAGACTTTCTAGCGTGCATTTAATGTTAAATCTAGCCGTCTGGAATCCTAACTTTATTAGGTTATGTGGAGCTCTCGCTCGCTTCGCGCGACGTCGTTTCACTTTGTAAATAACAAGCGGCCAGCTTTAACGTTAAACAAGCCACCGAAAGGGGAGACTCCGGAATAGTCCTAGAGTATCTCTCTCTCTCTCTCTCTCTCTCTCTCTCTCTCTCTCTCTCTCTCTCTCTCTCTCTCTCTCAAGACATCCAAAATGTCTGAATTCCTCAAAGAACGGCAAACACGGCTGTCCCGTTCTCAGGAAAGAACAACAGACATGCATCTCGCGTTTCCTACCTCTTCGATACCGCGCGCGCGCTCGAGTCCTACATCCCTTCGTGCACACACACTTGTTCTTCCTTCCGTCGAGAAAACACCGAACGGTCGATGGACTCGGCAGCGATGCGAGAACGCGTGCAGAGAGAACGCAGCACGCACAATTTCGCGGGCGAATTGCGCGGATGAATTCTCGCGTGAAAGAAGAAGAAAACGGGAGACAGGAGCGTCGCTCTTCGCGAAGGAGCCTGACTCTCGCGCCGTGACTAGAGGAAGGCGAAAATAAAAAGAGAAAGGATATCGAGCGCAAATTCGTTCTCGTCAACGTCGATGTGAGCGCGGTACACCGACCTCGGGGTGCAGCGGCGCGACCCTCGCGCACCTTGCACCGCGTATCACTGTGGTATCGCGCACGTCGAAGCGGAGCGCACACCCCCGTTTGACGGAGCAACCCCTGCCGTGGCGACGCGCTTCGTCGAGCCACCCTACTCGAGTGCGCGATAAGCGATCGGCGAGAGAAGGAAAAGGGGGAGCGAGAGATAGATAGATAGATAGATAGATGGATAGATAGAGAGAGAGAGAGAGAGAGACAGACAGACAGACAGACAGACAGACAGACAGACAGACAGACAGACAGACAGACAGACAGACAGACAGACAGACAGACACACACACACACAGAGAGATAGATAGAGAAAAAGAGAAAGAAAGCTACTCACGATCAACGCTGGAGATCCACGCGACGTCCTGCTGCTTGGCCGCGTTGTCACGCCGATGTGCCTCTTCTGACAGCTGTCATTACCGGCAGCAGCTCGCGACCCTCTCGTGCTCATATCGCGACGACCTCGACGACGAGTGTGGCTGACCATCGGGCGGGTAAACAAGAAGATGCTGAGAAGGGCGGCGAGCCGGCTGTGTTGAGGTTGTGACGAGGTCCAGGAGAACGGATGAAACGCGAAGCGACGAGCGTGTACGCGGGCGATTACGATCGGATGGACGAGAGGGGGAGGAAGAGAGAGAGAGAGAAAGAGAGCGGGTCGGACAGGCTGCTAACACACGAGTAACACGCGATGATAATTACGATCGGTGTCTATCTTATGCCTCCTGCCGGGTCGACGGCGACCGATGGTGTCGCCAGGCGCCGCGCCACGCCGAGCCGCGCGAATCGTACCATTACAACGTGAATACGGTTGTGCCGTCGCACTCCGGTCGGAGCGGGCGCATCGATCCGAGCACCCTCTACCACCTGAGCCGCGATTGGTTGCGGCGGCGCGCACGCGTACGCGTGCCGCAATCGAAGGGCGCGTTCTGAACTTCGTCGCGAATACGAACGAGCGCGAAGCTGCGCGATGTCGAGCCGATCGAGAGAGGAAGCACGCGCTCGAGCTTACCGCCGTAACGGTTTACGAGCGTACTCATGCACCGAGCGGAGAGACCTGGCCGAGAGTCGACGGAGAACGAGATGCTGCATCAGCGCGTTCACCGGGTGAGTTCTCTCTCGCGGGAGACGCACTGGTCGTGTATGCAGCTTTCGAGCTCGCGTCTTTCGCAGCTCGACGATGCGGGACCCAGCGACCTGAAAAAGCGACGACGCCGCCGCGGTGGGCGCCAATTTTTCGTACGCGCAACATGGCGGCGTAACGGAAATTTTTCCTTTCGCAATCGTAGAGACGACGGTATCGCGGCGCAAACGAAAACGCGGGATCGCTTGGTAAATGTACCAAGCAAGCAAAGTTGAATGCCACCAAAGCGCTTAGGCGGGAATGATATTCTGGTGAAATACATATAACTTGTCGTTTATGGCTCGAGAGAGTGCAGCAGCACGATAACGTATTCAACGTTTGCAATGCGGCGTTCTGTTTCTCGAGCGCGGAAGCGTATACATAATTAGTAAAGGTAAATAACTGTCGGTAACGTTTTTGCACGATTAAAATGTACCGCGCGGACGCATTATGCATAATGAGCATATTAAATGCGAGATAACGACAGTAACGTATTCGAGGCTCTTGTGATTGTCGAGTCGATTTGCCAAGCGATCGTCTGCGGCTATCTTGTTTTTTTTTTATACATATACAACTATGCATTCACGTTCGCAAAGGTACACAGTAATGCGTGACCTTCTGATACTTTTCTCTTCTTTCGCAAAATAAAATGGTTGAAAAATGTTTGTCCATATTAATTGCGCAGGTGAGAAGATATCTCTAACCGAGATTTCAGTTGTTAACCTTACAAATTTGCTCCAATTTGAAGATTCAGTATAACAAGTACTGTACAAATTATTGTTCTACTTTGATACCACAGATAATTATTTACTGTCAATTTCTCTGTATTAAATTATTCTTAAGAAAGACTTATTTACTTTAGAATTATTTATTATTCGATTATCTTAACTTCTACTTGCATCTAGTATTTACTTTTAATTAGTGTAATTAGAGAAATACTAATTTCATAACATATCCAGGTTCAAATAAAGTAAGATAGTCAAATATTACGAATAAAGTATGTGATTTAAGAATATTACATACTTCATATCAAGTAAGTAATGAAATTATTGAGAAATAAATCAATAAATCTTCTTCAGTGCATAATCCTCTTAATATTTTTAAATATTCAAGTTGGAGATTAAATAGAATTTCAATATTCAGAAAGAAGGAAAAAGGAGAAGTAAAGATAGCATATAAAGATTAAACAATTGTATGTCTAATAATGCAACATGTAACAAAAGTTTTAAATTTGGTTTCTATACAATAACAAAATTAAATAAAAAGTGGAAAAAAAGCATTGACAAATTACAAATACTTTGTAGTAACAAGAAGCAACATTAACAGATACATAAGTCAGCTCTTTTAAAATTTATACTAGATTGTAGAAAACTGATAGCTACAATTGTAATCTATAATTATTTAATTCTTTGATAATAGAGAGAATATAATTAATTACAAATTCTTATTTATATATCTTCGATTATTTGAAGCAATATGTTTTGTTGTATCAAATATACAACGATGCATGTACAAATTGACAAATAAACAAAAAAATTTCACTAAAGATACAAACAAACAATATTTCTTATGTAAGATGAATACAGACATTGACGAATAATAAGAAATTTATACAAAGTCAGGATTATTTATTAAATAATGAACCAGGGATCGGTTTATATTTCGACTCGGCTATTCACTTCATTCTGGATAAATTCGTAAAATATCGTTTATAACATCGGGAACTTGTAGAATAAGCAATTTGACATATCTGGAAATATATGATAAATCAGCGTTCCGTTTTCTGCCATTTCCTATTGGCCTTTACTATTTCTTCCATTTGGCTCTCTTGAATCTTCTATAATTTCTTTTACATTTGCCCTTACTATCTCTTTCTTTTGGCTTTCTCTCCGATATATCTTTAAATTCTATTGAAATTTTCAGTGTTAATAGAAAAGGATAATATTAAAAAGGTTATGAAGAAAGAATGTTTTTCATTTATGTGTAAGTCGTTAATATTTGACAAACTTACCGGGTTAAATTAATACAAAGATTTCAATGCGACATTTTTCTCATACATTACAGAAAAATTTGACTGCAATTGAATTTGATACAAACGATAAATTACGCTATATACGCCGCCACCCGTTACATAATTTCCATACGCTTAAAAAACTTCCTTATTTAACGGGCGAGCCATGAAAGTTACAACATGCTATGAAAAGAAGAAGCTTCACTAACAAAAACAAAGCTACCTCAAATATCCTGCCTCGAATGAGAATTTAAGACGCGCGTCTCTTTGCGAACGGATGAAGGAAAGTGCACTTTTATTTCGTGGAACAAGCATATCGTAGACGTAGAGAACTATTGAAAGCAACGGATGTTATGGCGCAGCGTAGAAATAAATACGCATATTCTATTTCAGCGATAATCCATACCAGAAGAAAAGAGAGAGAGAGAGAGAGGGGGGAATCTCTGGTGCTTTTCGGTAGATTAAAATACCAGTCGCGTCGGCGGAGTTCTTCTTTGAAATTTCACATTGATCATCTCCTCGTGTAGCCTCGATTGCCCTAGAAAGAGATAGCTCGTCCTACAAAGAGACGTGATAAAAATAAAGGGCAATAACCCGCCGCGGTTGATGCGACCCGTCTTCCTCGTCCCTTTTCCGACGATAAAAATAATATTGTCAATAATTTACATATTTCCTGGTCGAACACATTATCGCTCGCGCGAGCTCGCGCGTGCATAAACTTGGCTATCGAGTGCACGAGAGGGTCGTTGTGAATACGTGGAAAATAAGATGATGGCTTACGACATCGTTTTAGGATGTTACGTTTAACACGTAGAACACACGTTTAATGTCATTACGTATTAACGTTGGGTCATACATACATTACCGTAGCGATTAAAAAAGTCGAATAACTGACATCTAAGTAATTTATTCTACAAAACATGGTGGGGACGCGCGTACGTCGTGGCATTATAACTCCGTCGGATTGATCAGCGTATCACGATATCGCCTGGAAACAGAAAAACGGCGCAATCATTATTGTCGTTATCGTCGTGGACAATTCGATTACTTAATTCGACTATCATCGCCAATACCACGCAGAGCGCTCGCAAAATTTATTCCCTCTTCGCGAAACACTCGATCGCGCGCATCGATCCCTTCGATATACTCAGCCGACATGTTCTTTCCCTAAAACCGCTAAATAAAAATACCGACTCGCAGCGGAAAATAACCGCGGCGCGTCGGAACTAATAATGTAAAATTTCTCAAATAGAGCGATCGATGAGTCGATAAAATATTTCTGCGACGAAGTAGAATACCGCCGGCGGCTATTTTTAACGTGAACAACCAAACGAGAATGGATTTCGCTATTAGTATCCAATTAACGTCAAATCGCGAGTCACCTGAAATGAAGCAATTGATTTTATCTTCTCTTCGCAGGAATTCTTGCGCGGCCGCCGTCGATGCGTCAGACGTGTGATCGATGCTGGGAACAGCGGCGACGGTGATTTGTATTCCGTCGTAAAGTGAAACGAGTTTGGGAGAACACCGCGAGCTATTATATCGCCATGGCTGCTGTTACATGATAGAAACAACATGGTGTGTACGTTCGTAGTGTAATACCGGCATCGGCGGCGGCGGTGGCGGTGGCGGTGGCGGCGATACACCGTCGGCGGGGGACCGTCATAAGTGATTCGGTATGCGCATACGTGATGGTAGGTCGTCGTGTAAATGCCCACGATGTTCGATCGCTCGGCTGCATAGTCGCGATGCAAAATCCCCCGTATGAAAGCACCGGTCGTGCGAGAGCATAGCGGATGCATAGAAACAACGTCTTCCGCGAATGCACGACGACGACGACGACGACGACGACGACTGCCGGAAAAGTGTCCACGACCGAACGCAAAACACAAGCATCTATTGATCCCCTGAGAAGCCGCATTTTTTTCTATGCTGTATCCTTCTCCCTTCTTGCTTCGCGCGCGAGAGAGAAGCGAGGAAACGGCAACCGTAAATTCGCGAGCGTGTCTTGGCCGAGGCGCGTCGCCTCGTGTCGCGTCCGATGATACGGAAATTTTCACGACGCGATCCATTAACCCGCCGAGAGTATCGGGCGTGTCCTCCTCCAGAAGCGTGGAAACTCGTAAATTCGCCAAGTTGCACGCGAAAGCGTCCCGTCGTGCCTGATAAAGCGCGCAAAATTTCGAGATGCGATGACGCCGGCCGCGAGTGCGCCCCCCGCGAGTTTATCGCCCCGGAAGGGAGGAAACGCTCTTTCTACACATATAAAATTCGCGGTGGTACGACCGATATCGCGATCGCGTTAACTTTGACATTCGTGAAACTAAGACGCTACTTTAGCGAGACTTGACGTGGAGGGAACCGCGGGAACCGACAACAGGCGTCTTAGGTCTTAGGAAACTCGATAAAGATCTTGGGAGCGAACTCCCAGGAGCGCGAAACAGCAATAGGATTTATCCGCTTTAATTTCCGAGGAGAGAGGTGCACGACGCGGCAAGAAGCCTATGCTTTACGCGTCACAAATAAAGCCGATCGTGGACGTATTCGCGAAGAACCGTCTGACCGGCCGAGACATAAGCGATGCTCAGGACGCTTTTTCCGTTGCAGAGATTACACACGGAGGTTACCTGAGAATATCTGCGCCATGCTGCCAGACGACCTGCAGTATGTCGCGAGGGACGGTTCGTAACGTATCAAAGTCCGCCTGGCGTCTTCGCACCAGTTCCAAAAGACGAGCTTCTGATCTCTGGCCGCCAGATCCGTCAGCAGCAGCGTAAGGTTCTTCGCTACTGTAGCATCAATCCTCAGCACGTGACGGCCCTCCACAACTACCGGTAAGTTTCCTGGCCTCTTGTCGCACCTGAACACGCAACAAAGTCGCGGTGAACGGTCTTTGTCACTCTCTCTCTCTCTCTCTCTCGCTCTCTCTCTCTCTCTCTCTCTCTCTCTCTCTCTCTCTCTCTCTCTCTCTCTCTCTCTCTCTCTCCCTCCTTCTCTCCCTGCCTCTTCCTCGCGCGCACGCCAACACGGGGTGTCCCAAGAAAAGCGCGAAATACATGCGTCGTTACTTGCAAAGTTGGAAATCGATTTCTCCTTAGCGAAAGTCAATGCTCCGAGAAATAGTCTCCACGCCGCGCCTCAGAAAGCATAAAAAAGATCTCTCGCGCGAATAAAAAATAGAACGGAGACACGACATGAAAAATACATCACCGCTCAACGTACGAAGTTCGTTTTACAGCGAATTTTTCTTTAACGTAATTTTCATTCAAGACTCGCTGAAGTCTCAAAGCGTGTCGAGGCTCGAGTAATCACGAGGAAAAAGGAGATTATTTTTATTGAACTTTTTTCTTTTTACCAATGATATATATTTGACGTTTCGTTTCATGCTTTTTGCGGGCGCACCCCGTGTACAGATCGACTCGAATTATTTCTTGCGCGAATTTGCGGCGGAACTTACCACGACATTACTCGCTCTCGAAGGTACTCCGCGGCCGGGTAGCTCAGGGATTGCTTGGGCGATACGAAGAGCACGGTCAAACCATCGACGATCCGCTCCTCGATCAATAGACCAGGCCGAGCCGCGAAATAGAGTAAGAGAATTAGATTTACCGCAATCCCGGCGATCATACCGTACTCCAAACCGACCGCCAAGCAACATAATAACGTCACCGTCAACGGCACCAGATCGATTTCTGCTCGCCAACAGAACGGAGAAGACGTAGAGAGAAAGGGGGAGAGAGAGAGAGAGAGAGAGAGAGAGAGAGAGGGAGAGAGAGGGGGGAGGAGCTGGATTAACCGCCGGATAATTTATAACGAGCTATACTTAACGCTTCGCGGTCGAGTGCTGTACTGTATATCTTCCGTATCTCCGCGTTATTCGCAATAATGAAGAACCAGAATTCAACGTACCGATCCCGCGGTTGCAGGAAATAACGGACGTACATTTGCGGGCAAATGAAAATTCGTTTAAGGACATCTGTTGGAAATTAATCCAGTTTGCTCGATGTGACAATTTTTTCTTCCATTTTTCCTTGTTGCTCAAAAAATGCAAAATTAATTTTACGTGTATGATATTCTTCGAACTTTTCGATTTGAATGATAACTGCTGAATAAATAAAAATCATCAAAGAAAGGCCTCACACAACCGAAAAGTCAATTTTTTATTTAAAAAATTTGTTTCACTCTAATGATTATTGATGAGTGATTAAGAAATATACCGGGAAAACATCTCGACTGCGAAGCGCTAAAGTGTGGAAGCCGCTGTTGGCGTCTTACTTTTCGTTCTCCAAAGAACGACGAAGATGTTCACTTCGAACATATAGTACATGGCGATTATGATGACAGCCGCTAATGTGGCTTTGGGAATGTACGTGAAGGTGGACGTCAATAAGCCGCATGCCAAAAGCACCAAACCGCCAGTAATCAGGCCGCTCATGGGCGTTTTGACACCGGAGGCGTTGTTAACTGCCGTCCGGGTGAAACTTCCGGTGATAGGCATTGACTTGACGAAACTGCCGAAAAGATTGCAAAGGCCCAGCGCCAACATCTCCTGGTTGGCGTCGAGTGTCTTTCCCTTTGCTGAAAATTTATTGCGCTTCTTGAGGCGTAGATTTGAAAAATTTTTTGCATAAAATCGTCTCGTCGCACGAGACGTCAAATACTTGCATCCGAAGTCTTCAACACGCGGCAAATTCAACTCTAAATCCTACACGCACGTGATTATTTACGATATTTATTATACGATAAATATTTATTAGTATAGATATTTATTACATATGGTTTACGTTACTTTTATTATTACGTGTTATATGATATAAGTTGCTTTTTGTCATTATTATCATTATAATTATATTATCGAAACAGCAAATTACAGGACGTGCTAATGAAATTCACGAGAAATTTGATATAATATGATAATTAATTTTAAACATAATTAACTCTCCTTGCACATACACACATACACACACACACAAATAGATATTTTTAAAGATAATTTCAGTTACAAAGATTTCATATTCTAAACAATATGAAGAGCTCGACATAAGATTTCGTAATTTTAGTCCTATAATAACTCTGTAAATTCTGTCAAGCTTGAAAGATTATCGGAGAATCATGAAATATAACGCTATACAAGTTATTATCCTTCTTTAATGCTGCAAATAGTTTCCTCCTCCATGAGTTATAGTGATAGTGAAGGAAACTTGTTTCTTTAATCATTGAATATTTGATTATCTGAAATAAAAACATTTTGCAGCATCGAAATAGGGCAATAGTAATTTATACAGCCTTGTATTTCAAGATTTTCCAGTGGTCCTACAAGTTTGACAGGATTTTCAATGTTCTAACGTGAAATTAAAACTTGGACCGCGAGAGTGAAATATTAAAAAAATGTGTCTTTTTCTCTATCAAAATCGGTCAATGTTAAACCTCTTAAAAGCCATGAGCAAGATTTACTCACCGAATGCCTTCGCGATCGCGATGCTTTCTAAGATGGCGATGAGAGGTACCGAAATGACACTGCTGCCGAGTTCGTTGACCAACTCCAAGAAGCTGTACGTATGGTTTCCGCTTACGATGGAAAACGGGGGCAATGAGAACGGCGGCAAACCCTCGGTTATGTTGCCCGTAATTTGGAAAGGCTTGATGTCGTGAGAGAATAGCATGTATGCTATGAGAATTCCTACCATCACGACTATGGCGTTTCTGGCTAGGGAAACCAGCCACATAAATTTCTCTAGAGGGGTTCCCAACTTCTTGCCGGGCAGCTTCTATTTTCAAATATTTCGTCTTATTGATTATATTTTCGAATATCTCGTTACAAGCTTAATTATATCCCGCGTGAAAACGAAAGGAAATCACGCTAGAAGTAAATATATTTATATCCCATTAAATCGTGTCTAAAATCACTTTTCGAATAAATATCGCCTGAGATATATGTTTCGGATCCAAGAATCGATTAAAGTTAACGATAAAAATGATCGTTTGATGATAAAAATATATCTATAATTTGATAAAAAATATTATCAAATTATCAAATAAAAAATTATCGATCAAAAATACTAATCGAATATATTTTCTAAAAACGAATTTCGTAACGATAATATATATATATATCTAATTAATTATACCTTGAGAAGAACCAGCACCACCATCGAGCACACCCCTAACAACGTATCCCAAGGTTTCGTTTCATTTATATTCTTGACAACTTGCGAGATAGCGTCGATGAAGGAATCGCTACGCCCTTTTATGCCTAACAAAGTACCCAATTGGGAAGTAGCGATAATAACCGCCGCGGCATTACTGAAACCGCATATTACGGGCATGCTAATGAAATCCACGAGAAATCCCAAATGAAGTACTCCCATTGCCGTTATCAAGACACCCGATAAGAAGCACATAAGTACCTGAAAATGATTTTATCCGTGCCTTATCGAATCTCACTTGCAAATTATGACAACGGGAAATTTTCCACTGTCTAATTATACGCGTGAAAATATTTTACTTCAAATATTCGGCAAGGTAATTGGTTCGTTAATCAATTTTAAGAATAAAAATAAGAAGAAGAATAAGAATAGAAGTGAAATATTCACAGAACAAACGTGTTGGTAAATGAGGTTGTTAGAACATACATATCGTGAGAAGCACGGAGGTGTTAAACGACTTTAATTGTACGCTGTGCAAAGAGAAGGGGAGATTAAAATGCGCAGTGTCGGGACGATGTTAATAAATCTCCACTTACGGCGAAATCTTCACCCAGCCTCATAACGTGCTGTTGCGACAATAAAGCCATTATTGCGGTAGGACCCACCGTGACATCCTTGCTACTCCCGAAGATCAGATAAACGAAGCACCCCATGAAACTGCTGTACAGGCCGTACTGAAGTTTTCAAAAGTTCACCTAACGAGAATCGCCTTTCCAACTATCGTAGATTAAACGGGGAATTACTCTCGGCGGACATTCTCAAAATACTCGGGTGGAATCTCGCGGAAAACCGCGAATAATTACGCAATTACGGAATTACCGTCGCGACTTCTGATTTTCGACGTGTTACGGAAGTTCCTACTTTACTGCATTTTAGAATGTAATTCGGCTGTACGAATCGATGCGATACGCAGCGGCGCAACTTCGTTGAACTTAGCTGAACGAAAATCGAATTTGTGACTTTGCGAGGATCTTTTTGCGAGATCCCCGAGGGGAAAAAGTGGGAGGAAGAACGGCGCCACGTTAACGAGCGCGAGTTTGGCGAAGTAGATTTTTACTAGTCAAACACATGTCTAAATTTAGGCTCGATTGTCAAGATAGTGAACGTTAAAAAATAGTTGCAAGAAATTGTAATTGATATACCGATATTATCGTCAGCGCGAGATTATCCTCAAATTTTATTCGCACAGGTCGCTACTTTCGTCAATTTTCTAGCAACACGAATAATTACAATATTTCACAAAGCAATTATACTATATAATTATAACTCGCCACTAGTATCTTTTCGATAATTCTTTCGTACACTCGCTCACACTTTTTGCCTAGCTGAATCGCAAAATTGCGTCATTTCGATTTATTTCGATCGTCTTCCCGGGATGGGTCCGCGGTATTTTAATTACTTTACGGAAAATTCGCGGCGTGTACATTGATATCTAATGGTAGTTTCGACTCTCCGACGTCCTTCACGCGACGAGAAGTTTACACGCGGCAAGTGCAAGCTCGCAAGAACGCTCGTGTTGCGTACGCACCTGAGCCGGAAGTCCAGCCACTATTGCATACGCTATACCCTGCGGTATCGCGGTCAGACCCACTGTCAACCCCGCCAAAGTGTCCTGCAGAAGTTTGCTCCAACTGTACAGAGGCAGCCATCCCAGGATAGGTATCCTCCGTAGGAGAACCCCCTTGAGGTCGCAACTTCGGGGGAATGCGACGTTCGGCCCTATGATTTATAAAAGGACCGTGTGTGAACGTGAAATAATCGCGAAAGCAGTTGAAAAGCAAAATTTACAATCATCTCGGAGCGACGATTAGTCCGTAGAGGACAACCATCTGTTACAACAGCAAGGTTCCGACAAACCTTGTGTAATTAGAATAACAGAGAGATAATGCGCGAAGCAATAGTAGCAACAGTAGTTTCAGAAATAATGAGAAATCACATGAGTAAAAGTAATTAGTAATTTTATTAATTCTATCTCATTTATCTAATCGATAAGACGCTGAAATATTGAAAGTGAAGAGAATCACCAAGGGACGCTTATCTTTGAGACGTGATTTGAGATATAATGACACTCGGAACTAAATTACATTCAATATAGACCGGTAATATTGCAATTAGCAATATACGCACAGGCTATTTAACTCGTTATCGAGGCACGTGCACAAATTCTAGATACGTCGATCAGAGGCTGCATTTAAGCAGCTTATCGTCGCAGCTAGTATATCATGTTATATAGAATGCGAGGGAGAGAGGACGATAGAGCGTAAAATTATTAACTAATCATAGTCACGCCTGTCGGCGTTCCGACGACGGGTTGCGATAACGAGGGCTGTGCGGGCACGATATTGCAAAATCGCTACGTGCAGACGCAACTTTCTAATAACAACCGCACCACTTCCCACCACTTCACACCTAAATTCACCCTTGTAATACGCAATTTAATTAATCGTATCGCGTATCGCTCGTTACGATGATTATACGTACACAGTGTCATGCTGCCGACACGCTCTAGTTTTCTTCCAACGCGTCACCCGAATCGAACGACACCCGCTCGTGAAATTGCTGCAAAGACGGATATGCGACGGACGGCAGAAGGAAAAGTGCGCGACGCCGACTATCTGTCTCGACGAAGTAATCCGCGAAATCGCTTCTCTCTCTCTCTCTCTCTCTCTCTCTCTCTCTCTCTTTGCCTTTCTCTAAAGCTAGCTCCCCTATTCAATGTCACATCGAGCACTGACGCATACGTGGACTCACGCGGTGTAATACCTCTGATAATTCAGCCCGACGTGCTGGAACGCGACAATTTCTCGAGTGTTACCGATTAGCAGGATGATAAAGCGTTTAATATGCCATTTGGGAGACCCTGGAGATAACGCCAATGACAAACAAACGATAATCAAACGTGACAAACGATTTCGCCATTGTAATCTGATCCCTATAAAGTGTTTAACAACATCATCTCGCGATGGCTCCGATATTTAACTGTCATGCGATAACTCCATGGTTTAAATGATTGTACTATCACACGACAACGTGTCACGTAAGACGACGCTTGATAAATTAAACCCGCTGAGCTTTTCGGCTAATTTTGGTGTGGCTCAGCCGAGCCCGGTTCCTCCCACACCGTCGACAACAATCGTTACCGCGCTATCATAAAAAAATCACTATCGTGTCACGCTACCATAAAAAAAATCACTATCGTAAAAATATTGTACGGGGGGGGGATAGGATTTTTATTTTTCCAATGGCTCGCCTCCCTTTTTTTATCGCTCTCCCTTTTTAGAAATAAATTTATTGAAAATGTGTCATGAATATTTCATCGAGAGTGAAATCCGGGGTTGGTCTATGAGCGAAAAAGAAACGGCGGAGGAAATTACGCGCTTTCAATGAATTAATTATCTCGTGCTCGTGGAGCAGCAAGTGAACGAGCGAAATATTTAACGCGAATCGAGTGTGTGTTTTTGGGGTGGGCGAGAATAGCACGAACGTCGAATTTCGTTTCTGTCTGAGTGACGGCGGGAAAACTGAGCCGTCGAGATTAATTGGACGCTGTCGTCGAGACGTCACGTGGAAGAGAGATTTTGATTAATCATCAGAGCACACCGAATCGTTGACCTGACATATTTGCCAAGCGCGTACGACTATTACATGCCGCGAAACGACAAATAAACAGTCACACAGAAGCACCGCTGTCTGCGACGTTCCGATAACGGTCTTAAACGGAAAGACGCCGTCATTTAACCGACTGACATAACACAGTCAAGTTTTCCTTATCTCTCCATACTGATTATTTATTTATTATGCACATATTATGGACATTAATTGAGGAAGTATACATTGCACGATCGAATATATTTAACTATACGAGATGCATTTGCAGGTAAAACTTTGCGCGAAAAATTTATTTGTACGGGATTTTCACAACACAACCTTGAATTAAAGTGTTTAGAAATAATTTTCTTTTTTATATCACTTTAAGATATAAAAATATATAATATATAAAATCGCGTGAAATATATATTGGGAAATAAGTTCCTTCACATGGGAGAGTTGCGTTTTCCTCACAGTATCAATGACTCGGTCGGTACCACTCTTGGCATGTAGAAATTAAAAAAAGAATTCTCTTGAAAAAAATAGTTGCTTCATGTCAAATTGTGCTTCCACATCTTGCGTTCATATATCCTCGGAAAAGAAAAAAAAAAGAATCCACCTTGCCGCAGTCGGTAGGACTCGAACCTACGCTCCCAGAGGGAATCTGATTTCTAGTCAGACGCCTTAACCACTCGGCCACGACTGCTACGTGCGAGCTCTTTCGCACACAAGTTCCAAGTGTACCAGCATGTATCACGAAATACGTATTCTGACATAGATTGCGTCACATTTTCTTGACCGCGTAATAACATTGCATCGTAGCACGTCGGCGGAACGAGACGAATCGCGATCGATAATCGAAACACGACGGCGACATGGACAGATCTCTGAATAAAACATTTCGTAAACAAAATGCGCTTTTCCTTGCTGCATTCCCACGCGAGCGTTAAAGCAACGTAGAACAAAACTATTAGCACGACTGGTGTAAGACGGACAGTAAAAATCAGACGAGGAATGAGAGAACGCAACCGCGACACGAACAAAGGCGTAACGAAACGTGATGACACAATGAACGGAGAGATTAATTAACAGTTCGAGGAGAATATATACGCGAAATCGAAGCAAACTTGAAATGTCGCAATCCGCTCGGGCTATGTACTTATAGATTTTGAATCAGCTGTAGATTATCTGGGAATGTACACGAGCCACTTTAGATTCGCGAATTTAATCACCGAAGCCATTCGCTTTCACAGCTCGGTCGGGCAAATATTACGAGGTATCTTCAACAAAATTACATAACAGAAAAAAAATGGTGAGTTTCCTCGCTCCCGTCTCTCCCTCTCTCTCTCTCTCTCTCTCGTTAAATCACCGAGCGACTTCTGCTGAATGAAGGCAATAACAATCCTTGAACGTTTTGTCACATAAAAACGCACGCGTCATAACACGGAGGAGAACGCGACGCGTCACGACGCGGGCGACAATGACACGCTGAAGATCACGAGAGGATCGAGGCGAAACTTACTCGGGAGGAGCGGCGTGGTCTCGCGGAGCCTTTCACGTGGAAACGACATTTCTTCGCGGTCACAAGGAAACGCGTTATTTCAACGACGAGATCATACGAGCCACGTGCGCGCTCCCGATACGGGAGAGCTCTCGGACACGCTCCCGATACGGGAAGCGCGGATACTTCGACTGGAACGGACGGACGAGGAGGGCGATGTCGATAAAACAGAACGGACGATCGAGCGCGATCGTCGCGTATCAACGTCGGCGATAATGAGCGACGAGCGCGAGCGGAGGCGAGTAGTGAACGGTGACGCGACGCGTGCGACCTCGAGAGCGGGTACGCGTTGATACCGTCTCTATCGTGAGCGTCGGGATTTTTTCTTCGGGTTAATGGAACATGCGGCGCGTGTTGTCGTATCTCGCGCGTACACGCATAATACGTACAATGGCGGATGTCTCGACGAGAGCTGCGCATGCCCCGAGCAGTACAGATTATATTGTTAATGTTATTTTTATTCTATCATTAGCGAGAACGGCGCAGCTCGCTCTCCGCGCGGCCACCGTGAAATTACATTGAGATGATTATTCTTACGTAAATTAGTCACGCAGGTGATCCGCCTGGTTTTCGGGCCCGAAAATAAAACAACGCGGATCGCGCCGCGCGAGGTGACTCGCGCACGAATCTTCGGGTGCTTGAAATTGAGATTGACCGCGAGAAGATTGAGCTTGATTGAGCTCAATTTTTATCTCGTCAGTCTCAATTTACAAATAATTCCGCTACTGTAATTTCGTAAGAATTGCGTCTCGCTGGTGCACATGTTCTCTATTTTGTTCACTCGTTATTTACTCGAGAATTGAAGGAAGCAATCGCCACACGATCCTTCGATCTCCTAAATAATATTTCGTCAAGCTATCCCAATCTGGACGAAACAATCTCAATTGTAAGAAACTTGTCACTTTTCAGAAGCCGTCCCCGCTTCTCAGAAGTCGTCCAGGTAGCAAAAACGATATGAATCTTTCAAGAAACGTGGATCACGCGAAGACAATAAGGATCATCGGCTGCCAACGCGCTGAGTAAATGACAATGATTAACACATTGCTAATTGCAATCTAATCAATGCGTGATAACGTAGCTTCCTACCGTCGTAAACGTTCTTGACTTCAACTGCGAAACGACTGACGTAAAGTCTGCCAGCGCGACGATTATTCGCGATGTTATCTGGATGTACGTAATTCTCGAGTTAATTACGAATATACGTTGCAATGGGATTATAATTCAACGTTGTGATTGCAAAATTATTGCGTTGGCGATACAAAAGTTTCAAAACGCTCTGTTCTCTGAATCTCCTTTTTTACATAGCAAATACAGACGAGACATTCGAAATTCTACATATCGTGGAGATTTCAGGTTTCACGAGAAATCCTTCCTTCGAGCCCGACTTGCACTTGCACGAGTTTTAATAAATTTTTCTGCGATTTTACAAGCCGGCGGACCGTCCTAGTTACATAGACAATTGTTTCTCTCGAGCAGTGCAACAGTTGTTGCGACGTTTCACAATATCGCAACGGCCATGCGGTTGTTTATAAACAAATATATCCGAAATTCGGAAGTACGAAACTGTGTTCGTTGCCTACCGTTGCTAGTTTGTTTAAAAAGTAAAAATGTGCATACGGCACAGCAATACCGTCTGGATGATATCTGGCAAATTACAATGCTTTGCAACACGCATTTGCAATGCATGTGTTGTGAATCAAATTTCGCTTAGCTTATCAGCGGGTCGGCAGAGGTACGACGAATAGGGAGGAAACCGAGTCAGTGAAGAGAGAAGAACGCGCCATTTGTATTCGATATCACGTGTGTATTTTTCACACGCGTCAGCTTCGAGATTTAAGTCGACCCGCGATCAAATGAACGATCGTAATTATCCGGTAGCTCGTGCTTAATTAGCACATAGTTTTACATTGTAAGTGGCAGTTAACTCGGCGATTGCGCATGTGAAGTAAATCCGCGCTCACGGGCGTAGTATCATTAAACAATTAAACACGATGAACTATTAAAACGGCCGGTGGAATTCGTTCTCGCAGCTCTCGGCGCGCAATCCATTTCCACGACACTTGGCAAAAGTCCACGTGAGTATGGACGTGCAGCACGAGGAAGGGGGGGGGAGGAGGAGGATATTTCGCGGAGGAATAGCGATATATACGTCTTGTTTTTATGACTCGTGTTTACTTCAGATTTAATCTATTCCCGGTATCTCTCGCTCATCTCCGGCTAACACAAAATATTTTATTATACATTTCGTACTGATAATAAAAAGATATATCTCATTTTTTCCTTCTCTCCTATCTCTCAATAACTCGAAAAATTCTTTTTTTTTTTTTACTGTGACGCGACGATATTTGTTTGGCAGATGGTTTGACGCGTCGATCGGTTTCTTGGCCATTCTTTGATTCTAGAAAAATTCAAAGCCAAGAAATGTTGCAAGAGATCCGGGTTTTAAACGCCTGTAAGCGTTCGCGAATACGACTCGAAAATGGTGCAAACTACGTCAAACGGAACGAGCGTGATTTTAATGATGCCGCTTCGGCAGATAAAAAAATAGCGAAAAAAAGGACGGGTGTTAAATGATGACGGCGTAGTTGCAGAATGCGGAAAATATTCGTTCGCGATCGTTAAAACCGTCAGCACTTCTCTTCACTCGTCGATGATACGTACCAAAACATAATGCGGTCTCGATTGTTATTTCAAATGGGTCGGTACACGGTTTGCGTAAACGAAAAACCGCATTCCGTTTTTACGTAATCGATCACGTAAGCGAGGCGCGCTGTCAGTAGGGCGAAGATGTCCGCCGTGTAGCGTGCATTATGGCACGATCGATCATTATACGTCGATCGGGTGGTTTATCGACAAAAGCGAAGAGGTCGCGGGTAATCCGAGTATCGCGTTTTTTCGATCGGTGCGTTGAATATGCGTTGAAGAATTTATGAAATAATCACGGAAATAATTCTACGTCGTGGTCAATTAAAAAGCTGGATTGTGCAGAATTTTCGCTCATGTTTTCTCTCTCTCTCTCTCTCTCTCTCTCTCTGCCTCTCAGTGGTGCGATATTAAATTATGGCCAGTTAAAATTATTGCGACAATTCATCGTTATTAATTTTATTAGGTGATTATTAATGAAAACATGTTATTAATACAAATGTCCTATAATATTCTCCACAATACGCGCACGCAATTTACATCAATTATATTAATAATAATTAAAATTTCTTTGTTACATAAAATCTCATCAATACGTATTGCAGAGAATACCACAATGTGTAATTTATTTGCTCTTTCGCGCGATTGTAGCAAGGTATAGAGTAGCACGTTTATCCTCTGTTTTTGACTCGCTCGGAACAATCGATCCTTCCCATCCGCCGTTCGCACTGACCGTTCGCGGCAAAAAGATTTCCGTCGATTTTGCAACAGATCGTTCATGCGGATCGGTCATAAAGTATATTACGTAAGACATCGTTCGATCGTACACGACCGGATTTTTTTATGCGCGAATATGACTCCTTTCGGTGACACAAGTACATTCCCATTGTCTTCTGCATATTATGAATCACGTGAATGATACATGTCATTTGCGATAGCGGCAGAGAGATGTTTCGCAATATATTGTTGTCTCCCCTGCTTTATTAAATTACGAAGTACACACACACACACACATGCAAACAGGCGCATTCCCAAACACACAAACCGACAAAATGATAAACTCGCAAGGAAAATACGAAAAAGTGACTTTTGGGATTGCGTATGAGAAAACTGAAATTTATCGAAACGTGATGGAAGGGAGACTTATTCATAGGAAAGACACGTCCTCGTTTCTTCCGGCAAAAAGCACCGTACCGAGAACGAATGTGCTTCTCCGCTGCGAGTTCTTTCGCACGATTTACATAGAATGAGAGGACACAGGCAGCGCCGGCACACATGTGCACACCCCTCCCACCACAAACTGACGTTTATCGAGCACACGTGGAGGGGATTTAAATACGAGCATTTAAATAGCCGCGCGCGTGCACATATGTCCGCCTCTCGAAACCGCCGCGCGCGCGCACGCGAGGATCGCGGTTTTTAATTATTGCGCGAGCGATCGATAGAACGCGCGTGCGGCGGCATAGCAGGTATCGCGCGCGCGCGCGCGCGCGCGTGCGCGCCATATCGAGGAGAGGAGGAGGAGGGCGGCCTCTGCGCGTTCGTGAGGCTGAACAAAAAGCGAACGACGAGGATGGGATTCGAACCCACGCGTGCAGAGCACATTGGATTAGCAGTCCAACGCCTTAACCACTCGGCCACCTCGTCCGATGGCAAGGGTGGCGCGCTCGATGAGGTAACTCGTCCTGGGTCGTCCGTTACGTGCCTAATGGCCGCCGTTTAAAGGGCCATTTGACAGCTCGCACGTGGTGATCGCGCGTCCTCGTAAGTTGTCCTGAGCGATGCGGGAAATGTTCTCGATGAGCTCTCTCGGTCGATTCTAGCTGTGATCTGCTTCGGCAACAAAATTAATATGAGTTGCGCACGCATATATATCTGGCATAAATAAGGAAGCGACTGAATTAAGGAGAAAAATAAAATTTGATCGAGGCGAAAGTGTCAATGTCAGGACGTGACAGTGAATCTGACTCTTTTATTGTTTTGGTTTTTAAATAGGTTATGTTTAAACTTTCAGCGTGAAATATGATATGTATGTTTCGAAAATATATACAATGTATTCTGCATTGGAAGCTAAAATATCCGTAACCAAAATAATAAGAATACCTACTACTTAATTGGGGAACTTGGAAATAAAATTCGATGTCAGTTTTAATTCTACTTTTGATATACTATACTATTTTATTATACGGTTTCACCGAAAAATTTAAGTCATCAAGTGGATACGAATTTACCAGTCATACGAGGGCAGTCTGAAAAGTTCTCGGCCTGACACATAGATGACATTAGAAACTGTCAAACTATAATTGTATTGGAAAGTGGCATTCCTGATATAAACCCATGTAAAATTTTATTTCGATCTGTCAAGTCATTCGAGTAGTAACACCACTTTAATATTGACGTGTCATTGTCTTTTTTAAAATGGAAAAAATTGAATATCGTGCAGTGATTAAATTCTTTGTTTTTGATGGTTTAACACCAACAGAAATTCATCCGAAATTGTTAAAAGTGTATGAGGATGCATCACCTTCCACTGTGCACCACTTTCCACTGTGAAAAAATGGGCTGCTCTTTTTAAATCTGATCGTACAAGCCTCGAAGATGATACACGCGAAGGTTGTCCAAAAACTGCCACAACACCACAAAACATTCAACAAGTCCATGATATGGTGTTAGATGATCGGCGAGTGAAAATGCGTGAAATAGCTGAGGCCATAGGCATCTCAAAAAAACGAATTGGAAATATTTGAAGAATGAAGAATTACATATGAAAATGCTTTGTGCAAGATGGGTGCTAACAATTTGCTAACAATTGACCAAAAACGCATTCGAACGCGTGTTTCTCAAGCGTGTTTGGATCGTTTTAAGCAAAACGAAAAATGGATTTCAAGCGCCGTTTCATAACTGTTGATGAAACTTGGATCCACCACTATATACCAGAGCGAGAAGAACAGTCGAAACAATGGATTGAAGCCGGTGGACGTGCACCAAAGAAGGCAAAGACGGTTCCATCAGCAGGAAAGGTTATGGCAACAGTTTCTTGGGATTACAAAGGTGTTTTGTTGATCGATTATCTTCAGAAAGATAAAACGACTAACTCTGAATATTATTGTAACCTTTTGGATCTATTGGATGCAAAAAAGTGAGAAAAGACCCGATCGATTATCTTCAGAAAGATAAAACGACTAACTCTGAATATTATTGTAACCTTTTGGATCTATTGGATGCAAAAATTCGTGAGAAAAGACCCGCTTCAAAGAAGAAAAGAATCGTTTTCCATCAAGACAATGCACGTGTTCACACAAATGTTTTGACAATGGCAAAATTCAACGAATTAAAGTACGAATTGCTCGAACATCCAGCGTATTCACCAGATTTGGCTCCCTCTGACTTATTATCTGTTTCCATCTGAAAAACCTGAAAAAATTCCTGGCTGGAAAGCGTTTTGCATCAAATGACGAAGCTATTGCAGCCGTGGATGGATATTTGGCAGACCTTCCGGAATCACACTTTAATAATGGTATTGAATTATTGGAAAATCGGAATAAATGTATCGAAGTTTCAGGAGATTATATTGAAAAATAAAACATATTTCACGGCAAAAAAAAGTTTTCTTTCATTGTTAGGCCGAGAACTTTTCAGACTGCCTACGTATACTAGGAGCGACTTGCACAAGCACGTTTATAGATTTGCAGACGCTCATCGAGACGAAATAAAGTAGCGATGCGAATTGCTCCGAATCGTCGTCTCGTTCGGCGGAATCACCCCACACACACGCTACTTTGTCTCGGGTCGACCTCGAACTTATGCAATCGTGCACGACGTGCACGTGCGCGCGCCGCCGGGAGATTTACCGGAATATTTGTGCGATCCAATTGTCTCGCCCTAGTGACCAGGAATAATCGGTACGATCGGGCCAGGAGCCCGTCTCAAATCAATCGCGATACCTGTTGCTCCCGCTTGCCTAATCGTGTCTAATGCCTTCTCTCTCGCCTCTTTTCTCGCCATTTTATACGCTCTCAAGGAGGGAGGACAATCACGGTCGGACACACAGCGAAGCGAGTGTCACAAGAGCCGAATCGAGAGCGGATGGCATGAAAGACACGCGACGGCACTCTTGTGTCAATCCAAGCAGACTTAATTACCGCGCTACGTTAAATACGCGAACGCCCGGCAGCGTAAGAGAACTCGCGTCTTGTCTATAAAAACATCCGCGAAGCCGGCTATCTAATATCAAACGAGCGTAGGATTCCCCTTTTCCGCGGCTGAGAGGAAGATTCCTCCTCTCTCGCGAGGAGAAGAGACGCGCGAGGTTTCCCGGGATAAAAACCATCAGATTATCCGATGTTAATTGTCATAAACGATCGGTCTAGCGTTCGTTTAACGTCACAACGGAGTTGCATGGCTATCGGCAAAGTCACGAGAGCTTATAGGAGAGACAAGGGAAGAGCTAAACGCTGTGCCAGGTACAGAGCGAGTCGCGCGCGACTCCCGTCCCGCGCGGACGATCCGCGCGGGACGGGCCGGGCGGAAAGGCTGGGAGGGTCGCGTTATATAAGCTCCCATCGGCGATTCAGGCGAGGTAGGCGGGCAGGAAGGCGTATTGGGAATTCGAGCGCGAAACGGAAAAGCCGAGGAGGAATGCGTGGAGCGGGGAGGGGCCGGCGGTGCTCCAAAGCGGTGAGGAATGCGCGCCGATCGGAGAGATTCGCACGGCCACGCGCTCTCGTGGGCATCGCGCCACGGTGTCTAAGAGGTATCGCGGCCGAGGCACGAAGAAGAATTCCGGGCTTACGTGTCGGGCCACGTTGAAACGTGGCTTACACGATGCCATGTTTGCCCGATTAGCGCGCAGGCGAGCGCGTTACTTTGTAATGTCGAGGTGTCTCGTCGCGGGGGGGGGGGGGCGGGGTGACTCCAGCTGGAACTGCCTTCGTTAGTGGTGTGTACACAGCACACAGTCGCCGTTACCCCGGCCGGCGGTTTTCCAACCGAAAACTCGATAAGAAAAGCATCGTGTGAGCGACGCTTTAGTGGCGGCCGAGGCGGAGCTCGAAATGAACTTCACGTCCCGGTTTGCTTTCTAATCAAGCACGAAGCGGTATCTTCGACCCGCCGCTGCCGCCGCCGCCGCCGCCGCCGCCGCCGTCGTCGTATGAATTTTTCATTTTCACGAGAAATAACGTTCTCCTTTTCTTCCAGCTAAATCGTGTCGTAAGCTGAGTCAAACGGGCCGATGCGACGAGACGGATATCGAGTCGGCGATCAATGCGACGCGGAAGTATGAAGTTAAAATCGCGGCGAGGAGAGGAAGAAAGAGGAAGAAAAGGAACAAGAAAGAGAACAAGAAGGAAAGAGGCGAGAAAATATTCCGCGACCCTCGCGACTCCGGAGTCGAATCGATGAACGAGCGGAGCGCGGCTCTCGCGGTGACACGCGATTAACGCGGGCTAACGCAATGCGTTTCGTGTAACGCTATCGAGTTCCGTTGTACGTTGTACGTGTACGCACCGTACGTGCGCGATAACGCCTCGCAACGGATTCGATTATCCATCCGTTGACTTGCTCGCGCGCAAATTGCACACCGACACGGAGAATCGACACGCATCCTTCTAATCTCCCGCTGGCGCATTAGCGCGGATTTCAACGGAGACTGTCGCGATACTACGTAATTCCGCGCGTCTACGGATGCCTCGACTAATTCTCGAGCTTGCGCTTCCCTCGACAAGAGAGATATATCTCTCTCTCTCTCTCTCTCTCTCTCTCTCTCTCTCTCTCTCTCTCTCTCTCTCTCTCTCTCTCTCTCTCTCTGGCGGCGCTGCAACTGCAAGTCGGAGCTGTAAACACAAACTGAGCTTCGACGGAGGAAACAGACAAAACGGAACTTGTTTCGCTAATTACTCCGATTATTCACCGGCGGATTCACCACGCGCAGATGCTTTGTTCCGTTTGTTTTTGTTTCGTACTCCGCCGCGCCGGCAGAATTTCAATTCGCAGCTTCATTACAGAGTGACTAAGTCGCGACGATATGCGGCGGATACATGGCACGCGAGATCGAACGACAGATACGTATCCAGCTTTAGGCAAAGCTGGGATGCGTATCTGAGATCGTTCCGGGAGTCCATTAAGATAGATGAGCGAATCGACGCTGTCGAACGCTGTCATCGCGCGAGCTTAACGACGCCCGCTTATCTTAATCTCATACATTGCTTTGGATATACCGCCGGGAGAGCGGAAGATTTAACACACGGAGGAGCCGTACGAAGTATCGGAAACTAAAGGCTGAAACTTTCAGACTGTTGGCGGTAGTAGTACGTAAGTAAGTAGGATATACCGTGCGACTTGGCGTTAGAACCGAAGCATTCCGGAAGCGGATTCACGCAACCGTCGGCGCGGTCGCCATCGTCTTGGACGGCTCAAACGCTTTTCCCGACTCCTCCGTTCCGCGGAGATTAACGAACGGAAGAGATAATATCGTGGAATGCGGCGGCATGTAAGGCTTTATGATAATGAGACGCGCGTGTGCAGTTTCGTCGGTATTTTTATCGAACATTAAGTGCTCGCTTACGCAATCGCCACGGGGAACGATGCGACTCGAATACGCGCGCTCGTTTACGATCCAAGTATGACCGATTACTTCCCGGCTGCGTTGCGATGCATCGCTCGCAAATCGCGTCTCATTTGGGGGGACTCGGAGAAATCGGAGCTTAAATTGGAGCTTCGTCCGGACTTGACGAGAAATCCGAGCTCGCAGCGACTCGGTGATTCGATAATACACGTCGGGTTGTGCATACATAAATTGTTGCGATACAGATCGCGAATATGGAGTGTCTCCCTTCCCCCCCCTCCCCCCCGCCTCTGCTGAGTTGCCTTTTAACGACAGATTTTTCATTCTTTTTTTTTTCTTTTTAATGCAAATAATGCACAGCCTTCTGCGTCGTTTTGATTCTGCGTCGTTCGATTGAAACTATTCGAGCGGACTCGTCGCGGCAAAAAAGGTTACCGTGATCGCGGCGGACGAGACGTGTAATATCGATGCTCGATGGAATTCCGCCGAGACGGCGATTCTCTCCGACTTTTCCGGCTCCGAATTGTTCGTCGGCGGCGGGACATCCTGTCTACATAGACTGCGGTCACGATACGTAACTAAATTGGCTAAATATTGATTCGCTGGCGCGGGATTAATCCGGATCTGTTAATCGTGTGTAAATAGAGAGATAAATATCGCGCTCACGTGCGCGCTTTATTGGGTCGGACTTACATTACGATAATTACATTCCGCTCGCGAATGCACTTGCGAGCGTGTGCGAGCGTGTGCGAGCAGGCGTGTACGCGCGGTGATGTAAGAGAAACGGAAGCAATCGCGAGATAGCGCGAGCGGCTAGCAAGAATCTCTGGTCACTGGAAGGAAGGCTGAGCTCCTTATCGCTAGCGTCGCATGCCGCGTTGGAGCGCAGCAGCAAATTATGTAATCGCCGCGGTTGGTAAACAGTGATTATCACTATGTCTCGGCGGAATGCTCCTAAAAGTTTATACTCGCGCTTGACGCCGATCGACTTTTTCGTGGAAACACCGCGGAGAGTCCGACTCATCATTATCGCGCGCTCGTTCGTGCGAATGCAAATTGCTCGGCGGAATTAGGTGTTTCTCGGTCTGCGAAACAGGCGAAAGAGTCTCAAGGCCGTCGAATTAGTCTCGCTCGAGCTGTGATACACCAGGTCGGATTTCAGATTGTCAATGGGCTTTGCAAAAGTCTCCAGCTATTTTCGATCGCGATAACTCTCGCCCCCCCCCCTCCCCTCCCTGTCTTATGTTTTAACAAAGCGCACGATGCGAAATAATATCGCTCTGATATCTCGCTGGAATTGGCTTACGGTGAAATATGATTTTCGCTAAATTATGAGGGCGGCTTGTAATCCGCGAAACGGTCCATTTGCGTTATCGCCTGTTTGTACATCCATAACGCGCGCGCGCGCGCGGACGAAAATTCGCAATTGATGCTGACGTATCGCGTGGCTGATTTGCGAGGATTTTCTCTCACGTCGCGATAACGATCACTCCCGTGAAGCATGAGCGGAGCCATTATCAAAATGACGCAAAGCTTTCGTTGCGCAACCATCTGACTTTGTTACGATTTGATTGCGATCTCGCACGATGAGACTCCGCGGCACGTAATTCCATAAATTCGCGCAATCGCGGACGTATCGAATCGCCGAGACGTTGCGCGCGGCGCGGCGCGGCGGCAGCGGCGGACTCACACGTTCGCGAGCATAAGAAAACATGTGCGAGACGAAGAAAGAATGTAATAATAAGCACGTCATCTCATCGCGTTTTATCGCGATCGATATATCGTATTTTCCACTCCGGCGGAATACCGAACATTCTCCGAGGAGTGTGACGTTCCGGCGACTCCGCCGCCGCCACAGTCCATCGCGGACATTGATTATCACAAAATGCGCGGCGTCACGAGTTCTCGGTACACGTTACGTGCCGTTAACGCGTTTTCTTTTTTGTATTTTATTCTCTCATCTAGTCGCGAGTCACATGATATCGCGTCAGTGGTAAAGGGATAAGTGCACGATCTCTCTGGCGAAGTCTCTCGGGCGATGGCGCACCGAATCGCTTCGGATCCGCTCTCCACTATTTCTCGGCTTTCCCGCAAATTTCTTTTTTCCTCTCTCTCTCTCTCTCTCTCTCTCTCTCTCTCTCTCTCTCTCTCTCTCTCTCTCTCTCTCTCTCTCTCTCTCTCCGTTTCCGCGAATCTTCCCCTTTTTTCCTTTGACCCCGGACGGATAGCGACAAGACGCGCTTCCTTTGCGTGCAGCGCGCGGTACACATGACCCGTCACATCGTCATCGCGCTTCAAAGACGACACGGCCGAGCGGGTTGCGAGCCGTCATTTGCGAAGTAAACGTCGCAACACACACACACACACACACACACACACACACACACACACATACACACACCAGCTCGCCATTACGACGTTTCGAGCATCGCGATGCTTGCGAACGACGTGATCACGCGCGGTCGTCCGCGCAAATGTGCTCGACGCTAATTACAAATCCACCGGGAGAGCTCGGTAGCTTTTGCGAGCGACCGGCGCCGCTGATCCGTCGCTGTAACGTGATTCGCTCCGGGTGTAACGCTCTCCTCGCTCTCGTTATCGGGGACGAGCGAAGAGTTGCGCTGATCCCGCGCGAATTCGCGGCATCACCTATGCGCAATATTGCGAAACCAATTAGCCGCAGGATATTTTCAATTACTCGCGTCGTCGAGTCCCCGTCAAATCGCTATGAACACTCCGATGCGAAAGCACCGGAGAGGAATATTTCGACGGAAGCTCTGCTCGGAACATCACGAGCCGGGCTTCACTCCCATGCATTCGCAGCCGCCCATTACATTACCATACCAATCGCGGATTATTTCACTTTTTGGACTCATCCACGCAGCGAGGAGGATCCGCCGAAGACACGCGATCGATCTCGAGATCGAGGTGAAGATATCGGGGAAGAACTCGCTCGCGCGCTCGCATCGGGGAAATCCCTCCCGACAAGGACACACCCTGGTGAGGACCTCTCGCCCGCTCTCTGGTCCTCGCGGCCGCAGGAGAGCACGTGGCACCCGGCCGCGGTGGCGGGGATCGAGAGCGCGCGACGTCGGTGCATGACGCGCGTGAACAGGTGAATTCGCGGCGCAGGCAGGTGAGCGAGCGAGCGAGCGAATGAACGCGCTTCCACCTGGGGAGAGTCGGTGACTCGCGCAAGTGGACGCCCGCCCGCGCGACCGCGGTGCGAGCTGCCGCTATTGCTTTTTCGGGCGCACATAGCATAGCCGCGGCAGTCGCGCGCGAGAGAGCGTTTTGGCAGGTGAACCTCGAGACACGCTCGAGACACAGCTCGGACTTGGTCGCTCGCTTTCGCTTCGCCGGGATCGGGACGTCGTCGTCGCGCAGTTTCCCGCGACGTTTCGCAACGTTCCGCGCGTTCCCGGCTGTGGCAGACACACACACGCACACACACACACACACATACACACACCTGTTGTTCCGGCGTCCCGTCGGATCGTCGCACCGACGATCCTGTTTCCGCCAAGAGCCAAGAGCTGCACACCTGACCGGACGCCCACGATGCACGCGGGATGTAGAGACGAGCGCAGTCGCGTGTGATCGCGGACGCTAGACAGGGGTGAGTATCTACGAGAATCGCGGCCTGAGAGTTGAATACGGATTGCTCTCCCGCGACCCTCCGTCGCTGGCTAGTTGGCCACGAATGAATTGTTTGTCGCTGAGACCTCGCGGAGTCACGCGAACGCCAGTGAGGAACTTTGCGATCGAGTCCTGAGGAATTTCATTTCAGAGCAGCGATGTGACATTCGAAGATTTCTATTCCCTTTTCTTCTCTCTCTCTCTCTCTCTCTCTCTCTCTCTCTCTCTCTCTCTCTCTCTCTCTCTCTCTCTCTCTCTCTCTCTCTCGTCGCTTTTTGTTAAACGCAAAGCGGAACGAGAGAGAACGGCGGCAGCGGCGCAGTCGAGAGTATTTAAACGGTTCGTTTAACCGCTTTATGTGCACACATTAGGCGCGCCCGTTCGGTTCGTTAGCTGTTACAGAGTCGCATGGGTAGAGATGAGATCGACGTGTAATGAAAACGCGCGTACGCTCGTCATCACGAAATCCGATGGCACACTTCTTCCTCGCGGGCGAGACGGAAAGAAATCGCTCGCTCGCTTGCATTTTGCGCGTCATTATGCGGCGCGGCTCGCGGGAGAAGGCCGATTGGCCGCGACGCGGCGAACAACGCTGAAATCGCGCCAGAGAAAGCATCATCCGCCTCTATGTAGGATTATAGGCCTTCTTCTAATAAACTTTCGCACACACCAAACGCGCAATGACTGCGAAGTAACGAACGAACGAACGAACGAACGAACGAACGAACGAACGAACGAAGGAAGGAAGGAACGAACGAGCGAGCGAGCGAGCGAGCGAGCGTAAGAGCGAGCGGACGAATGAGTGAATTCATCGCGCGCGCGTTTCACGCGCGAAGAAGAGGGATCGCCGGGTTTTCGAGCGCGTATGAATAAAACATACGCCTCGGCATTTGTTAGACACGCTCGCAAATTTCAGCGCGAGGTGCGATCGCGATTCTCGCCTTTTAAGTTCGGCGAAAGGCAGAGAAAAGGTGCGAAACGTTCTCGCTGCTTGTTTTCGAGAAAATGCGTGAGCGAGGCTTTCGAATAAACCGCCTGGACGAAGGAATAACGTTGCGCACATGACGGTTATATAAAAAGTCGGTTGTGAAAAAAATGTCGTCGAACGTTGCGTAAAATTTGGCCAAATAGCTCGGCTCATAAATCTTCTCGGAGAAAAGTTGAGAAAAAGTTGAGGAAAGACGAAACGCGCATCGCGTCCACTTGAAAGGATTACTCGAGTCGCACGGAAACCGAAACCTTACTCTCTCTCTCTCTCTCTCTCTCTCTCTCTCTCTCTCTCTCTCTCTCTCTCTCTCTCTCTTCTTCGTTTAATCGCTGCTGCCGCGCGTTTGATCTTTTCAGCAGCCTCGTGCTCGGATCTTTCCGTTTTCCTCCAGAAGAAGACAAAACGAAAATCGCGTAGAATTCCTCCGGAAGTTTCGCAAACGTCGCGGCACCGCCGACGCTCGATCTCGACTCCGTCGCCGAAGCCTTGACCAAAGCGGTATTTTTTCAGTTACGGTGTCTGACGATATATCAAAGGTAAAAACCGCTGATAGACCTCCGATATACACTTCCTCGTGCTGCAATCGCGTCCACGAGAATTGCACGCGATATTAACCTGTCACTGCCACGCTCTCGCTGTTAGAGACATCGTTTTTTGAGCAAAGACGTCCGATAAGCATCTGAAAAAACACCAAGCGAACTTCGAACGAGGAATATTAAAAAGAGAAAGAACCCGGAAAAAGAGATGTCTTAAAAGACGTTTTAAATTTTGAATATCGTCGTCTTGGGAAATCGTTCTTTGGGAGGTCCTGTAGCTTGTCTCTCTCGGTGATCTTTACGACTTTTCGGACTCACTCACGTCCGCAACGCGCTGCAACGACGCCACGGTGTCAGAGATTATTCTAATCGCGCGAAATAATTTATCGCACCGCACGACTGGAAAGACGATCGTCACTTTTGGGAATACGTTACGAGCGCACGTAAATGAACGCGAGAAGGTTGCACTATCGTGCAACACGATAATAACTTAAAATTAGTTGCCAGAAGCTACGTGCCGCGCTCGCATGTACGTACAACTTGCCGAAGTACACGGTAAACATCGTTGCTTACATTTTATAGACATTAGTGGGAGTTTAACATTCGACGGATAACGTCGGTAAACGGCATTCCGAGGTAAAACTCGAAATTACGCTCGCCTGCCTATCGCAAAAGCACTCAAGGATTCTCCCGGCCAAACTATTCATTTCCTCCGACTAACGCGAGGCAGTGATTCATTGATGAACCATTTAAACGTGGACAGCTGTTCGCCGCAACATCCTTTCGTCGCGTGCAGTGCGCTCTCGAAAGGCGAATCGAAATTAATCGGTCGCGCGCGCGTCTCTCGCTCTTCCCGTGACGCGTCTGTTTTCCTCCTCAAGAGATTCATCGAGAACGCGATTGTGTCCTCGCATACGCATACGCTGCTCCGAGAGGAGAGATTACGCACGCGGCCTATTCTCTCTCGTCGATGGTCCGATTCGCCTGAAAGAAATTTAGCTGCTCGCTTTCGTTCGGCACCTCGGACGAACGGTCTAACTTTGCATACAGCTTTAACATCTTTGACATTTTGAAGCCACAGGTGGGCGAAATATTCGCCTGAAAGAAAGAAAGAAAGAAAGTAAAATACATGCGACTTGGGCAACTTTAGAAAGAGAGCAAATGATCTTCCTCGATACTTATGACTGTTTATATCTGGACTTTCAATTCGCGCGCAAACTTTAAAAATGTCTCGTATAGTTCTGATTTAAAATAATTAAATTGATTAAAATAATTAAAATGATTAAAAATAAACGACGTAAAGTCCACCGCAAGTGATTTGCGTGTCGTGAAATACTGAGGCTGGAATAATGTTGCATCTGGAATGAGAAACGCTGTCATTAGAAATGCCAAAAGGGTACGCTCAAATTAAGCGATACATTATTTATCTTTAATCCAGGTAAATGTGCGCGGTAGATTTCGTTGGCTGTCGAGGTGGCGATCGTTTCACTTATCACAGGTAACGATCGCTCCTTCGTGCTGATTAATGTGTATTTATTGTCGCGTGGCCCTTCTAATTCGACATGATTTTCGCGCTGTCAATAATAATCGTGTTCTAGCATCTTGACTACAACGTAGTAAAGTAGAAACGCGTGTCAATAACAAGATAACGACGCTTCAAAATCACTACGATATAACGAATTATCGATTTAAGGTAAATCCTCGGGTCAATTAAGAGCTCGAGATTTCGTCGTGACCAGCGATGTACAATACTGCGAAACTCATCGCCGCGATACCTGATTATTCCGTGGAAGTTCCTTAATTATTCAAGTAACTTTTTTGTGCTTCCTCCTGCTGGAAAGTCTCTCTTCAAGCCTCAGCATACCTCACGATAAGCTCGATTGCGCTCTCAGCAACGTGCTTAATTGTTATTCGATATGTTACTCAACGACTGAGAGTTTTACAGAGTCAAGAAACCTAATAGAGCTACGATGGAATCTGCGAGTGTCAAAATTGATCGTCATCGAGATCGCGCAAAGTTGAGAGGAAGAAAACGAAGTTTTAGAGAGAGAGAGAGAGAGAGAGAGAGAGAGAGAGAGAGATTCTTGCGAAATGGAACGAGTATATTGAAAATCGGAAATAAAGAGCAAAATCTACCTTACCTCGGAATCCAAGGAACGTGAAAGATAGTTCGGTGATGCACGAGTAGATTTCAATCGTCGCTATTCACAACGGAAAATAGTTTCTTTAATAATTTAATGAACTCACATTTAATGACCAACTGAGCAATCTCCCAACATTTAATAACGTTTGAATCGTCGACGATTAAACGAAACAATGTTTACCAGAGATACGTCAGAGAGACATCACGTGAATAAACGGAAGGATAGGAATAATATAAACGGAAGTGCAATGAGGAGAAAAAAGAAGGAAGATCCTCGAGCACAATGGCGCAGTCGACTCGCGGACTCGAAATGTCGTACGAGAATATCGTATGCAAATTCGTCGGTTTTGAATGTAACACGCGCGTGTTAACAGACACCTCGTAAAGTGCGAGATAAGCGGCAGTAAATAAAACCGCATGGAAATCAATCGAAATAAACTTTGTTGCCTCGTTCAGAAATATCAGAGAGCAAAATGTCGCTGTTAGATGCGAAGTTGTCGCCACCAGCGATATATTTAACGAATGTAAACATTTTAGGGATCTGAATGCCGAGAACCGGATTTTGGTGCCAGGTGAAGTATATTTTGCAAAGAAAAAGATCCTCAAGTCGCAAAATGTGAAGGCTATGGATTTTTAATTTCTTCCACCGGCGAAATGATTCAATCTGGTCCTCTTTCTCGGCGAGCAATTCGGCGGTCGTTTTTATTTTTTATTCGACATTAATTGACTTAAAATCGACTTATTCGACTTTACATTCGTCGGGAAAAAAAGTTGCATTCGTTTTCTTCCTAATGCGAAGTTACCCGCTTATTATGACGTGCTCTCGATATCGCTTTACATAATGTCGCAATATCCAACACGGTGGATATACGGCAAAAAGAGACAGAGGAAGAGAGAGAGAGAGAGAGAAAGAAACAAAACTACACGCTTGTTCGGTACATAGACGATACAGACTAAAATCGAGGTATTTCCCGATATTAATTAAGCAGACATCGCATCGGAAAAAAGAAATCGCATTTCGTGTACCGATTTTCATGACGGAACACGAAACTGCGCGCGCGGAGACGCGTGTTGGTCTTCGTGCTGCGCGAAATCGCGCCGACAACGAACGCTCGTATCGGACACGAACACTCATGCAACGCGAGTGATTTCCCAACGCGGACGATTTCATCTTTTCACGTTGACTTGTTATTGTGACATCGAACACCGGTTTCCGGTATCGCTGCGCTTCCGCCTCGTGACGAATCGCCCGATGCTCTCGCACAAGCAAGCAAGCAAGCAAGCAAGCAGGCAAGCGAGTCGGAAAAGTTCGTCACGATTTGACGGACGTCAAAAATAGCGAAGTTCGCTCGCAAATTCACCTTCACTCTTCGATGCGAGTTCGCGGAAACAATCGAAGACGAAATGGTGATGGATATGCATGATTCCGAAAAATCGGAATCCCGGAATTTCAGGAACGGGACGACGACCCGAGATGTCACACAATGCAGAAAACTGAGCGCCGGAACAATATCCCGAAATACTGGAGCAAGCTCGAGTTTGTTTCGCAAAAACAGATCGAAACTGGTACGCACGCTGCGTCATTTACGTCGTACAGCCGGCCGAGCAAAGGTTATAATGTTCTCAACGAATTCCGCAACGCGCGTCCCGCGTCCAATGAGAATTCAGTTTTCGGACTTTTCAGGATATTGTCCCGTTTCTCGAATTTCGTAATTACGCTTGGCGAAACGCGACCGACTCCACGCGCGACAATTTCGCTCGTAACTGCGGCAGAACCGCGTTCGGGGAGAAACCGACCGGTTATTTCGATAATGACAGTTTTTCACGCTATCGTGTATATGTATTCGTAAATCTTTCTCTCCTTTTGTTTTTTAGACACGACATGCCATTAGCGCATGCCGCGCCGCGTTTAATCGCGAATCGCGACATGATCGCGGCCGACAAAATATTTGTCTTTCGCAACGACGAAAGGATAATCGACGGCGATAATCACTCATCCAATCGCGGAATCCGTTTGCAAAGTACGTGACGATTATCTCGCGCGATAATTGGCAAAGGCGCTAGGACTATCGAAACCACGCGGATTCGCCGCAGTTGCGTGCCCGGGAAGGGCACATCGTCGGCTTTTTCGTGATACGTTTGCTCCTCTTGCTCGCCCTTCGTTCGCAGCACCCTGCTTTCACCCGAGGTTGTACGTACAACGCGCTTGATCTAGAGCCGCTTCATCCGAGAGTCAATAAACATGCAAACAAGCCGGGATAATTGTTTGATAGGATTCCCGAAACGTGTCACGCGTAGCGTTTGGCGCGAATGCGCGGGCGCGATGTCCTTTTTAACAAATTCTCCCGCTTAATCTGCACCGCACGTACGTACGGACGCACGTACTCGCGATTAGAGCGAAATCCGCTCTTTTATGAGAGAGTTTTCGCAAAGCTAATTGCGAAATTCCGTCGATTATGCCGCGCGGCATAATCTCTGTCCGGTATCGCCATGTTTTTGCCGTTCGTCTGAGAAATCTCGATGGACAATCGCGAATTGCGACGCATACGCGCCGATGCGTGTACTTTGCCTCATAGAGAAACGACGGAGCAAGGGAGAGATAGAGAGAGAGAGAGAGAGAGAGAAAGAGAGAGAGAGAGAGAAAGAGAGAGAGAGAGAGAGAGGGAGGGACAGAGAGAGAGAGGGAGATTTTACTTGATAGAGAACACGGCGGCGCGGGCACTTTTTGATCCGATATTCGCGCAATTACGAATTTCAGCAAGAAACGGCACCCGCCGCGGCAATTTCGTAATTACTTCGTCGCATTATCGAGAGAAACGATTAAACTCTTATAAAACTCTTTGGCTTTCACCATCGTGTCGCGTCGCGTCGCGTCTCGTCGCGGAATGATTATATCCCGAGCCGTGAAAAGTTCACCGGCGCACGGCGCACGACGCAAGACGCCGGGGTCCCCGATGTAATTAAACGCGAGCACATAGTCGATTAATTAACTTAATTAAATTGCACCGGGGCTCAAAATCTCCATCACTCGAGGAGGATCGCGTTCCGCGCGAGTGACAAGCGAGCGGGGCGCGATGACGCCGATGGACGGCGGCTGAAGGGAAGACCGGCGCTCGAAGTCGGGAGCGAGAAGGAGATCGCAGGATGCGCGCAGGACCGATTGATTGCCGTGTTAATTAACGAGGAAACGCAGCGCGCGTCGGTCGCGCGCGCGGTCTACGGACACGCGAAAAATCGACATATCGCATCGGCTCGCGTGCGCGATGCAAATAGCGGCAGGCCAATTATCCTCGCAAATTGTTCACTACTTCAGGGTCGCCGCGCCAACGAGCCCGATAGTGATGGAGTCCACCTAACGGGGAAACACCCGCGACTTCACATCGGCGTCGCGCATCGCTCTCTCGAAGGCACGTCGACCGAGGACGTCGCTCCGAATTCGCCCGTCGTCGTCCGTCGTCGATTCCCCGCGTCGTTTCGCCGCCAGCCAGCATGTCCAGGTATAACGTCAACGAGGAGTACGACCTGGAGAACCGTCGGGAGGTCACGCTGACCGGCTTCAGCAGCAGCGCGCTCGACGACGTGCTGCGGAGCAGCGGCGGCAACAACAATGAGCCGACGTTGAACGGCAATTCGGCCGGCGCGCACGCCATCACCAAAGACGCGAAGGTCGTTAACCTCGAGGGTGAGTTTTGCCGACGGCGGCGGCGACGATAATTAATCGTGCGTCGTCTCATTACGCGTGTCTCCGATTAGCGCGCCTTTGAATCTCACATCCCCGTGTTTTATTTCGCGGGCGAACGCTCGTTTCCTCGTTCCCGCGCGTCTTTGAAAATAAGCCGCGAGGACGATCGTGAGTCGCGCGTCGGGATACGATCGAACGCGAGAACCCGAGGAATATCGCCCCGTCATTTAATCCTCGGATGTTCACCATCCATCCAGGATTCGTTGAACCCGTAATTTCTAATTTTTCTTGAGCAGCTGCAGTTATTTGCAAAAATTGTACATTCCACAATTCTATGATTCGTTCCTCATTTTTCAGTGAACACACAACACAGGAAATACGCGTTGTCTTCCTTTTAAAAGAACAAATCTCATTCCACCTTGCAGCTGCTATATAATGCAATGTACCGGCAAGTAATTAGTATTGATCGCCCATTAAGCAATTGCGTAATTTTCATCTCTGAATTTAAGCGGAAGCTTTAGGGAGATTTAATTTAGATTTCACGCGAAATATATTCGCAAAATATACTTGCCTGGATTTGCAATATTTCGCCGTGTTACGGCTAACTGTTCAATTTAATTTTTATAAAACCCCTCGAAATTCTGCCAATCATCACACGCGCAATTACTCGCGGAATGACCGGTGCACGTATTGCTGCGTACGGATGTGTGTAGTAGATTTAATAGTAGTTCCGTAAAATTTAGCATTCGAGAGGCATTTGAAATATTGACGCAATCAGAGAAGTGACAAATTTTAGCCGGCGAAAAACACATCCCGAAAAACGGGTCGTCATAGATAAAAATTGAATATGACGGAAAACGAAATTATTTTCACGCTTGTCGATTAGACATCGATTGCATTTGATTGAAATTTTCCATTTACACGCGGTGCCTCTGCACGCTCTCGAAATCCTACCATCCTACCACCGCGATCGTACATTTCTCGCGTAACGGTGCGCTCTTCGAAAAAGCTAACTGCGAAAGCTCATTGACGATGCGATCATGCGATGCGGAATTCTGCCGGCTAACAATGCGCGCGAAAGTGGATGGGAAAATAATCGGAGGGTGTGTGTTTGTGTGCGCGCTCGCGCGCGCGCATGCGCATGTGTGTTGTGCGTGTGTACGTGTGTGTATGCGCGCGCGTATTCGTGTGATTCAACGCGCGACACCGTGTCGTTCGCGCGGTGGGGAACGCGGCGGAAACGCCGGCAAAAATTGGCAAAAATAATCGCCGCACCGTACACCGACCTTCACTTTCACGGTTGAACAGTCGTTTTTAGCGTTTTATAAATTCACAATCGGAAAAATTGTTTCAAGGCACGTCGCATGCTATCGCAGTCGGAGCCAGCTCTCGCGCCGCGCGTCGTATACGTTGCGTTTATATAATACAAACGCATACGTTATATATTATTCCCGCGACGCGCTTCGGTAGAGCGACGCTTTTTGTCGATCGCAATAATTTTCATTTTCCGATAAATACAACGTGCGTGTAAGTGCGCGCGCGCGTTTTTATAACATGCCAACATAAGCGGAAAATAATAATAATAACCGCCCACTCGAGTACAATTCTACGAGGGCGATTTTTCTCGCGACGCAGAAATCGAGCGCAGCTGCGACAACAATCGTCCGCGATCGCCGCAAAGCGGCGAGATCGCGGAATGCGCCTCGAGATCGAGATCGAGATCGAGATCGATACACACGCTTGATTGATTTATATAATCACAATGGCGAACGTCGAGCGACGACGGGATAACGCAAAGAAGCGGTAACGCGCGTCGCGTCGTGGACATCGGGGAAACGCCCGAGGAGAACATCGTCTGAGGATCCGCACCGAGGTGGTGGTGCCACCATTCGGTGTTTTTATACTTTCGCCTTGTCGGTCGCGTCGATGGATACACAGGACAAGAGTAAGAAAAAGTGAGAGAGAGAAAACGAGAAACAAATATCCCGTGGCACAATAACCGGTTTTCGCAAAAAGTATATTGCCAATTAACATTCTCGTCCCGGGACAACGCAACAATCAGCGCCGTTACGTCAGCCCTTTTTAGAGTTTGATTTGATTGTCGCACAGGAATGCGGCTTGTCTACGGTTGTCTCGGCCACGAGAACACGGATAATGAGTCGCTCTAAATAAATCATTATCTCCAACTCCACACAGCCTGTCAGGATGCCCAGATCAATAGATCACTATCGATCGCACTATCGTCTGTCTGTCACACAAACACCTCGCGCACGAGATTGCTCCAACTATTACATCGCATATTAATAGATCGAAGGCGTAGAAAATCTACGATGCGACTTTATCGATGAACGGCCGTGAAGTCGCGAAATTCTAAATAGCGTATATTTTTCTCTTTCCCCCTCCCGTTCCCGCTCGACACGTCTCACGCTGTGATGAAAAAAAGAAATTAACAATTTTAATCACGCTCTTTTGATTAATCGTCTATCTAACACCGGACGTGTAAATTACCATTGTCATCGTCTCTCTCTCTCTCTCTCTCTCTCTCTCTCTCTCTCTCTCTCTCTCTCTCACTCCCTGTTTTTATCTTTTTCTGTCTTTCTACCTGTTGACGAATAAAAAAAATATTTTTTTTTCGGTTTGTAAAAGAAAATTGAGCATTTCTTCTCTGTTTGTAGAAAGAAAATTGAACAATCTTCTCACGTGAAAAGGGACAAGGAAGGGACTAGCGTTCTATCTTCTTTATCCCCAAAAGCAAGTAAAATCGCAGGTCGACGGTTTGATTTGTGGCTTCGCGAATTATAGCCCGATTAGCATTTAATACCGTGTAAAATCCGCGGCACAAAGTTCCGCGGATACTTGAAACTTTAATTGGCGGACTTAGCCGGCGCGCCGACGAGCTAGTCGCGCATTTCGTAGTTTCGATTATCGGATTATCGGAGCGATGCTAGACGGCGCGAAATCTACGCGAAAAGATAACGAGATGCGATGCGTTGGGTCGGCTCGGCGTTGAATATAACATCGGACGGACGCGCGTATGTATCTGGCGACTCGCCTGTTGCGAACTAAGCGCTAAATTAATTACCACGCGACAGTGTAATGCGCCGCTACATTTGTGGACCATTCGCGGTTGATTAGATTTCATTACCCCCCGTCGAGCGAGACGGCATTTTATTTCATTACTCGCTCTCGCGCGCGACGCTTCGTCGCTGGTAATAATGCATTAATGAACATTGCAACGCGTGCGACTCGGTGGAAGCACCGAGTGCAATCGCACGATAAGAAGTCATAAAAATAACACAAGGAGAACAACGCGTTCTCATACGTGGCTCCGCATCGCGCCGGAAGTGTGGGATCCGCGGAAATTGACGTCCCGTCACAAGGTGCGCCCAGCACCTGAGAGATAATGCACGCGCGGCGCTTCGTATCCTTGAACTTCGCATGATCGGTCTGCGAGAGAGACACGAATTAATGGCCGACACGCATCGTCTGGCGTCGCATCTTCTCGATTGAAATCGCGTTAATTGCGTTCCTTTGGCTCCCAACTTCTGCGTCTCGGTGCGGCGAGTGATAACGGGACGCTGTTGAGAGAGCGCGCGCGCGCGAGAGAGAGAGAGAGAGAGTACACATGTGTGTGTACGAATGGTGTGACATGTCAAAAAATATCGTCTCGTGTTTTCTCCTCGTCCTCCGCATCTTCCAGCTTGGCCGAAACGCGGGTGCCAAGATGTTGTCGCGGGGGACAACCCTTTCGCGTTTCACCGCGTAAAACCCGAAGAAGCAGGCTGATGCATATCGCGCGCGCGCGCGCGCACGTTAGAATATCGATCTTTCTGTCGGTTATCTCGCATCTCGCACGGTACTTTCTAAAGCCCGCTATTTGAAAAGCGCTTTCGCCACCTGACACACCGCGAGAGCCGCCGCGAGACCCTGCCCGACAACACGTGTCCAACACGCCGCCGTCGAATGACAATTCGCCTTGGCATCTTTGTGCATTCGACTTGGATTCCTCTTACCGTTTATCGCGAGACCGACGGCGCGGACAATCGAGTGAAGCGACTGACAAGAGCAAAATGAGAGGAAGAAAAAATAAAAATAGATATAAATTACCATGTACTATCAATTGCGCCTTACTGACGCGTCGGCGAGCAGTATGTAAAACACAGTGCGCGTACGAACCGTTATTACGTGCCGTTATTATGTTAAACGTAAACGAAATTGCTACTTTGCGACACGTATATCTTATTTATGGATAAACGTCACGCCCTTAAATATCGGATCTACATAAATATCTCATACGCATATCGCTGTAATTACGGACAACCAGCGATCCCGGTCGATTTTATTGTGCGCGTAGCAAACAATCGAGCGAATCGATTAATGTGTTTTTTTCAACTCGCAGGGCACCGATTCAAAGTCAGATTCGCAGTCTGCGCTCTGAGAGTTTTCTCGCGAAGGAGATATCTCGCTCGCGAAGGTTTTCATGCGAGAGGACGTTCCAAAATTCGTCGTTCCCCCCCCCCCTCCCCTCGCAGATTTATTTTTATCTCAATAACATATTTTTGTCGCTCCTTTTAGTGCCAGAAAACAGCAGCAAGTCAGGTATCCTGTGTTCTTCCGGAAGAAGCTGGCTCTATCAGCGGATTAAAAGTTCCTTCAGGAGGAAGTTACTGTTCAAAAGGATACCGATCCTAGCGTGGTTGCCGCACTACCGGAAGGAGTATGTGGTGAGCGATCTGGTGGCCGGTATTACCGTGGGACTCACCGTCATACCGCAGGCCATAGCCTACGCTAACGTCGCGGGAATACCGTTACAAGTAAGCTCGATCAGCCCGTCAAAACATCTGTTTTACTGTGGTATATCTGTACACTGTGGTTTATATGTTATCAGCCTTGACTATACACGCTATGTACCCCGGTCATGAATAAACATTTTCGAAACCGGTGCCTGGCACGGGAATTAGCCGGCTCTTTTTCCGTATCTTCGTCGTGTCTCTGTCTCTCTTTTAAGGAGAACGCGTGACAACGTGCAATTTCGAGGTCAAGGTGTATAACGACCCGGTAAATATTCATCCGAGGCTATCACTCGGTGTATACAGAAAACGCTAAAGCGACGCGATGCGAGGTAGAATTAAAGGAGAATTTTGTTCGCTCGTTCTAGCATTTATCTATTTTGTTTGTGAATCTGTGAACATTTTCTTAGAAGAAAGATTCCGGTGTAATTTATAATTCCATGTACGATCTTGGAGAATTGACAAGTTCTTCTGGAGATCTTTTGGAGAATTCATAGAATTCTTCAAATGTTACGAGATTCAGAGAGAATGTCGGAACGGAAATTTGCGAGATTTAAGAAGAGATTGTACAGATTTCTCTTTCTATTTATATTTTCTGTTCCGATGAAACCCACGGAGAATTTTTGAGATTCTCATTTATACGAGATTTATATTGCATCGTATTGCGAAATGAATTACACGGTATTTTAGAGAGAGATATTAAAGATATCGGAAGGGAAAATATATGTGATTTTCGTAGTATGGACTCTACTCGTCTTTCATGGCGTGCTTCGTATACACGATTTTTGGCTCCTGCAAGGATGTACCCGTAGGGCCGACCGCGATCGCCGCGATCATGACTAGAGAGACCTTGCAGAGAGCGAATCTGGGACCCGACTTTGCCGTCTTATTGGCCTTCGTCTCGGGCTGCGTTTCTTTGCTGATGGGTGTCTTGCAATTAGGTAATATCAATGACATACGCTCGGTATATTTTTATCTCGCGTGTTTTTCTCCTATATTTCGCGCCACTCTAAGATAATTTCCTCTATTTCCCGACGACTAGGATTTCTGTTGGACTTCATATCGGGGCCGGTGTCTGTGGGCTTCACGTCGGCAGCGTCGATCATTATCGCCACCAGCCAGGTGAAAGATATTCTCGGGCTCCACGTATCCAGCGGCAAATTCGTGCAAGTCTGGCAAGATATATTCAAGCGGATTGGCGAGACACGGCTCTGGGACGCCGCTCTGGGAATCGTCTGCATAATTGTCCTTCTGCTTCTACGGGTAAGCGCAGCGCCATTAAATTGCAACAGGCTAGCTAACACCTGTTCGTTATTCAGCGTTTGCAGCATTTAAATGGGTAAATTCGGGATGGTCCGTCGCGAAATAAATGATCGAGCTGCGTCCTCATTTCGTCATCATTTATTACGGACCGTGGATCCGGGTTAGACACAGTTTAACAAATTCCAGTATCCAATTGCGTTCGTGGAAAAAGAGAGGGAAATTCGTCGAGATCTGATTGCGAACGTCTAGAATCGATTCCGACGAGATTATATATATGTCGTGTCGTGTCGTATATCGTGTCGTTCTCTCTAGAATTATATTCTCCAATGTTTTGCACGATGACTCAAGTCTGGCTTGGCATCCGCGCTATTTAGCATTATCGCTTCTTCGAACTGTTTTATAATTACAAAGTAGAACACCATCGTGTTCCACACGCACAATAGTCGTACGACGAATCGTTATTTTCTAAATATCGGCCGAAGCTGTCATCTTACGAGTCGGTTGATTGCAATATTGATTACTAGCACGGGAAAGAACCGCGGTGAGACAATTATCGTTCGGAGCCAGCGATCTTTTTTTGCTCGCGCTGTCAACAGCGACGTTTTATCGCTCGCTTAACTTTGATTCGTTGAAACTGTGAGAAAATGTTGGGAAAATTCGAATGGAAAAAAGAAAATGATCTCAGGTAACTTTCCAATGTTCCGTTATTCGTATTAGTAGCAGAAGGATAAAAAAGGAATAAGAATGATTTATATAAATAAAAAAATTTTTCATGCACTCTTGCAGAAAGTAAAAGACCTACCGGTGATACCAAAAAATACCAAAGTGCCGTCGCAACTCCAACGAGCCATCGCGAAGCTGCTCTGGTTGATCTCCTCAGCCAGGAACATCATCGTAGTGATCATCTGTGGGATAATGGCTTGGCTCCTCGAAATTCACCTGGGGGAGTCACCCGTCATTCTAACGGGTCCTGTGAAGCAAGGACTACCAGAATTTCGTCTGCCGCCTTTCGAAGCTCATGTCGGGAATGAAACCTACACTTTCCTCGACATGCTCTCGTCTCTGGGCTCCGGCTGTCTTGTCATTCCAATGCTGAGCCTACTGGAAAGCATCTCCATCGCTAAAGTATTTTGTAAGAAAAACTCAGTTCTACTACAAACTACAAACCTTTACAAGGTCGTGAAGAGAAAAATTCTCTCGAATAATAATCAAGTATATAAAAAATTTGTAAAATTAAGCTTCGTATAATAGGCTTGCAAAGTGACTAATGAGAAATCTATTTCTCTCTGCCTCTCTGCACTTCAAATAATAATTTGATATCTAAAGAGCGGACACATTTCTCTCATCGGAGCGATTTTCCAGCTTCATAAAAAAAATGAATTTATGTTACACCCGTAGCTGATGGCAAATCGATCGACGCGACTCAAGAGATGCTGGCACTAGGTGCATGCAACGTATTGTCGTCCTTTGTGTCGTCGATGCCCGTGAGCGGCGGTCTCAGTCGAGGTGCAGTTAATCACTCATCCGGAGTGAAGACGACGCTCGGTGGGGTCTACACTGGTCTCCTGGTACTTATATCGCTGCAGTTCCTCACACCCTATCTCTACTACATTCCTAAGGCCTCTCTAGCGGCCGTAATCATCACCGCGGTCGTTTTTATGGTGGAGCTTCATGTGGTGAAGCCTATGTGGCGAACCAAAAGTAAGTTGTTTCTTCTTTTATACGATACGGATCAAATAGTCGCGCAATAAAGCGTGATTATGATTCTGTTACTAATCGTGTCTAACGTTGTTCTTTTTCCCCAGAAATGGATCTCATACTAGCCATCGTCACGTTGCTGTGCTGCCTTTTCGTGCGACTCGAGCTGGGCATAGTGATCGGCATCGGTATAAATCTCCTGTTCCTACTTTATGCCTCGGCCAGGCCGACGTTACGAGTTCATAAAGCTACGGTGAATTTTTTTACTATTCTACATAAAATTCGTTATGGTATATTAGACGCGTTTTCTATTACCGTGAAGTATTTTAACAGCAAGTTGTCTCGTAAATCGAAGATCAATTTTCCTCGAACTACCAGACATTCATTTCACTTATCTAATTTTACATCCTTTTCAACGACATATTTTTATTTTCCACTTTTGAAAAGAACATTTGAGAAGAGTATTTTTCACGCCACGTGAATAAATAAAAGAAATATGCATTATGTATCTCTTTACAGAGCGTCAGCGGCTGTGAATATCTTGTCATAACGCCGGATCGAAGTCTGGTGTTTCCGAGCGTTGAATACGTGCGAGCCGTCATCAGCAAGCAAGGGATGCGAGAAGGCACAGCCGTGCCTGTTGTGATAGACTCCACGCATATTCAAGCGGCTGATTTCACAGCAGCGAAGGTAAATAGATCGTGAGAGAACAATCATAATATACCTACTGTTGTATTAATTAACTCTCGGTATATCATACTACATGGTAATTGTAAGACAGGATTCATTTTATTTTATTAAAAAACGGGAGTAAATTTTCTCTTTGTCCTCTGATCAATGAGATGTCCTGGTGACACGGTTCCGAGGGTTAAACAAATAAAGCGTCGTCGTCAATTGTACTTTTTTTTCAGGGTATCAAGACTTTGATAGAGGATTTTGTAAGGCGTGGCCAGCCATTAATTTTTCACAACTTAAAGCCAAGTGTTATTCAGATCTTCAAAGGCGTGAAACCATCAAGCCTCACATGCAGTTCCAGTGAACTTGAGCTCAACGACTGCCTTAAAGGTAAATCGATCCTTTTATGGCGGAATTTCCACAGCGTTTATATATTATACTATGATGTTTACTAGATGTACTGTGTTTCTATCATAGAATACACCAATGTATCAATCGAGACGCTGAATCGATACTGAACGCGTTTAAATTTGGACGACGATGCAAACGACAGCTAGATTCTGGATTGGTCATCTCTCTCTCCTTCCTTAACGAGTATCAGTATTATAATGAAAATACCGTTGCCTTCGTTCCACAGACAGTATTACGCAAAGTATACAGTATAGCTCAAAGCAAAGCGCTACCTTCGTTTATCAACTGCGACGATATATAGTTGACTAAAGAGGAACTTGTATATATGTATGTATTTATGAACGCGAGCCAGTATAAGAATTAAGCTATACGCTATGTATTTGCACGATATTGTACACTATGTCATATTTTTGTACTTACGAGAGACGGGAGTTTGACAAGTGTGCACTCCGAATTTATCTTATTGAATCAGATAGGAACATATATAATTCTGTGCTGGATAGACACACTCGCGACAGCTCATTATATGTTCCTTACTTCCAATGCGAATAATCTCATTGTAAATATATCAGAATTCCGCTCTCGTGCCACAAAAAGAAAGCGTTCACGAGGAATGATTAACTCGCCAGAGCCGAGCGCGCCGTAAATCTCTCGGAGTAATTCACATATTCCAGAGTATCTCTTCTTAATGTGTTACATCATAAAGTATGTATACGGCGTATGTGCGACAGCACTTGCTCACCACGATTTTCATCCGTATACATTGTGTCTGGACATGTACGTATGGTTGGAAACAGTATAAGATAGAGAATTGATCGCTCCAGAATAATTTCCAGTCAGAACGACGAGGCTCATGGTGACGTCAGTGGTTGCAAGTGCTGAGGCAATCACATCGGCCTGCGTGCGTGTATGTTTAAGGCGTTAATACTAAGACTAACTCACGCTGATTTCTCGAGCACCTCCGGTCGGCGTCGCTATGTAGAACGTAGGTGTGCCGGAGTACCTACGAACCAAAATTAATAGCATCTGTACAGAACAACAAATGTAACGGGCTACTTAACTTGCGACTACGAACAAAGAGTACTAACTTCGCCGTCATATGTTGAATCGCCCTGTCGACCGCGTTCTTTCTCAACAAAGTGACGGTGCAGCCGCCGAAGCCTGCGCCCGTCAAACGGCTGCCTAACACGCCATCCACCTCTCTGGCCGCCGACACCAACGAGTCGAGCTCCTTAGACGAGACCTCGTAATCATCGCGCAGTGAGTCGTGGCTGTCGTTCATCAGCCGGCCGAATCGCTTCAAGTCGCCTCGCTCGAGTGCCTCCGCGGCGTCCAGAGTCCGTTGAATCTCCGTGACTATGTGGCGAGCTCTCTTGACACCGCGATCGGGCGCGTTCTGTAATGTTAGTGCTGAAAACACGAGATTCTTAACAGAAATTCGACGAAAATTTCTTTTTCGATCTCTTCCAATCTCATCCTGTTCTCATGCGTCGCTGCATTCATCGAGCTTAACTTCAAGCCTCGTATATTTCTTACTCCTACATTCTCAAGTTCGACTGTTACCTCGGATATCATTCATATCCGCATCCCTGAGACTTTTCTTGTTCAGCATTCGCGCGGCCTCGTAGCAACAGTCTCTGCGCTCGCAATAGGCACTCGAGCTCAGCTTGTGCGGTGCGTTCGAGTTCGTTATAAGGAAAACATAGTCGTCCATGTGCAGCATGGGTATCTGCTTGATGGCGAGATCTCGACAGTCCAGCAGAAGCGCGCAGCCCTCTTTGCCCATGACTGAGATGAATTGATCCATTATGCCGCACGGCACCCCAGCGAAATCGTGTTCCGCTTTTTGACACGCCAAAGCCTACGGATGTATCTGTCTCGTATCGTCTAATCGAACACAAACTGTACGACTGTCGAGCACAAGTATCGTCTTGGTTTACCTTCTCCTCCGGTTTCTCCGCTTTCTTGCCGCTCAACGCCTCTAGAAATGTGTAAGTCGCTACTTCCAGAGCCGCCGAGCTGCTGAGGCCGGCACCCGCCGGTACAGTAGACGCTATTACGGCTTTGAACGCGGGAACATCACCTGCAACATGGCTCTTTTTAAATCGTACAATATTCCTTGAAATGAAAAGCGGAAGCTCTTGATGGTCGCTCGTGATGACTTTGGGAATGTGAGCGACTTACAGACAAAATTAGCGATGCACCCTTTGACATAGTTTGCCCACTTTGGGTCCCCCGGCTTTAAATCGGCGCGACTACTCGCTTCGAATTCGACCTCGTTCGTTTCGCCGACCGTGTCGCTCAGGGAGACGATTTTCATTCTCTGTCCGTCGTGCGACTTGCCGGCTATCACCGTGACCATCGGCAATGCCTGATAGTAACAAGGCGTTATCAGTGATGCGTTATTAATTTATAATAATAAGTCATTTATATCGCGACAAAGCGTAGTCTTCAAAACTTTCAGTGAAAATAACTGTTACATTCTTTGTGTTATACGCAAAATATTGACAACCTTTGACACGATAGAGCGCAGTTCTATTATTGCAATTAGCAGTAGAAGAGAAAAATGTTTAAGAGGTCGCTCGCACGATCGACGTGCAGTCTCGTGAGTGGCGTTTGAGCGGCATCAAAGTGACGCGCTGGACGAACGTTCGTCAAACGAGTCTTATTTGCATTCTTTGATTATGTAAGCGGCGGTTCGACGTGCGAGAGACGTGTCGGAACGTCATACGGCCGTGACATCGTGACGTGTCTATCCTAACGCGAGCGATAAATCGTCTCCAGCGCGTGCATCAGACGTCGAACGCATCTTTTCATGATTTATGCGCATCTAGTAATTCGAGTATCATAATTTGCGATTAACAGCATGTCTCGACTGATCTATAATATAAACGCGATAGACTCTGGGACAGAATTTTATTTGCGAAGAAAAGAATCATGATCACGTTCGCAAATACCTGTGTACACTTTTAGAAATCTTCAAATATCTTTCCTCTAACACCACACAGACGGAATTCTCAAATTTTGTCGCAGATCGTAGATCGTCTGTTTAGAGCGAAATAGACGTAGGCTTTGGCGAAGGGGGGAGGAGGGAGCAGAACAGATGGAAGAGCTCGCGAGAGAACCCGAGAAACATTACCATTGGTAGTACAAAACCGTCGTTGTAATCCGTATGCTCGCCGATAAGATTGACGCGTCCGGGCGCGTAGACACAGACGGTGGCCGGCTCGTCGAATTTCTCGGCGAAGGCCCGCAGTGCTTTCGCCTTGACATTGCCGACGTCCGGGATCGGTGTGGCCATGTCGAAATCTCGAGCACGTACGACGCTGGTCTACAACGGAAATGAAGATTATTATGCGGGCGGACTGATAAACGCCGTGCTCGACGCGCGCAATGATACTGACGCTAATGTAAACCTCCTTACGTGATTACGAGTCGTCGACGAGGACGTTATCAGCGCGGAATCTGAACTCGCCGACCGGTCTCCTTCGCTTTTTCTGCAAATGGAATTGTACGAGTTACTGAAAGGTATTATTATAAAGCGAATAAGTGACTCAGATAGCACGGAACGTTTCAAAATCACCCCAAATATGTGAGCATATTTTGGGGAATGGCCTAAAATGTATTTTGGACAAATGCTCTAATCAATGCTGTTTTGGCACGTTCTGTGCTATTTAGAAAGTACGTCGAAGGAGGATCCGAGACATACCGGTGACTGTTAGCATACTATTTTTGTTCAAGGTGCTCAATTATACCTCGCTATTATGGGCAATTATGATATGCATTTTGATGGATATCGACGTGGATGCCCAAGCAAAATTCCTCGCATGAATGTCTCGCGAAACGTTTATGTGAAGTATCGGCGTTACCAGAATGCGCATTCCGAGTTGCGAGCGCGATCGCGACATAAACAGCATTCGTTACTGAACGTTTGAATGCGCGATTTCTCGCGCAGAACAACGACCTGTTCCGTCTCCAACGACACGCCGCGTGAAATTAACTTCGCATTAAATAAACAAAATGGAAAATGAATCTTTACGATGAAAGTATACGAATTTCGAGTATATAAGTTCCAGACATTATGAAAGTAGATGTACAGTGTTGTGTACAAATCTCTCCTCGAACTCTTTCAAGAAATTATTGTATAAAAGAGAAATCATGGGTAGCTTATATAATTATAATTGAAAAGTCACAGTGCGACTTTTTCATATAATCGTTATGTTTTTGTCATTGGGAATTTAAATCGCAATTAAATCACTTCACAAAACGTAAAACACGCTGCAAGGAGCTGCTCGGTGTCTCGATCAGGACCCTGCGATTTTTCTTATGGTCTCTATTCCCATGAAATACTCCGCGGCGGTAACATAGAACAGCCTAACGTGGAAGAACGGTCCTTTTATCTAGCATCAGCTTACACGATGAGATACACCTACTATTCGTTGGCTTGCGAGACGACGTTCGATTTGCAGTGAGCGCGATTCAGTGCGCGACTCCGACTACCACCACCACCGCCACCACCACCACCGACCACCATCACGCCGCCGTTTCCACTGCCACCACCGTCGTTGCCAACACGATGCAGGTGTTCTCGTTGACAAGACTCGGCTGACAAGACGCGTAAGTCAGACTGCGGCGATAAATTCGACTCCGACGGAGATATATTATGGACGCGCTGCGGGCGATTTAACGGCAAACTACCGCGGAGAATGTGCCATGTCGGTCTCGGATCCTCTCATCAAAGAGCTGAAAGGTAATCTTGCAATTGAGCAGGCAGGTTAGTCACGTCACGTTAGATATACGTGAGGGTTTATGGATTCTTTCTCTCTCTCTCTCTCTCTCTTCTTTTGTAATTACATTCGCTGCACTATGTGGCGCTTAAATATTACTGTATTGCCAAATAAAATATCAACTTGTCGGCGTTGATTTCTGTGATAATTGTAGAAGACGCAAGCTTATAACATCTCACTTTTTCATCGGATCATTTTCGTCAGTGTCGTCAGATAAGATTCACCGCGTAATTAGTAATAATGCACAATGTGTTTGGATAAATATATAAATATTTTGTATCTTAAAACTGATTCGAATGTCATGTGTGTTTCATTATTTAAATGTTTGATGTCGATAAACGTCAGAAGATCGTTATCATACGTCGTTAACGTCAACTCGGTTCTTATCTTCATGAATTATCTGAGAAAGGAGAATCTTTTAATTAGAATGATGAGATGAAGTCTATCTCTTTGAGTGATATTTTACCTCTGTTTTGTATCGATTACGTTAAATATAATTGCGAGGTATATGTAAGTGAACTCACATTTTATACCAAAACACATTGTGTACACTTCAGGATGGACTCGAAAGCTGATAGAGCATGGTAAGGAGATCACTGACAAAAACGAGGACTTACGTCACTTCTGCAAGTGCTTGGAAGACTGCCTGCAAAAAGGTCTACTGCCTTATTTCAGTAACATTGGATACCTCAAGGCACCCAGTGCATGGCACTGGTTGAAGCACATTGCTGAGAAAAACTATAGGTGAAACGATACGTCCATTTTCTTTAGATACCAGTAACTTATGACTCCATTCGATATATCTTATTTGATGTCAATGTGACTTCCAGCTCATACAACACATTATCATTAGTAGCGGAGCAAGCGAAACAGAATCCAAAGATACACACATCTACTGGGCGACTTCGTTTTCTAATAAGAATATGTCTGGTACGAAGATGTCTTCATATGCCGGTAGAAATATTGGTAAGACATCCATCACAATAAAATACGTTACAATGTGCATCTATTTACGAGACTTGTTAGTATGATACTAATTGCGGAAAACTGTAATTGTATTTGCAGACCAGAATTCCGACTTTAGCTACCGAATTTTACGAGTTAAAGAGTATTGTAGGAGATGACATTCTGCGAGAGATACTGCTGTCTGTTCTACTGCAGTGCAGTAAATTGAGTTTCAAGTTGAACTTAAGAAACGCGACTTTTTTGGACGACACATGGCTGATGCCAAAATGCGTAGCTCTACAATTGGTACCTTGCAAGAATCTGGGCATCTCCGTATGGTGAGTGTTGCTTTCGACGAAAGATGAGAGAATTTATGGGACAAATTTAACACACCGCTGTGCTTCACAGTTTCACCAACGAGAAGGCCTTGATCGTCAACATCGACGAGAAGTCGGTAGCCGCGGAAGACGTAAGAAAAGTCCACAGTACCTAGCGTAACGTAGCAGAATTAATAAAAAGGCAATTCCGTACAACTTAACGGTCATTTTTTACATGCTACGTATGAAACAGAATAAAGTCGAGATCGGAGATGTACTGGACGAGATAAACGAGAATATAATCACTGGCGATAGTAAGGGCAAGCTACGTAAAATTATGAGGAAGGCCAACGGGCAGCCGATCATGTTACATATCATCAAGGTACATGTCTCGCGAATAACAAAATAGATAAAATAAACATACTAATATGTGAATAACATGTTCGGTGCGTTATCGTGCACTTTTAGTATCGCACCAAGAAGACCCATGAGCTCTACGAGCCAATAATACATCTTATCAAGAACTCGGGCGTCGAGAGCATGAAGTCTTTGATACAAATATCACAATCAGACCAGGTGGAAGCCATCACCAAAAATCAGCCGTCTGCATTAGAGAATAAAACCTTAAGTAGCGGATTCTGCGTGAAGTATTGCGGCTCCGTGCACGTCGGTGCGGAGGGTGACGTCAAGCAAATCGAGAAAGCCATTTGGCGTCTACTGAAATCCGGAGAAGCGAAACAAGTGCCTGTAAGATTCGAGTGTTTAGAAATCGGGATTAAAGTAGAACACGAGGCAGACGATAAGGTATTGGTGCAGCCCTATGAATATAGCCTAAAATAATCGTGTAGTAAAAAATGTGGAACGTGCAAAACCTGATAAAGTGACATTTCTGTTCTCAGGTAATATGCAACCAAAGTTACATGGAGATCTCGTCGTGTGGACGCACCACCAACATTCCCGATTACTTTGCATTCATCGCAGGGTGAGTTTTATCAGATCACTGTTAGGACAGAAATTATATTAATGTGTTAATCTGAATCGCTCGTGTGATGGATATATCTCATCATCTTCAGGGAGACGAATTGTAATGTGGCGACAAAATTCGACGCCTACATCTTTCACCATCGAAACGAGTACGAGGTCCAACAAATATTACAAAGCCTAGGGCAAGGATTTCAACGCACGCACTTTGCGGTATAAATAATGGTGTACAACTTTCAATGATGTGTATGGAAGAGAAAAGTATCCTTACTTTCATATCTTCCAGGCGTCGCGTCGTTTATCAATAATGTTGTTCCCGTATCTGTGATCATAAAACTCCCCCCAATAAAACCGTAAGAATTATCATGTTAATAACAATCACAAAATATGCATTGACTCACGATTTGATCCTTTTGCGGCTCGCCGGTAACTCTTGGCATTTGGATAAAGCGCTTGCATTAGTCAATTCAATCCCAGATCGATACTTCAGCAACAGGAGCGTCCAGCAAAATCACTCACATCATGACAAATATTGAGATCAGGTCAAACGATGCCACGTCGTGGAGTCACAAACGCTTCGCGAACGTCGCAAGTTTCGAATCTGACGGTTACAGTTGCAGCTTCTGCAATACGTTAAAAGTGTTATTCAAAGAGCTCAAACTCAATTGGTAACAGTAGAAATCTCATTATAATACATACGTATTTGGTAGATGGCGGTAGCAGCTGTTATCAATCCCAATCTCTTTTTGAAATGCAATATGTAAATTGTACTAAATTTTACTTGATTATATAATTTTGCCTAACATTCGGGTCACAGTTTATATTCTATACTTTATATTCTATACTTTGAAAATATCTAATATACTTTCGTACGATATTATTTAGTAACCTGTTGATCATCTTTATCATTTTTCTTTACTTATGCATATTCATTTAAAGGTTAGCGCAAAATGAAAAATGCAAATATATTCCTCATGCGGGAAAGTGCAGAAGAGTGTATTTGAAACGCGTGAACCTTGTATTCATCGAGTGTGCGCATTGTGCGACGCGGAACTTGCTGTCATCGTCGCCGTCGCCGTCGTCGCCGTCGCCGTCGCCGTCGCCGTCGCCGTTGCCGTTGCCGTTGCCGTTGCCGTCATCACCACCGCCGTCGCCGCCGCCGCCGTCGTCGTCGTCTCGGCTCGGCAGTGCTCGGTGCCGCTCGGTTCTCTCTCTCTCGCGGACTCCTCGGTCGGGGTAGCGGGTCAGGCGGGCACAGGCGGGCACGGTCACCGAGCGAATGAGCGAGGCTAGGGCAACGATCAGGGGAAAGATGGCCGCCGCGGCGAACATTGCGCTGGAGAACCAGTATTTTTATGAGGATGTCGTGTACCGTGTGGATAAGCGAGGTAACGTCATTTTCGGCATCGTCATGGAGAACGACGACCATGACATGTCTGAAGAAAGCACCGATAGCGAAGACAGCCTGCCGAGACGCAAAAAGGGCGAGATTCGCATGATTTGGCACCCGTCTGGCATCGAGGAGTTGGTCAACTGCAAGAAGGTATACGAACATGTTATCTCGCGATCGTTTCCGCTTCCATCGCGGAAGGATCAATCCTCGACGATGTCCTGACGCGTCCGCATGTTTCGCACAGTTTCCGTGTACTGTTTAACTTGACAGCACGAAAGACGATATCTTTCGCACTCCACGTCATGTATACGGTCCTGGAATACGTTAAATTTTGAATCAAGATTCGTCATTATATTCTAACGATGATTTCTGCTTTCAGATTCACCTGGCAGATAGGACACTCATGCCTGGAGATGTGGTGCGCAGGATGATCAAGGGGAAGGACACGCAGAGGGGTTACTGCAGGGATATTGAGCTGACTGCTTGTGTACAGGTCATTGGTACCAAACAGGTTCTCACAGACATCAAAAGTGAAGATCTCATTCCTCTGCAAGTATGTGGATATTTCTGTGGTAAATGGTTGTGTTGGTTGCACAATGAGACAAGCAGTTTGTCATTTGTAGGAATTTGCGACAGATATGGCAGTTTGTATGGACTCTTGGGTTGGTGGAATCAGAATGACACATTGTAAATTATGGTTGGTAACACCAGATGGTTCTCATTGTGTTGTGAACGAGATGAATTCCTATGTGTTGGGACAATTAGAAGAGACACGAGATAACGTAAGATTGTATAATCTGTCATTTATTTAAGATAGACAGCTGTGTTTTAAAATTTCACGATATAAATGTTTTTCAGGACAATGATTTCCCACATTCCACTGAGTTCTACCCTGGACAGAGTCTGTGGGGACCAGTTCACTGTTTAGAAGAAGCACAGTGGATCCAGTGCACAAAGGAGATGAAAGCAAAGAGAAAATTGAAACCACAGAAAATCACTAAGCTGATTGTAGAGAAGATGGAGACCGACTGGGTGGGCGTGCATTGGCAATGTCGAGCGTACTCAAAAGATGGTGCCTGGTCTGACCAAGCTCAACCAAAATTCGTGGTCGAGGGTGAGGACTTGAAGAAGTTGAAACTACTGAACGTGTTCGAGCCGTCCACTGTGCAGGTTGGAGATCGTAACTTCTACCTCATCAAAGGCGACGAAAACGTCATCACGCGAGAACAGTGGCGAAAGCAACAGAGGGATGTCTTCCAAGTTCCTAAGCAGAGTCCGAAGAAAACACGGCCGACTATCACAGTGACGAAGTTGCCGGATGACAAGAGAGAGCCGAGTAAGGACAAAATGCCCGAGCCGCAACAGCAGCCAGCGGACGAGAATGCTCAAAGTAACAGTATTAATATTCAAGATGCCACGAGCAACAACACCCTGTTGCAGCCGCCCCCAGCTCAACGCGCCGAGAGCTCCGACGAGTGGGACACTGAAGATACCACTGGCTCACAAAGTGATACCGCCTCGGTAATCACTTCTTTCCTTTTTTGTCTCCTCAGATGCGGACGAAATGAAAGGACGGAAATGATGATTCGTGTATTCCATAGGTCTCTAGTGGCTGTTCCAGCATGTCATCAATGGGAAAGAAAAAGAAGGGTCCTGCATTGATGACAAAAGTGCTTAAGAAAAAGAAGTTGCGAAAGGCGAAAAAGAAAGTATCGCCTGTGCCGTTAATTCCCGGGACTAAGATAGTCGTAGAGACGTTATCCACTAATACGAAAGCTAACGTGGTGTGGCAAGACGGCTCAGTAGAATTTGGTATTAATATTAATAATTATCATGTATATGTATTTCGATCGCTCGTATTACAAATCACGTTCAATTCCGTTCATATTCCAACAGAAAATTATTCGATAGTACAATATTACGATTCACTTCTGATCTCATCGATGGATATTACCGAGAGAGAAGGAAAACGAAAGAGACGAGTTTAGATTATTAAATATTTATTGCTATGCGCAATATTTGACGTGATTTCTTTTTCTTTTTTCAAGGTATACCATCGACACAATTATATCCAATCCATCATCTGGATGATAAGGAATTTTTCCCAGGTGATTTCGTCGTAGATCAAAAGGAGGAATCCAGGATATACGGCGTTGTACAGAGCGTCGATCATCAAGGCCGCACAGCCAAGATAAAATGGTTCAGGACTTATACTTCCAGTCAAAATCCAGAGTTAGTACAAGAACAATCTTCCTTCATTCTTTCGCGCATATCGCTTTATTTCGTCTTGCACTTTGTTCGATCTTTCGAACTCAATTCCATAATAATTTGAAATTGTCATGAATAACTACTCCTTGCAGACCGACTTTCCTGGAGGAGCGCGAAGTGAGTGTCTATGATTTGAAGGATCACCCGGACTTCCAATACAGACCTGGCACTCTTGTGATCCGAATAGCTAATTTCGAAGGCGAGGACGCCGGATGTACCGCTGGTCAAGTGCTGGACAACTATCCAGAGGGCCGAGTGAAAGTATGGTGGGTCGATGGTCACATCAGTATGTGTTGGCCGCAAGATCTATACAAGGTGAGCGAGTACGACAGCGACGAGGGAGAGCTATGGGACGACGTGTCGTCCGATTCATCGTGGGAAACTGAGCTGGAAGATTGTTTCATCGCCGACAACGACGGCTCCGATCAATCGGAATTTGAGAACATCAAGCCGAAGTTAGCAGCACATATCGAGAAGGCACGAATCGCTATGTCAAGATTAGAGGAAATCTTCACGCAAAACCCATTACTGCAGACTACCGAGGTCATGAGGAAGCTACTCGAGGTCTATAAGGATTGTCGTTATATGGACAAGCTCATGGGGACCTCGTTCTTTCACGAGTGTCACTTCCAAGGACTCCTCGAACGGGTGAGAGAACGCGGCAGGGCAAATGTTGCGCAGCGTATGGCAGACCAGGTGACGCGACTCTTCACGCCCAAATCCGAGTGTTCGGAGGAATCTACGGACAAGGATAGCCCGAAATTTTCAGGCAACGTTGATGATCAGTGCGCAAATAACGTGTTAGAGAAGCAGGACACTACGAGCATGGACACGTCGGAGAGTGAGAATGTCACCAGTGTCGACAACGTCGCGAAGAAGCAAAGTAACGAGGAGTCGGTCAATCGACTGTTCATACCCGCCACTTCCAATCCCGAAGACTCCGGCTTGTACTCCGCGGAGAATTCGAAGAAGGAGTCGGGCTCGAGCGAGTCCAGCGGTGAGTTTCTCATGAGCGAAGACGTGAATAACATGCCAGAATGCTCATCAGCAACGGACGCGCTCGGACCGTCCGAGAAGGTGGACACGGCGAATCGGCCTAAGCCAATTCCGCCGTCGAATCTGCCGAACTCTCAGGCCGCCGGCACATCATATGTATGCGTGAAGTTGTGTAATCTCATCAAGGCACAGCTCGTGTTAGCACACGGCGAGGTGTCCAAGCGTTTTGGTTTGGGTAAGATGTCGTTGTCGGACGCGGAGAAGAGCTCCGGCTCTCCGCGGAAGAAGCAGAAGGGCGAGGAAGAGGAAAACCGAAATATGAACGAGATAGTAGCCGAGCCGTCCGAGTGCTCTATCGAGATCCCGCCTCTTGTCTGCGCCGAGGGAGAGGGTTTCTCCATAGACGAGACCGCACCCGATAGCCACAAGTTTAAACTGACCATGTTCCAACCCACCGACCCGACCAACTTCTTCCGGACGGTCTCGAAGGAGTTGAAGCTGCTGAAGAGTTCATTGCCACCGGGTGTATGGGTGAAGGGATTCGAGGACCGTATTGATCTATATTCCGTCATGCTTCGTGGTCCTGAAAAGACACCTTACGAGGATGGGCTGTTTCTCTTCGACTTTCAGTTGTCGGCCGACTATCCGGTCGCGCCTCCTCTCTGCCACTACATCTCCTACTGCAGCGACCGTCTGAATCCGAACCTCTACGAAGACGGCAAGGTGTGCGTGAGCCTATTGGGCACCTGGTCTGGACGCGGCACGGAAATGTGGACTACCTCGTCGACCCTGCTACAGGTGATCGTCTCGATCCAGGGTCTGATCCTCGTGAGCGAGCCGTACTTCAACGAGGCAGGTTTCGAGAAGCAGAAGGGCTCGCAGCAAGGGCGAGAAAATTCGAGGATGTACAACGAGATGGTCGTGCTGAAGCTGGTGCAGGCGCAGACCAAGTTGTTACTGCACCCGCCACCGGTGTTTAAAGACATCATTACCGCGCATTTTAAGAAACACGCTGAGAGATTGTTGCTGAGACTGGAACTGTGGATGGGGATATCCGAGCAGCACAACAAACAGCACCCGTTGTCTCCAGTCACCCCTACCACGTTCAAAGAGTTCGCCGATATTGGTACGGCGGGTCTTTTTATTTTCCCTTGCACAAGAATTGTTATTGCGAGCTTATTCTTTGCTGAACTGGTGCTCCAACTATAGTGGAACTTGTTTTTTTCCTTTAACGTCATACTTTATATACTTGTTTCGTTTTAACATGGCAACAAGTGTTAGCTCGGCTCAAGAGAACAGACTGAAATGAAGTCATTTCGTAGGCAGTATGATTAATCTTCTTTTCCTTCTTGCAGACGAGAAAGTGCTGCCCGAATTCCCGCTGATTCCGGCGTCCCGGGGCTTCTGCATAACTCTCCGCAAGACTCTAGGAACGTTCAAACAGGTGCTCATTAAAGAAAATATAATACCAACGCCAAGTGAGTGGCAGGGCAGTGATAACGTCAAGGAGTTAATGAACAATACCGCCATACAGTGCCAAGAAACGTCCAAACCCGCCGTTAAAGCGGCGATCTATGACAGAAACAGCAGCAATACGCAGGAAAGTAATAACAAGCCGACTTCGAGCGGCAGTAGTCGATCCGTTAATAAGGAAGCGACGACGTCAACTTCGTCAACGAATTGCTCCGCGGCCGCGCTGAGCGAAACGAAAACAAGTACTTCGAGCCAAAACACCAGCTAGCCACAAGGTAAAAGTAATCTTAAGTCTAAACTCTTAGCACATATAAATTATACGACTATTCGGTAATATATCCAAATAAATTCATCTCGGGCGGAATTTTCCAATCACACACACACACACACACACATATACACACTCTCTCTTCACATACGTATACATACACACATATATACATGCAGATAGCAAATGCTGATACACCCGCGGTATACATATATAAATATATCTATCGATAATAATGTCATTTAACAAATCACGACGCGATAAAATTCCCGAACAGAAATGCCGGCAGTCATTGCTCTCCATAGCTAGAAACTATACTTGTTGTTCTAAAAGTAATCGCATAGCGGACACACGTTGAACGCGATCATAGTGGCATGGACTAATGAGCGACTTTACAAATTCTACAACTCGCACATGACTTTTCGTACACCGTCGAGAACGACGAGCCATAAACGTCTGACTATGAAGCCGTCAAATTGACGTTAAGCGCCCAAAAGCAAAAAGGCAGAAGAGTAAAACAAAGAAGGAGAGAGAAAAAAATCTATGTAATACCTGTTGCATCTAATTGCTTCTTCTAAATGAACTTCTAAATGAAGAGAGCTATTACGTCGATTCTGTGACAAATAAGAAACTAGTTCGAATTTCAATTTAGCGAACGAAGAAAAAACAAGAAAAAGAGAAGAGGGGTGCTGTATATGAGACTTAACGTGGATACAAGTGGGGGATTTGCCATTGTCTAAAACAAAAAAAGATGAAGAAGAAAGAGCAGGAAGGAGAGAGAGAGGAAGAAAGGAAGAAACTCAGTGGAAGATAAAGACCAGTAGCAATACGTCGAATTAACGAGGAAACACTCTTTGCAATAGGATTTTAAAGAGATGTATACATCGGTTAAAACAATAAACAATCGATAATTTTAAGCGCGTTTTCACGACCGCACTTTGAGTAATGACGTCATCGAGGCGAAGCAATGGATCGATGATTATTATTCCCGTCGAGTGTGTGTGTATTTTGAAGTTATTATGCCATCCATGAAGTACTACGATATTCTCAAGCGAAATTCAAGTGACTTTAATCGCAACGATAGGACAGAAATAGCTTTTAGGAACAAACAAACACAAAAAAGTATTTAGATGAAATCTACCGACGATGACTAGTTGTCCGGTGTTATGGATCTTCTTAGCGATAGCTCGTAAAAGAGGTAGAGGCGAATTAGCGGGACGCATTTCAAATCCATCATCGATCATCCCACTGTCGAGAGTCTCCATTGCATTTCTCCATTGCATGATATTCTCTCTCTCTCTCTCTCTCTCTCTCTCTCTCTCTCTCTCTCTCTCTCTCTCTCTTTCCTTCCATTACTATACGTTAATTTCCGAGGAAAAGTTTAGGACTGACTTCTGTACTTACTGTCGTTTAATGATTATTGCTATTGTTAATATTATTATTATTATTGTTATTATTTAGAACACTAATATTTATGGTGCGCCGTAAGTGGAGTACACAGTATTATATTTATTTATTTCGTTTATACATATATGTAGGTGTTATACGTCACATGTATATTTACGTATATACTCCGGAAGAGTCGGTGGGATTAAAAGAAAAAGTTCGCCCGAGAATATCCAGGTAGAAAGGTTTTTTTGCGAGCTCGATGATCGAGAATCGTCGATGAAGCGATACTTAAGGCATTAAATAAGAGACGATTAAAAGAAGGAAAACGCAACGGCAACAATATCGATTGCATAGGCGTCAGCTCTCTATTTCGTATCGATCGTAGTCGGTCGTTTCTGCAAGAAGCCATGCGCGCGCGTCCTCCGTGAGAAGAGAGAAAAAGTCGGAGGAGATGTTGAGGATTAACTTGTGAATTTACTTTATAGTCGCGTCGCTGATGTCGAATACGTGGCTGTCAAAATAAAAAAAGGAATGAGGAAGGAAAACGGAATAGACGTATTCTAGTCCAATACGAAGTCCTATGTACGGCAAACAGACGTTTAATTTTTGTTTCGTATTCTTCTTTCTTCTTTCGATATTCATTCATACCACACTTTGCTTTCGCCTACCTTTCACGTTCCATTCCGCCCCCTGCTTTTCGCTCTCTCGCTCGTTATCCTTATCATTTAGAGATTGTTTTACTTGCTTTACGGACGAAATCGTCGTCGTCGTTCCTTCGCGTCTGCGAATTTTCAGTCCGGAACGTTTATCGAGCTCGACCTCTGACACACTTGCGTCTCCATTGTACAATTGCGTTTGGCGTATGGATTCAGCCGGAATTGCAACGATTTCGTGATATAGTTTACTACAGATGTAACTCGGTCTCCTTAATTTTTGGATCAATAAAAAGACATTACAGGATCAATGGATATCAAATGTTACTGTGTTATCCGCTGCGTATCGACGTTGCACCCTCACGAGTCCCTCCACCATCCCGCTGCCTCGACGAATCGCTCCATGCGATTGATTATGACTTGAGCTTGATAGCACGCGAACGAAGATTTTGTAACAAACGTGTATCTGCTATTTCGCGAATAATTATGAAATTTCAATTATTCGCGGCACAAGATTTAGATAATTCCGCACAGCACCAAAGTTAATGCGTGAGTTTATTAGACCGTGTAAAGGAACGTAAGAGCGATAATAGCTTCTTAACCGAGACACTAATAAAGGGGGCTAATTCTTAATTAGTCAAAAGATAAAACTTCCCATAAATTGAATTTTTATCATGCGAAATAATCCTGCGGGGCTTCCTGCTGCTTTTACATTCATTTGCATGATTGAATATTTTGCCAGTATTTGCTTGTGAATTGATTAGAGTTGTAAACTACACTGATACAAAAATATAGGTGAATTAACTATAATCTCACTATATTTTATAGTTCATTTTGGTGTCAACCATATTTTTATAGTTCGTGGAACTTGCAAAATATAGTAGAATAAACAAATATATAGTCAATGATTGTCTTAAATAATTATTTAGTTATTTTTACCACATATATGGTAATTTCTCATTCACAAATATAATGAGATTTAATATTCATATAGTTACATCTGCCATCATTTAGCAAATATTCTGATAATATTGACTATATAAAAGAGTTACTTTACCTACCATTTTATGTTTGTATCCATACAATAATTTTAATTTAACTTACTATAATTCTTAGCAAAAATATTATATGGTTGGTTACACTATGCCTATATCGTAATTATTACCGATATTATGGTAATACTTACTATAAATATGATATTTCGGACTATAATTTAATTACTATATCATTATAGTTCCAAATATCATATACTTTTCTCTCAGTGTACTAATTATGTCTATGTTGTAGATTTGTACAATGGCTGGTGTAGAAATTATCATTCGTCTTCGAATAGTGTAAGGTGTAATGCATTATCACGAGGTAGATAAGCCCTAGATTCTTATCTTCTTCTCACACAGGTAAAATTCAATGTGGCTCTTGTAGACGCCATTTAGTTAAGCGCAGAGCAGCCCGTCCCACCTTATCTCTTTTTCACGGTGCATCGTGAGAGTTTTTCAAAATGTGCTCCAAAAGGTTCATGTGTTACTTGGCTATCAGTTTACGTAAGTAGGATACTCGATACTACGTAAATGGGAAGCCAAATGTGCAAGAAAAAGGAGTCGAGAAATCCCTTTGTAATCATCGATAAGGCGACAGTCTCACCTTTGCTCGTGTAGTGTCTCATTGAAGCTCTTATTGGACAGGCATATATTGTCCTAAAAAATCAGTGTCTCGAAATTCAGAAACTGGAGCAATTTGCTGATGATATATATCCGAGAGATCGTAATCCGAAAGAAAATATCATACCTTATGACTTTTCAGAAAATTGTCCCGCATTTTAAATTTGAGTACAAGTTTTTCAGGATAATGCATGCTCACTCTTATCATCCATTGATGTCATTCGCTTCTGCTGTTTTTAATATTTTTATGTAGTCGAATGCCTCGTCAATACTTATTTACAAACTTTTGTTGGAGTTGGGAGCTATAGATTGTCCACGTTGTAGATTTGTGCAATGATCACTGTAAGGAATTGTGATGATTCAAATTATATAGGAATCATATACGAAGAATGTGTCATACATTCTTATAGCGAGGCACATACAGCGAGGCAGATAAGCCATCGGTTCTGTGTTATCTGCTTATCACGTAGGCGTGATTCAGTGCAAGTTTCATAGACGCCATTTAGTTAAGTACAGAATAAGAGCAGCCTGTTTTCGTATTTCCCTTGACGGTGATCGCGAGAATTTTTCAAAATGTGCTCCAAAAGAATTATGTGTTATTTGGCTATCGGTTTACGTAAGTAAGACTCAATAGTACATTAATAAGACTTCGATTACTGAAATCTATTTATAATCGTTGATAAAGTAACAGCTTCATTTTCGCCCATGTCGTTGTCTCTCGTCGAGACATCGACTGATTATTTTAATGCTCAACTGAAATTTAAGTTATCAAAGATGCGCAACAAATAAATGTAAACGCATATATTCATTAGCTCGTTTTCGTTATTTCCTACTGGTGACCAACGTTAGCGGTCAAAGTATTAAAGCCTTCATTAATTGCACAATCGAGAACGTTCATTGATTTAAATTCAACAGGAAGAATAGTTAAGTAGCGAAACGATGATATAATCGATACAATATATAGCGCGCAACAAGTCACAGATTTTTGCACAAGCGAATAGTAACGATTCTTCTCTTCCTCTTTGAAACACCAAACAGTTGTGATGGGAATATTCTTGGAAGAAGTCGAAGCGAGGCGCAAAATTCTTAGAGGCCGGAAAACGATAACGAGACATTATTACAGTAAGTCGACAACGCAAACAAATTATATGTTGATGAATATCCAATGATGAGCGCATTGCTCCAAAAATGTATGTTAAATAATTTTTTAGAAGGCACAGCCATACCAGCCTGGGCAATAGTGGTTTTGTCGGGTGTGGGTATGCTATTGATCGGCGCTGGGCTTTTCGTGTTGCTGCAGAAATTCGTGATCGACGCTGCTGACACCGGCGAGAGTCACTCCTATCAGCCTGCGTTGCAGATCGAAAACTGAATCTATTATTATCTATCCAAGATGGCCGTATCTATTATGATACTGAATGCTCACTATATAAATTATACAACGCAGAATTTCGGGGGAAAAATGTACTTTTCTAAAAACACACAATAGTGTGTTCTCGCTTTATTTGCGCATAATCATTCAGGACCTTCGCACAATTGCATTTATCTAATTAATCTCCTTTTTCTTAGGATAAGTAATATCAAATTGTACGACACCGTTGTCTGCAATATATTAACATCGAAGTGTGTTTACAACTGAATTATTTGTGGTCTTCAAAGCGGGAGAAAAGGAACGCGACTCGTCCGTAGATTTAATGCATCGTTTGGATACGTTAAAATTTGTTGCAATGGACAACATACAAACACACACACACATAAAGCATTTCTAGCCTGCAAAATACGTATAGATATTAGCAATTTCCCCGCTTCGAAGCACGCTATATAACAATAATTATGCACTGTCCTAAAAAAAGAAATTACCAAAAATCGAAAAGTGAAGTTCCCTGAATAATCCCAGAATCCGATACGATCTTCGAAAACGCAAATTCACCGCAATATTAGAGACATAAAATTGTAATATCAGAAATTAATATATCCCGGGACAATATAATTTTCCACAGATATTCTAAGAATATACATCTATAACCAATATAAACAGACAATTTTATTGTTTATTGTTTTATATATATTTCGTATTATGAAATATATATACATACATATATATGTATATATATATATATATATATATATATATATTCTGAATAATTTATTTGAGAATATTTTAATAAATCATTCGATGTTCGGATTTTAGAATTAAGATTTTTCGCGAGACTGTTTCATTTTTAAATATTTGGTAAATTCTTTCTTTCGGGAGAATACATGTCACCATCCATATACATTATATTCATATACATTAGTATATATATATGTATTTATATATATGTATAATTAATATTAAATGGTATGAAAAGACAAGTTTCTACAGCTTAGAATTCTCTACGATGGTATTTGTCAGGATCGAAGTACGACGTGACAACCACGCGGTTGTTAAACTTTCGTCCTGTGAGAGTTTGCTGCGCCTTCTGGCAGTCGATCACGCTATTGAACTCAACGAATACCTGTAACAAAGCGAAAGATTATAAGCGGATCCTTCACAAGAGTATCAATATGAAATAAAATTGAATATTGGATATACTTTGCCGCATCCAGGTACATCGACACCCTCGATGGGTCTCGGAATTTCCACGGATCGCACCACGCCGTACTTGTTGCATTCTTCTTTGATGTCCTCGAGAATGTCCTCGTACTCCTCTTCCTCCATCAACTCTTCGGGAGTAACCATATTAAGCAAACAAAGCACCTGTAAAAATCAAATAAAACGTCAGTCATGATGATTGTAAGACTTCGCACAAGATCACATAATTATATTATTCATATATTCATTCTAATTATACATTTAAATTAAGCATCAAGTTATAATTTTGTTGGACTCACTTCTGTCGCAGGCCCGCTCGAGCCAACCATGGACAAACCAGGCACTTGAATTTGTACTGGAGCTTGTGTACCTATCATGGGATTCTTCGCGCCTACACTGGCACGTTGCACGATCAATTTTTTGTCACCTAACTGCATACCATTGAGACCTGCGATAGCTTGATCGGTCATGGAGACGTCTACGTATTCACAGAATGCATAACCCTTGGAGAGACCGGTCGCGGAATCCTTCACTAGGTTGAATGCCCTCAGCTGGCCAAAACTCATCAGCAGCTCTTTCACCTGTATCATCGGAAAAACGTTATTTCCTCGCCCATGCGACACAAACACTTCGGAATCTACCAAGTGTAGACTATGCAACTGCGGTACCGATCAATTGTAGAATTTTGCAATTTCTGATCAAAAGTAGTTAGACGTAAGAGACGTTTGCCTGCACGACTCTCTGTGTCGGCCAAATATTGTTACACGTGTAAGTGTAACGTTTAATTGAAGTTACCGTTACCGCAACAGAAGGAAAGAAAACATAGTTTCTCCTGGTCGCGATTAATAGCGAAACTAGCAAGGAAATTCAATTGGATCTCTAACAATGTTGCATGGAATATAATTCGACAAGGAAGTTGCATTGTCTCTTAGTGCGATAAGTGGAATATAAATGCACAGATATGCTTGCGTATTTCAACCACTTTTTCCTCAGTAGCGACTCCTCACACCTTCGTCACGTCTCCGACGAAACGACAATTACCGTTGCCCTTCTCAGCTCGCGTCATTCCCTTACATCTTTCGTTATTCCGAGCACCAATCTCGGTCAACGAGATACTCGTACTCTCTAATATAATGTAAAATAACGTAATACGTATACGTTAAATATACTCACGGGTATACCCACTGACTAAGGCACTGAAAATTCAAAGGTGTATGGATAACAGCACGTTGCCCTCGTTATGAGAGAGAGAGAGAGAGGAAAGGAGAGATAAAATCCGGGAAAAGAAACGCCGGAAGAAACAAACCACGCTTCCCGCTCTCGCCGCGACAACAACTGTATGTAATCGAAACGTACTTTCTCGCGGATACACCGGATTACTCGGCGATCGAGCAACATGCTTTTATCGCTGTAAATACTATCGAATCAGAGGACGCACCATTGGCACAGAAGAACCGACGACACATCGAGGAAGGAGCTACAAAATCGTCGCATAAACCCAATGTACGAAGGCATGAGAATGGTATAATAAGTACTTGCCTCGAGGGACTGGGCTAGCCTCTCTCCAGGCAGTGTGGTATTTTGTCATGTTCGGTAGTAGTAGTAGTAGAAGTAGTGGTAGAAGTAGTGGTAGTGGTAAGCGAATGCTTTTGATCGGCACGACCCTAAGCTAAGAAATGGGGAGAAAGGGCACTGGTATCAGTCCACAGTTTACTATATAATGAGACGTTCATACTTTTTGTGCTTTTCTTTTTCTTTTTCACTTTTTCACTTTAAAGGAATACCGTTACACTCGATTCCTCAATATATGTCCAATACAATTTTGTTTTTTTCTTTTTTGGTTTTCGTTTTGCTACGTTTCCGTTTCTCTGTGAACTTTCACGTTTTGAGAGGATTTTGCAATGCATCGAAGATCATAGTTTCATTCGCGGTAACCTGTAAAACGTAACAACGAGGCACAAGACGAGATGCTGTAAAGCCTGAAAAGCCTGTAAAAAGAACAGCTGCAAAGAGAAAAGGTACTTCCTGAAAAGAATGTATACCGGAGAACTTGGAGCTGTTACCAGATGCACATAAAATTATGTGTTTTGACCCTGTAATCCCAAAAAAAAAAAAAGAAAGAAAAGGAAAAAAACTTTTCTGCTATATATACATATATATGTAGATATACATATATGTAAAATCACGTTGACTCTTTTGGTCTCTTTTCTCGTGGACCTAAAAAAAATCCTTCGCAACGTCTGTCGTTGCTGGACGAGACGACTCTGTAAAGGTATACTTGAAAACTGGAAATGCAACAAGAGACACGAACAGCTGTTTGAGGAAACTCTTTTCCATCAAGTGTACCACATGTACCTCTATCCTACTTATCTTTCATTCTGTGCCGCTATATAACTTGTGAAACATGAAACGACTGTTTGATTTATTCCTTCCGGTCGATTTAGTATCACACGTTCTAGTCGGAACAAAACCCACACCCTCTCGTCCCCTTTTCCCTTCTCCCCTGTTAGCCCATGATTTCCCTCGAGTGTTTTACTGTTCCTAAAAAAGATGCCTAAATGCGAAACTCGTATCCTCATGATGGACTGGGTCCGCGACGTGCCTAGAAAGGCTGAAAGGACAGGAAGATGAGCGTCGTGACTGCACACCACCTAAATGCTGTAACGCCACTAAGTTCCCTGATCTAACTGTGTACGGCATTTAGCGCGTTGGAACGACATACGAGAATGGTTCCGTCGTGGAGAAGTGAGAGAAGTTCGTCTCAGAGATTATTAAAACGAGACGAAGAGAAAGAGAACGAGGAATGAAGCAAGTTACGAACCGAACCTGACTAATGAGAAACCTAACCGACGCTGAAACTGATGGAAACGCATACATACCTCTGTTGAGCTCGGAACATGTAGGGATGCGAGATTTGCTGCTCGCGTGAGTGCACTCACCGCTAAATAGCTAAATATATACCTATATTATAATTTAGTCCTTTGAGGGTAACTTACAACACGCATGGGATTAGCGCGCATGTGAGCACGTTCCTATGCTCTAACCCCATGCCGTTGCGGTATCGCGCGATGCAATTTTTCATCGATCATTGAAGCCACTCGCGATTGCTTTGCGCTTTCGATTACTTTAATTTGATGCCACCCGATAACTGGGGCGATTTGATATACCCGTTAATGACGGAACATAACAGGCGTCAAAAATGAGAAAAAACTGCATCCAAAGGTGTGCAATAAATAAAAGTGTATCATGGAGTTGCGGGCATACCTGTTCCTCGTTCAAATAATTGGGTAAACCACCAATGAAGATCTTGTGCGGCGAATCTAAAAGGAATGAACGAGGAATTAAGACGAGCGCAGATTGTATCATCAAACGGTTAATTCTACTCGGGAATATAAAATGTATGTCTCAAACATACCAGGGACCGTACCTGGCACGTTCATGCTCGGATTATCTGTCATTCCCGGCATTGGTTGATAATCGTGCGGCCTCCTTATCTTCAAACTCTGTCCTTTGAAATTTATGCCATCAAACGCCATGGCTTGTGTAGTTTCGTCTATCGACCGGAACTGCATTGAAGAAAAAAATAAATATCATTAAAAGTTACAATCAAGTATGATATTATACAGTGTTGCTATATAATATCCGTGTTGTATAAATCTGCTTTGAACTGCAATATTTGAATTATATAAGTCATGAATCAAGAAATGGTATAAAAGATTATACCAGATATACGTGATAAGGAAAACCAAGTTATTACCTCCAGAAATGCGAAATTTTTGTCTAAATTAATTTGACAAGCCAATACTGGATTGCCAGCAGCTTGCGCAAGTCCTGACAGGTGCATTTGTTGATTGAAGAACTCCATCATCTCTTCCTCAGTAACGCCGAATGGAATGTTCCCTACATAAAGTCTTCTGGCCTGCCGAGTTATTGTACTGCCAACTACAGGCACAGCAGCTTGGGGTGTATCTGCTACGATATTTGCGGGTATCTGTCCAGCTGCCTGCATAGCTTTGTACTGCACAGATAAAAAATATATGTACATGTAATTATCTGAATGCAAAATCATTCTGCAAGAGAATAACAAAATGCAAGTAGAAGTCTTTTATACATAAAGATTTACCTGCAGAGGAGTAATATGTTCAAAGCCAGGTGGTGGCACATCCCAATAAAGAGATGGTTTTCTTCTCCTAGAGCTGCGACTCTTCTTCGGTGAATTACTCCTCTTTCGATCTCTGCGATCTTTTGAGCGAGAACGTGACCGCTTTCTGCGATCTCTGCTGCGCGATCGGTGTCTCCTATCACGATCTCTGTCTCTATCTCTATCCTTATCCCTATCCTGTCTATCACGATCTGGGATTAAAAAGTATAATTAAATCAGAATCTGAATTCTCACAATTACATAACAGTATATATTCTATTAAGCTTACTCATAAGTTAATTAATGGCAAATTGTCATAACTATACAAAATATTTTATTTCAAATAAAAATAATGCATAGGAGATAAAAAACAGAGTAACATATGTAATAGTTGCGTTATACAGATAAAAAATGTATATATACCTATATACGATACATCTAATACACCACCAATTGACCGATTTGCGTGAATTCCGACATCTCGCATTGTGTCAATTTTTTATAACGCTAAACCATCGTCAATGTAAATTAGTGAACGAATAAAGCAACAGGAGATTCATTATATCAAAAGTGTGTCCCAGAGCTATGTTTACTAGCCACGGTAACACGTTTGTTCACCCGGCCATTACATTTAAACCCAAGGATTGACTAGTCGGAGCTATAATAACGCGGGAATGCCGTGGACCAGAAGCGACAATGAAACGTATAAATACGCTGATTAACTCACCTCCGTTGAAATCTTCGCCCATCGTCTAAGTGCTACTTTGTCTAAAGAAATTCGTGACGACCGACGCTAAACACAAAGTCAATGAATATACGGGAACAAACTTCAACGCACCACGAAGTTTCCCTACGAAAATGGCGTGCGATCACCTACACAAGAGATATGAAGTATGACGATGACGAGATGGTAAATATCAACGATGGAAATAACTGCTAATTTTAGGAATTGCTTGCAAATGGGACACAAAATCTAGTAAGCTCGAATGAATCCCGGCTATGTTCCGAAATTCACTGCCAGTACTGAAAATACATAGTTTGTGTCACGTATATTATAGATTTTCAGTGCTGGCAATGAATGAATTGAAACGCAGCCTCCATAAGAAGATATTTTCTGAACGCAAATGTTACCAACGAGAGTATCTAGAAGATGAGTGGTCTGTTCTTTTCAGCTGCACTGCGGAACTAGTGCAATAAGTTAGAATGAGACAACTATATTTTTTCTCACTTTAACTTATTGCACCAGTTCAGTAGTGCAGCTAAAAAGAACAGACCAAAGTTCTTCTATCGGATATCGGATAGTCATATATCAGATATCAGAAAGAAGAAGAACAAGGGTCATGGACCTCTTCAGCCGAGCTAAGTGTGAAGTGCTCTCTCTGTACAACCGTGCACATGAACCAACGACGCCAGTGTCCACGATTCTTTAGCAGTGATGGGAATTCGGTGACGGGCTTGCCTCCTTGGCCTATACGAAAATTTATCCAGGGCTATCAGTCATTAGCTGCGTTTCGATATTCACTGCCAGCACTAAAAATTTATAATATACGCAGAAAAACTTCAGAGCGGCCAACATGGCGTTTTCGGCTATTACAAGAATAATCTATTGTGATTGGTCTATTTTTATTCTTATTGCCTGTTACCTGGCATTGTGCAAGGGGCTTTACGTCTTGGACAAGCCATAGAGTATGCGTCGAGTTAGATATACAATTCAGCTTCGAATTTGACACGCTATAGTTATTTTTGAGATATTGAATGAGAGGAATATTTAAATTTATTGTCTCTAAAGGCTGATCTCTAAAAGCTGGTTGTAGTTAGCAGAGAGGAACGTGAGAGCGGCCAACACGGTGTTTTCGACGACACCGACTTTCCGCACTGGGAAAGGGCGCCATCTATATCCATTTTGAGAGTGGAACTACGATGCTACATCCACTTTCAGGTTTCGGCGGTAAAACCTGTATGTGGTGGCAGTCCGTGCTACATCCATTTTTAGGCGGTTTATGTCCGTGCTACAACCATAATAGCGTACTTGACAAGCACGGTCTCGCACATTGTTACGCGTTTATAACATGAATTAACATGGTAACATATGCAAAAAAAAGAATTGACATTGTGTATGATTAATATCATGAAGATCATACGAAGTGTCCGGTAATTAGCTGCCAACCCGAAGTGTGAGGGTAGATTGGGTTGAGACAAACATAAAAGTCCCATGCCATTTTGCGAGATTCGCAATAATTATCGAGTTATTAATGACAGAAATCTGAGGAGTAAAAGTGCGCCGACATAGATGATTCGAAAAGAGTTGCAGCTGCTCGTGGCAGCGATCATGAATCTTTTCCTTAGCGTGAACTAATAAAAAATGAAAGACTTCTGTGAATCAGTGAAAAATGAAAAATTTTATATGAATTTGTGAAAATCGAAACATTTCACACGACAATTGAGTCGTTCAACATGGCAGTTGCGCGTTTTGGATAATTCATTGAATACCAAAGAAATCAAAATGATCAAAATAATAATGTGCGTGTAGTCCGAAGGATATTACGTGACACGCAAAATCCGTTTGATATAATATCCAAAGAAAATGTTTCAAAATATGTATGTACAGGTAATATTAACCTTATGCACCGATGAGATATACTACAAAGACTGATGGCCTTACGGGATTTAGCGTACCAGAGAAATTTCCCTGGTGAGGCACCCGAGTGAAAGAGACCGTCTCGCATTTAGCGCAGTAAAATTTAACAGGAACTAATACTTTTCAATCCCTTTCTCCGGATCAAAAAGATTCAGAATTCAGACATATTCAAAATGTCAATACTCTTTAATACGTTTCAATTCGTCATTTTATACAGGGAAGCAGGACGAAGGAAATGGGATGCAGGCAACGATACATCATGCGTCTCCAGACGTGTCAAACCGTTTACTATACAGGAGACTTTGATACGGCAACATAATTCGAATATTTAATCGTCCCATGGACTACTTATATATAATAAAAAAAATTAACGCGGATAAATGAACGATTCGTATCAATTTTTCCTTTTCTTATAGAGCAATGAAAGAGTAGATCAGTATCGAAAATTGAATACCGATTAATACCATAAATCAGTGTCAGAAAATTGTCCAATGACAATTTGTTCTCATTTTTCAGGTAGTTACTGCTGTAATTTACACAACAAATTAACTCGGTTAAACGAACGATTCGTACCAATTTTTCTTCTCTTATAAAGAAATGAGAGAATAAATCAGTACCGAAAATCGAAGGCCGATTAATACCTAATTTATTCATCAAATTAACGCGGATTAATGGACAACTCGTATTAATTTTCTGTTTTCTTATAGAGAAATGAAAGAGTAAATCAGTACCAAAAATCGAATATCGATTAATACCATAAATCAATGTCAAAAAATTGCACACGTGCAATGACAATTTGTTCTTATTTTTCAGGTACATACCCCTCTAATCTTATTCAACAATTAACTCAGATAAACGAACGATTCGTATCAATTTTTCTCTTCTTATAGAGAAATGGAAGAATAAATCAGTACCGAAATCGAAGACCGATCAATATCTAACTTATTTATCAAATTAACTCGGATAAACGAACGATTCGTATCAATTTTTCTCTTCTTATAGAAAAATGAAAGGAGAAATCAGTACCGAAAATCAAATATCGATTAATACCGTAAATGAACGTCAGAAAATTGTCCACGTGCAATTACAATTTGTTCTTATTTTTTAGGTATTTACGTCTAATTTACTCAACAAATTAACTTGAATAAACGAATGATTCGTATCAATTTTTCTTCTCTTATAAATAAATGAAAGAATAAATTAGTATCAAAAATTGAAGACCGATCAATATTTAATTGTATGTATACTTTATTGATTCCCCTGGCGGGGTTACAAATTCCAATATAATCTGTCCTCCTTACTTCGTATTACGCTCGCACCTATCCCCTCACACACACACGCACACACACTCCCATCCCCCGCCCCTCTTTAAATCTACTTTACAAATATCTTGCATCTACTCGCTCGCTTATTTCTTATAATTAATTGTTCGCTTATCATCTATTCTTATACATATGTATATATCTATATTTCTATGCCGCTGTTACTCCTATAATTCTTATTTCCCACCGCCGATTTTTGCTTTCCTCCATTCATTCCATTCCTTCACATTTTCTCCCTCGCTCTCTCTCTCTCATCCTTTTAATCCTCCTTGTCCTCCCTCTCGCTCCCTCCACTCCACCACCTCTCTCATCCCCCCTCTCCGCCCCTCTTCGCCCCTCTTCTAGCAGCCTTTCTACTACTTATCCTCATCTCTCTCCCTCTCCCCCCATCGTGCACGAATATTAAATTTATTCATCAAATTAACGCGGATAAATGAACGATTCTTATCAATTCTTTCTTTTCTTATAGTACAATGAAAGAGTAAATCAGTACCGAAAATCGAATATCGATTAATACCATAAATCAGTGTCAAAAAATTGCACACGTGCAATGTGTTCTTATTTTTCAGGTATATATCCCTCTAATCTTATTCAACAAATTAACTCAGATAAACGAACGATTCGTATCAATTTTTCTTGTCTTATAAAAAAATGAGAAAATAAATTAGTACCGAAAATCGAAGACCGTTCAATATCTAATTTTTCCATCAAATTAACGCGGATAAATGAATAATTCGTCTGAATTTTTTCTTTTCTTATAGAAAAATGAAAGAAGAAATCAGTACCGAAAATCGAATACCGATCAATATCGAATTTATTCATCAAATAAACGCGGATAAATGAACAATTTGTATCAATCTTTTTTCTTTTATAGAGAAATCAAAGATTAAATCAGTATCGAAAACCGGATATTGATTAATACTATAAATGAGCGTTAGAAAATTGTCTAAGTGCAATGACAAGTTGTTTTCATCTTGCAGGTACTTACCCCACTAATTTACTCAACAAATTAAGTCGGATAAAAGAAAGATCCGTATAAATTTTTATTCTCTTATAAAGAAATTAGAGAATTAGTCAGTACCGAAAATTGAAGACCGATCAACATTTAATTTATTCATCAAATTAACGCGGATAAATGAACGATTCGTATACTTTTCTTTTCTTATAGAGAAATGAAAGAGTAAATCAGTACCGAAAATCGAATATCGATCAATGCCGTAAATCAGTGTCAGAAAATTATCCAAGTGCAATGACAATTTGTTCTCATTTTTCAGGTATTTATCCCTCTAATTTACTCAACAAATTAACTCGAATAAACGGATGATTCGTATCAATTTTTCTTGTCTTATAAAGAAATGAGAGAATAAATCAGTACCGAAAATTGAAGACCGATCAATATTTAATTTGTTCATCAAAATAACGCGGATAAATGAACGATTCGTATGAATTTTTTTTTCTTATAGAAAAATGAAAGAGTAAATCAATACCGAAAATCGAATATCGATTAATATCATAAATCAGTGTCAGAAAATTGTCCAAGTGCAATGACAATTTATTCTCATTCTTCAGGTACTTACCCCTTTAATCTTATTCAACAAATTAACTTGGATAAACGAACGATTCGTATCGATTTTTTTGTCTTTTGAAAAAGATGAGAAAATAAATCAGTACCGAAAACCGAATATCGATTAATACCATAAATTAGTGTCAGAAAATTGTCCAAGTGCAATGACAATTTGTTCTCATTTTTCAGGTACATACCCCTCTAATTTACTCAACAAATTAACTCGGTTAAACGAACGATCCGTATCAATTTTTCTTTTCTTAGAAAGAAATGACAGAATAAATCAGTACCGAAAACCGAAGACCGATCAATACCTAATTTTTTCTTCAAATTAACGCGGATAAATGAATGATTCGTATTAATTTTTTTTCTTATAGAGAAATGAA